CAAGTAGTGGCTGACGTACCAAGTGGACTCTGTCTCACACCACCCGAAGATACTAAAAAAAAAACTACTTCCTCTCTATTAGGTTCAAACATTCTCCTCGGCCCTACCTTCTCAAACACCCAGAGTCTGCGTTCTTTCCTCAACTACATAAAACAAGTAAAATTATAGTTCTCTAGGGATATATTTTAATCGTTTGGGTATTTAGTCATGAATCGGAAAGGCGGAACTGAATGAATAACAACAAAGTCAGAGATGCTGTTATGGCGGATACTAACTCACAACACAAGTGGCGAGAATGCCAGACTACCTCAGTGAATTGGGGCAGTGAGGCGCCGAGCGTAGTGCTACAAGCGCAGTATCCTGTTGGGAATAACTGCGTATCGATGTAGCAAAAGCAATACACACACGTGACACGAGAAACCAGTTTTCGGAGATGCTAATCCAGACGAGTGAAAGGAAAGCATGAAGTGAAAGGACCAGTTATCACGTAACGTCACAGTGCCTTCGCACGTAATATCATGACCTCCAGAATAGGGGAAAAACATAAAACACAAAACATAAAAAACTGGAGTAACTTAAACATTATTTTCTGAATGTACTTGACGAAGAATGTAATTTTGAAATGACTGTACTGCTTGAAGTCTTCTGGGTTGGGACACCGTGCCATCTTGTAAGGATATATTGACATTTCGAAAACAGAATTCACTCAGAAGACCGAGATATGAGCATTCAGAGACAAGGCCAATTGATTATTACAGAATATGCTTTTTGTTCGCTTTCCAAAAGGGCGAAATGAGCCATGTCGAAGGCACAGACAACTGCCTGTCAAACTGTGGATAGCGGCCTAGTCTAAGGAAGGCCGCAAAGTTATCAGGAACTACTTAAGATACAGCTGCATCCATGCGCAGTTCTGAAAAGTCAGTTCAGACTTCACATAGCCGCTTTCGGGGGGGGGGGAAACGTTAACTGATGCCCGCGAAAACATGTACGAATTTTTTTCGCGACTGTACAGGAACATTTTATACTGTAGTGTAGGAGAACGGAGGTTGTAACCTATTCTGGATCCTGTCTTCACCGTGCTGCCCGATTGAGATCTGCCACATTGTGCAGAACTGCACTCTTCGCTGGCCAGCAGAGTTTCAAGGGGGGGGGGTGCGTAAATTTATTAATTTTTGGGGGGTTGTGACATCATGAAGTTCGCGAACTCCTCGCATGGGCTGTCGTATATGCGTTAAAGATTGCGCGGTGCTTCCTCTAAAACTGCGCGACAACATGGCTCACACTTAAACGTACAGGTAGGTAGGTAGGTACCCTGACAACCAGCGCATGTATCGAGCTACAACTGCTTCCACTCACTGCACTGGACCCAGTCTTCTATCACGGGTTGTTCTTCACGAACTGGGCAGTATATATTTTCATCGGCTGATTTTGACGCTGCGAGAGATGTACGCTAACAGAGAGGATACCCCGGAATTTTCCTTTTCTTTTTAAATCGACGAAGTCATATGAGAATTTCTGAATGGAAATACTGTGGTAATTTATCACTTCATCCAGTTTACTTAGCTTTAATTCATGAGTTTCTCTTGCTGCTTAGTTACTTCTTGAAGATGAAGGGAAAGACATACTCCGAAAACTTGGCAAAGCCAGCCCACTAGGATGCCGAGGTCCAGAATGGAAATAATATCACTTATAAACTGATGTGAAACCTTCAAAGGCTTTTATATACACTTTGTTTACGAAATTATGAGCTACGTCCCTCACCAGAAACCACGAATCCTTGGGAGTGGCTTACCTACGCGAGGCTGATGCTGAAAGGACGTGGAGTCGTTACTGCTTCACATTCTTATGCAACAGAGTCTTAATTATGGCGGGCCACTATCGCACAATACAAACACAAAGCAACTCACACAAACAAGCGTATAACATAGGCCTATACATATACTGTATAGGTATTAACTTGCATCAACCAAACAGGTTGTCTGAACACAAAGACGCTTTAGCAAATTTACTCGCACCCGAAAAAACTGTTTATAGTATCTCCATCTGTAAGTTCAGCCACTTGTATTAACGTGTATTTTGGAACTGAAATATAGTATTACCGTAAGACCTCAGTTCATAATCCCTTGCCAATAAACATTTCTGCAGAAAGTATTATTATTATTATTATTCCTTGTTTTTGTTGATTCTTATTCGTTTTGTCCTGTGTTGAAACGTTGCAAATGTACATCATAAACGAATATAAACACAGCATTATTGGTTTATTTATTACGAATTTGTTGCGTTTACGGTTGTTATAATAATTCTATATAAAAAAGAGCGCCGACAAATGAACTTCCATTTTTAGGCGGAAAATGTGAGGAGACTATCCGGCAGACCTAGAAGTAAAGACTCCGTGACCTGTAGTCCGCAAGCGAATTATATCGACCGAGCGACAGCCACTTGTCGGCGAAGTTAGTGCCAACTTTAGCGGATGGTGGATGTTGCATGGTAAGCACAACGAATCCCCGCGGCCGTTAATCTCGGTTTTCTAGACCAGAGCAGCTATTTCCGTGAAATAGCTCCTCAATTATCTTCATGAGACTGAGTGAACCCCGTTCCAGACCCACTACTTCTCAGAAAATCTGGCAGCGCAGGGAATCGAACCCTGGACCTCTGTATCTGTAGCCAGGAACTCTGATTATTAGACCACAGAAGCAGTCGACCTAGGAGTAAATAGAACATAATATTAAAATTAACCTTAAAGAAAAAGTGTGGTGATTTGGACAGGATCCAGTGGCATTCTGCTGTGCGCATGGTAATGAACCTTCAATTCCATAAAAGGCAGGGAATTTCCTGACTAGCTATGTGACTACAATATTTACAAGAATGCCTCTGCTCCACAGTCAGTCAGCTGTCATGTTATTATTTTCCACTTTCCAGAAACATTTTGTGTGCAAATTCAATGAGACAAACGTAAAATTTACATAGGTTAGTGGTGTGTTTTTGTTCAGATATGAGGGACAACCTGAATATTTGACAGCCACTCAGTACTACACATAACGGTTTCTTAATGATGTCAGAACCATCAGTTCATTCCTCTCATATTTTCCATTCATCAAATGTGTTTCTCTTCCTTGAGAATAAGTTGGTAATTTTAGTTACAGCAGTTACATAAAACTGAGTTCAAAATCATGTCCGTCCAGTATTCAGAACAGTCTGTTTATGTCACAGGTGTAACCTGCCGTCCTTACCAAATCATTTTCAAGTTAGCTGATTTCTAATTTTTCTACAGCAACAGAAGGATTGCAAAAACTATACAAATAATAACATTTATCAAGACAATACAGCACTGTTAATAGATTTGTTAAGACTGACATCAGCTCGCAACTTGAGACTTTTGTGTGATGAGTTTACGCATTTCATAGCCTGTAAATATTTCTTAACATCTCACACCATGTCACTTAATTCACGCAAAATGGAACATTAATCCAAATTCAAGGTACAGGGTCTTCTAGATCAGACTCCACGGCTCTTTTGGAAGCTGCAAGGGCATTATTTTGGTGCTTGCTGCCTCCTTATGATAGTTTCTTGCGTAGCTTACTCTTCGAGCCTGAAGATGGAGGCAACATGTTCCTCCGAAATGTCAGACTCTCTCCAACTATACGACATTATAACCCTTATGATCATTCTTCATGCAGCACTCTTTTATTGAGCCACATTACCGGACTCAATCATGAGCCAGTTGAATCCAAATCTTCACATTCTATTTGCCTAAGATCCATTTTAATATTACCCTCCTATATACACACCAATGACTTCCATGGAGCCTCTCCCCCTCAGGCCTTCTTACAAGAATTTTGTACGCATTTCTCAGTTTCCCCACACTTGCACTGTATGTCCTGCCCATTCTGTCCTCCTGGGTGTAATCATTCTAACAATAAGAGGTGTAGGATACTCCTCATGAGGCACCTCACTACATTATTTTCTACAGTTATTTGAATCTTAATATTACTTAGGCCTTAAATATTTTCCTCAGCAATACGAAAGCCCAATAATTTTAAAAGTTCTCATCTGTCCACAGTGACATACTGGCCCAGACACTCCTGTTACCACTGTCAGTAAGAATGGAACAGTTCTGTGTTCAACATGACACACACAAAAACCTCAAACCAGGTTGCAGTGCATTTAGCTTGTTAATGATACAAGTATCAGAGGGACTGTGAGCAGGTGAAAGTAAAGCCTGATTCCGAACATGAACATTTATCTTTTGCTCAATTCAATGACAGGCCTGGGCAATCACTGCTGTGTGCAACTGGACTCTTTAATAATTATAAGACCTGATGTTTATACTGCAATGAAAATTCAGATTGTGGTCTTACTAGGTATAAAATCCACATGAATACGAGGAGGAATGATAAGTGTACCAGTCCCCTTCTTAAAAACCACATTAATTCCACTGTATCACAGAACACTCTTCTTTCTCTTACACCATACTAGTTATCCATTTAATTAAGAACAAATACACCAACACTCAATTAGAAGTTACATTCCCGGTATAGAATTTTCATACAATGAGAGTACTTTGCAATGTTACATAAAATATTTAATGAGGCTCTATGTCAGAGATTGAGATACCTAAATTTGTAAATAATATGGGCAAAAATAATTATGTCCAACTAGTTATTTACTTAATAACACGTCTGCAACAAAAGACTGTGTAGCATCCAAAGGCAGGACAATTAGTGAATGACGAACTGGAAAAGATCTGGAAGGAAACAGTTGTGGCTTAATTTGTGGGACAACTGGAATCGACAAACTAAGAATAAGAGGGATTGAAGAAAACCATGAAAAATATCACATGACAATCAGGCTCCTGGATGAGATTTTAAATTTGAACCTAACGAATATGAAGCACAAACATATACCCGCTCAACTGTAACATATGGTTTAAAAATTTGCAACTAAGATATATATCAAAGATGAAATGAGTATTAAAGTTTGTATAAAATAATATGTTGCAGGTCTGCTAGGGGCAATTCAGAGGTCAGTGACAGAAACGAACATCACCAGCAATAGTACAGCAGTGGGAGCGATGGCAAATGAGAGGTTTCGGCGTCTTATACCATACATGACATTTTATTTTGCACAACAAAATTATGATAATCAGCCTGTATACCAGGAATACAGGGATGCAGCTCATGTCCTTCCTGTCTCAAACAACAAACTGTCTGCTGTGCCAAAGTATCAAGGAAACCTTGTTGTACCAGCCTCCTACCTCTTGCGCTACACTCCAAGGAACCCTCCACAACAGAGTCCTGTTGTCTACCCCGTCATGCAACAAATGACAAATGCTAGAATTAAACAGCTCACTCCTCGTCCATTTTCTCCAAGTAGCAATGGAAATAACATTAACAAACCTCAAAATAACTATGGATACCTGGATCCCTTACCATCACAATCCTACCAAATACAACCGATTCAAGATTATGTAAGACCAAACGTACAACAATCACTGAACACTTATGACGGTGCCAGATCATTAACAGTATCACAAATTTTGAACATACTGCAAGCAATACGAAAACTACCACAGACAGTATCACCAAATAACAGAGAGCAAACAACAGCCCAACTACTTAACATACTTAAACAAACTAATCAACTGCCAACTAGTACTCTAAACAGTCTGGCAACAATTCTCAGTCAGATTCCAAGATATAATAAAGTTTACCAATCTCTAGGCTTTCCTGGGGCACACTCTTCTCAAACAGAAGCTCTTAATGAGAGGCCTAAACTTGTAATTTATACAAATACAAACCATCCTGCTATAACTAAATCCTTTATTCAGACTTATGCCAACAAAAATTATGAAAGCAGAATTCCTCAGATCTCAACACCTGTTAAAGATTTAACACAAAATATTGAAGAGTATGATACTTATGATGATGAACCCAAACCACAGCAACTTCAAGCTGTTACTAGGCCCTTACCTTCAATTCCTAAACAGACTTTTCTTCAAGCATCTACAATAGCCCCAGTAAGTTCTATTGCTCAAAATATCAATGAGCTGCAAAATTTTGACTATAGGTCGGAGGTACTGGATAATCCTGACAATGAAAGCAACAGACAACCTGTCACTCAAATTTCATCCAATAACTATCCTATTAAAAAGCCCCAAACATCAACTTCAATTCCAGACATTACCCAAAATGCTGCAGAGTTGCACACATATGGATATGCAGCAAAATTACCCCAACTGCTCCCCAATTACTATCGTGGTCGCACCACAACGCAGATATTTCCAGCTCCTAATGCTGAAGGAGGCACTCCTGGACATCCTGGTGTTGATTATCCAACCTATTCACGCATTCCTGAAACAAGCTTCACTTGCAAGAACCAGAGGTATAAAGGTTTCTTTGGTGATCCAGAAACTTCTTGCCAGGTAAGAATCTTCTGATTTTCTTATTATATCATGTAAATTTATGTACCAATGTGATAGATCTCGCTTAAAAGTAGTCTGGGGTCCTGGTGCATTTCTTATATTTTTACTTCCTATAAACAATAACTTTATTCCACTTATCCTACGTAATGAAATATGATTGGGAGTCAGGGTAGCACAGTCAGTATAGAAAGTGGCTATGGGCTAGACTGCCGAGGGACCACAGTTTCAGTCCCAATAGAGGCAAATTTCATCTCCTCTCTATGCTTTCCAGACCAGTTCTGGGGCCCACCAAGCCTCCTATCCAATGGATACCAGGGGCTCTTTCCCTGTGGGTAAAGCAACTGGAGCATGAAGCTGACCCCTCACCTCTAACTAGTGCTGAGATAAAGAATACATGGATCTACACATCCAGTCCCCATACATCTTCATTGCATAGTGCTTAGTCAGTTAATACCTTCAACACTTCAACAACGCAGGACATTTAATTCCTACTCACTCCTTGGGACAGAGGATATCTAAACATTTAAAATGGTAAATGTAGTTAGTTAGTTATTGGAGAGGTTGGGTTTCCCCATGCACTTAGACCTGTATTGGTCCACTGTGCTTCCCTCTATGATTTCTACCAGTCTCTATATCCTACTGGTAGTGGTGCTTACAATCAGTCCCGCCCAGCCAGCGAGACTGGCTCTACTAGCTGAGAGGTATCTATAATGCTTCCCCCATCTACCGGAGGTATTAGAGACTGCTGTTGGGCGGGAAACATCAGTAATTTGGCTCAGTGACCTCTTTTGGAGATATGAGGTTCTTTTACGTGCCGTAAAGCTACGACACGGAACCCACAGCTTAAAGTCCCTCCCGGAGGACTTGTTCCCTGAATTTTTCCGCCCTTAAAAATTCGACGACCTCCGCCGGGTATTTGAACCCGCGTACTACGAGTCATGAGGTGGGAACGTTACCTCTAGACTACGGAGGCCGCTATGGTAAATGTAACATTTCACTTAAAATTTAATAAACTGGGAAAAACAGGAGTTTTGTTTTTCTAATTTTCATACTATGTTGAGAAATGTGTATAGAATTGGTGTATTGATCCACACTGCTTTAAAATTACTTTTTGGTACAGCAAGCCTATAAAATTAGGAATAATAATATCATATTATCTTAGAAATTCAGCTGGGTGTGTTAGTTGTGAAAACATTCGACACAGGGTCCCACATCATACCAGTACACAGTTTTTGACACAACACGCCATTTCTGTGGTTTTGATTTCTTTGCAGTTGGTAGAATCTTGCTTATAAAATTTCTTTCTCTTAGACTTCTCTTAGACGGGGCACTGTTTTGGCTGATGATTGTCAACCCAGCACTTTGTGTTCTATGGCATTAGGAGTGATACTGGTCATGTGATGCAAGCTACTGATGTCACAAGACACGCAAGGTTAACACAACACCTGGTTCCACCTACCACCATACTCTCTTTCGTCTACTGTTCCCCCGGTTGCATGCAAAAAAAAAGTTGATCATGACTTTCGGTATGACCTACGTATTTAGTTCATAAGAATGCGCACCGAGGGGAAGTGGTAGCACAGTTGCTTGAGGCACTATGCTTCAAGCCGGAAGGTTTCATTTATATATCCCACCTTTTGTTAGTGTCCAGAGATTCGGATTAGCGCTACTGATTTGGCCCAACTGAGTAGGCTTTTATCTGAAGATGGAGACAGAATCAAGTTTCCGAAACACTGTATTTTAAATAAAATCCAGGATGATGGATAATGTCCAAAAATACCATAATTGTACTAATATAGCATCCTCACAAACTTTTAGATCTTATTAAGAAGTTATTAATTAAGACTACGGTTTTCCAGTATGTGAGGCTGCGTAGTTCAATAGATAGGTACCAATACTGTTCAGCAGGTACCTCCAAAACAATGGTAACAAACTACACAGTGTCACATCCCATAAGGCCATAATCTTAATATGCAACTTTAATGAGAACCTCAAATTTCAAGAAGTTACTAAGATGTTTATTATTATTATTATTATTATTATTGGAGGGGGTGGGTTTCTCCATGTACCGCGACCAGTTTGATCTAGTGTACGTCCCCGTGATATTCTACCAGTCTCTACACCCTACCGGTACTGGTGCGTGCCATCAGTCCCGACACAGCCAGTGAGTTCGGCCTCTACTGGCTCAGCGGTATCTAGATGCTTCCCCCATCTACCAGAGGCGTTAGAGACTATTGTTGGGCGGGAAATGTCCTAACAAATTTAGCTCAGAGGTCTCCTTCAGACATGAGGTTCTTTTACGTGCCATAAAGCTACAACACGGGACCCACGGCTTAAAGTCCCCCCCAGAGGACTTGTTTCCTGAATTTTTCCGCCCTCAAAAATTCCATGACCTCCGCCGGGTTTGAACCCGCGTACCTTGAGTCATGAGGTGGGAATGTTACCCCTAGACTACGGAGGCCGCCTTACTAAGACGTTTAACAATTATCCTTTTCTGTTGTTTAAGGTATGGCATTACTGTGACCTGAATGGTGGACAAGCTTCATTTCTTTGTCCAAATGGAACTATATTCAGTCAAGTTGGTCTCACATGTGACTGGTGGTTCAATGTCCGTTGCTCTTCAACGCCTCAACTGTATGTGTTAAATGAGAGGTTATATAAATACATCCTACCAGTTGCACCAAGCTTTCCTGAAGACTTCTCAGGTCCACTTGTGGACCAATACCTAGCACTGAAATACAAAGAATTAGAAAGTAAGAGAAAGAGTAAGGAAAATTCCAACAAAACTGAACCAGCTATTCCAAGTCAAATATAAGTAAACTCATAAGAAAATATAGTTCCCACATACAAGTATAATAATTACAGCATCAGAAAACACTTCATTATATCATTCACAAGATATCAATATGGTTAACCCTCCCTGTCCGAGAATAGGTAACATTAACGTCAAATCCCTTACCAATATGAGGCTGGAAACTGAATTTAAACTCGGAAGTAATGGTATTCATATTAAAATAATAAAACACTCAGCCAACTGAACCACATATACCTTACGATAATGCAATGCATGACCAACAAAGGTTAATCCAGCAGCTGAATAACTGCCTATTTAAACACGACACTGAAAAAGCGACAATTCATAAAACACAGTTGTTATTAAGCATTTTTTACAGCAGCAAAAAGCCACCTTATGTGGAGGTCATGTACATCATGTCTGCAACTTAGAATCAGTACCTAAACTACTGGATAGATCTTTCTAAAAACTGACACTCGAGGTTGTCACTAAAAGCTGTCATGCAATTCCAATTTTCTGTCATTCTGATCCATAACGAAGGCCATTTTATGCAAAATCATAAACAACCTTTCTGTTGCATGTCCTAAACCATTAATCAAATTCTGGTAAATTCTGACAAGAAATATACATACAATAAAAATCAGACATTCTTATTTTTAGTCATGTAGACTGAATATAAAGTCAACTTTATGTAAGGTCTTAAATTAACTCATTCATGAATACCATAAATGGTTAATTATATTTTCATGAAATTTTACATGAGAGATCTCTCATTAATATTAGTCAGCCGTGTCGATTTTTAGCCATACTGACCAATTACAATACTTACTTCGCATAAAGCCACAAATGGACTTTTACATGTATTTTATAGTGTTTTACAGATTTTGTTGTAATTTGATACTGTGCATAATTATGCTGTTGAAATATGAACTGTATTAATTTTAGCAAACATATTTTATGTCTTGCTGGAATGTCATTTATAAACCATCCACAGCTAGGCTTAATATCCCACAAACACTAGAAAATTGTGTATACTGCAAGTACATTATGGAGTACACTCTTTCTAGGCTTGTTCAACTTGGACAGGCTATTATGCAGTCTAGAATCAAATGCATTTTAAGACATAAAGTCTGATACTATTGGATAAGAAATTTCCAGAGTGAAGAACACAAAATTCTAAATGTATTCTGTGAAGTTCAGTCACACATACAGAAGATGTTGGTGAAATAAAAAACTGTTATGCAATAATAAGTGGCATCCAGCCAGCAAACTCTTGTTATGACAGAGGTGTTCAGCTGTTCAGTTCCTTCAGTTCTTTCATCCAGCCATCTAACACAAAATTACAGTCCCTACCTAAAAAAGGACTTCTTTCTGGACTTCAAAATGTGCATTAATAGTCATTCAAATGTGCAGTGTGTTTATTTGTTCCTTGAAAAGCACTGGTAAATTGAAGGTTTGATATGGGAATTGGTCTCTTCTTTTCACGTTTCTTTTGCTCCGCTGTGAAGATATTTAATTTTAGCTTTTCCTTTTTTTTTGCACTGACTCTTTGTTTTTGTGTTTTTTTTCTCCACAAATTACTTGTAATTGCAGCAGAATTTTACCAGTACCCCCACAAGACACTAAACTTGAATTATTCAAAATGACAGAATTTATGAATTACTAAATTATATTATCATAATGAGGAACACAGTTCATATGCTGAACATGAACAATGTAGTCCAAAATGTTCCATATCGTAAGACTACATCATGGGAGACAATATGTTACAAAGCACTCTTTTCAAAAGCCCCAACCAACAGTCAAAATTTGGTGTTCCATATTAGACATTTGTGAGATGTTCAAATGACGTGCATTTGCAGAGCTACTAGTGAATATGGCTGGTCACAGGTGATCATGCAGTTGTGCAAGACATATTAACCATGAGCTGCGCAACAGAAGTGTGATATTCGTCTGACCTTATTAATGGGGACTATTCTTATTTGAGTTGAGAACCCGAAAGATGGTTCATTTGAACAACCTCCACACATCTATGTTATAGCAGTGTCCTAGTGAATATAACTAAAAATGAAAAATTATAGTTTGTGAAATCAATCCCCTTCCATAACATACTGATCAGTTATGATTCCTGTGTAAACTAAAAATAAAAAACCCCAAGAAAAGAACAAACATGTTTAAAAATCTCTGTGATGATACAAATATATCTAGTCACTTCAAACATGTGCAATATCTACAGCCTCACATGAAGAGCTTGTTAATAACTTGGAGAAGATTCTTCTTTCTAATTTATATTTGTACTGATCATAGTTTTGTAATAAAACTGTTTACAAATGCATTCAGGTTATTTATACCAACCTACAATTCCTTCACATGTGGTGTAATGAAAGTCTAATGTCAGGTGTTAAACTTTTGCATTAAAAGTAAAATAACCGACGGAAACTGAAATTTAAAACATCCCTTTCAGAGTTCAGTGGGCAACTTGTCAGTGATCAGAGGTTCTGGTAAAAGTTCCATCAGGAAATCTACCACCTATCTTTTAATATATTTTAGTAATTTCCACATCAACAATAAAATGTCATTCCTAATCACTGCAGTGGATACAGTGAAGCTTCTTGCATTTGAGAAATACTGTGCACCAAATTTCCTTCAGTTTTCATCCAGACATCTGGAAGTATTATCCAGTGTGTCCAGTAACCTTGCTGGCTGGTATTTAAATTCTATGTCTGCATGCTTGTCACTTAGTGCAGAAAGAGATGATCTGATAAAGGACTAAGAAATAGGTGGTAACTTTCTGAGGAAAACAATGATCTGCATGAGTGTCCTGTGGGCTAACAGTGTGGATAATACAGTACTGTCATAATTGTAAATTCACAGACATATCAGAAGTACAGAAGTATCAGAAGCACATACTGTACTCTGCAAAATGGATAATTACACAGATATGGAACCATGTGCAATGCAATGCTGCTGTGCTTACCTTCTGTGTACGCAGTAATCTCTTCATCACTTCGGTGGCCTTTTCCATTGCATCATCAAGTTCTGCCACACCTGCCTCATTCTGTAAATAATTCAAACCTCTAGTCACTGCAAAATTTAGCAACAAATATTATTTCCACAGACAATATTAAAAAAAACTGCTTGTAAGTCTAAAGCAATCTCTATCTTTTCTATCCTTAAAGAGCTTAATCTTCTTGAAACATATTGTGACATGAAGGCCAGAAAAAAGAGCCATAACTATGCAACAGCTTCTAAACACATTTCAACAGCAACCAAAACACATTTCTGCAGCAATGAATTAACATGCAACAACTGACATACTGCTGGAGAATCAAAATGAAACAACAGAAGACTGCTGGATGCAGTGTTTTCTGTGTGGTCCATCCTGAGCCTTTATAACTTCTGACTTTGGTTAGTGGAAGATACCCAGTGCCTGGAGGTATAAACGGGCCACCCTACTGCTGGGGGGTATAACTGGCCATCCAGTTTGGGGGAGTCTTGAATCTGAGACAATAAAATATGGTCATGAATACCATGGGATTCGAACCCAAGAATAACTGCACTGGTGAGGACCAGCAGCAACTGTAAACAATAGACCCATCCTCTTGTCAGAGAGGATGTTACATAAGGACTATAACTGCAAGTGTTCATGTGAGGGGGGGGACTTGTTGTGGGTCTCAAGGGTGCTTACGTGCCAGGACGAACTGATTGGCAGTAAACTGCCAGTCACAAAGTAACTCTGACTCTGACTCGTGCATGTTTGGAGACTGGTTCAAATACCTCTGAGAGAGTAAAATATGGTAATGACTCCTGTGGGACTTGAACCCAAGAATGACTGCACTGGTTAAGACCAGCAGCAATTGCAAAAATCAGATCTGTCCTCTCATCAGAGAGTGTGCCTGACAGCAGCAAACCCGCAACTGTCTGATAGTGACAAAAATCTGATCTTGGGCCAAATATGGGGCTTGACACCAAGACAGAGTGGCTGACTGACCATCAGTCATAACAGAACTTTGACTTTGACTCGGTTAGCAAGTCATGGCTAAACTCAAGAGCTGCAGCTGAGCATGAGTTGTGAGATGGTAGCCGGCCAATGACGTCAGCAGCATGGAAGCCGAGGAGTTGTACTGGCAGATGCTGGCGAAGACTACAACCGACTTGAGACTTTTCATGTGCTGCTGTGATTTGTAAAGTGTGTAGAATAGCTATAGTGTTACAATAATCTGTAGTTACCCGTTATAAACATTTAATAAATCCAATTATCAATCCAAACCCTGTATCTAGTCATTAACATGTGACAATATGCACAGGTGAAGCCAAAAACAAAAGTGGGGACACAAAGAAAGAATAATAGTTATTTCCATACTGACCGGCAAATGCAACAGAGGGCCATATTTCTCATCTTACAACTGTAAGTTCTTTTTATTCCCTCCTTCCTGCTCTCCATACTAATAAAAAATGGAAGTGGATGTGAGAACCTGCACCAATAACTCACAGATGCATAAGTGGAAGAGTGGGGGAATGTGTAGGATTATATAATAACAATTACAAGAACTCAAGAAGTCACAAAAACTTAGTTCACTGACTCTTACTAGAAATATGTTAAGTTATGGCTGTGCTTATGGACAACATCAAGAAGGGAAAATAGATGTTAAGATACACAAATTCTTGACCTTGCCATCCATCAGAAGAATAACCCATAGTTAAATGATTCCATCCCTGGTATTCAGTGGACAGAAGGCTGAGTTTGCTTAGGGTCAGTCTGGATGCAGTAGCAAAGAGAAAAATTTCTGCCCCTGATGATAAATTAACATGCACTGTCCTGGCCAGTCCAATCATTTTGAACTGTCAACTCAAAATGTACAAGTCTTTAATATTACTGAAATGACAGTTATCAAATAATATTCACTATGGCAGATATATGACTATACACCACAAATACATAAGCAGTTTTTCATTGCATTTTTCAATATATTTTCATCTTCTCAATTTTATGTTGAGTTTTGTTATGTCTTCAAACATAAAAAGTACGTGAGTTGAATGAAAACCTTAATTTTTTCACCAGCTAATTTAGTGTAAATAGGTTTGGTACAATGTGTCACTTTCCAACACTTTCCCTGTCCTCCAGCACTCTACTAACATCTGGATTCCTCATGGCAGGGAGGGGTGGGTGGGCTTTAGTTGCATGCATAGTCACATATGCACTGCCTCTTGCATTTCTTCACCAGTCAGAAGTCTTTAAACCAAGAGCCTCCTTGAATGGCCCAAAAATATGGTATTCACAATGGGTGAAGTCAGGTGAGTATGGCAGAAGAGGGAGACACTCAAAATGAATGTCCCTGATTAACTCAGCTATCACATGGGCAGTATGTGGCCCAGTGTTGTTATGCAGCAATAACACATCAGTACTGAGCAGTCCATGATGTTTTGATGAGATGGCTGGTCTCAGATGATTCCAAAGGAGACTGCAATGGGAGGCATTGGTGACTGTGGTCCCCTTAGACATGTAGCGCTCTACAAGTGAGCCACTATGATCCCAGAATGGTGTTTTTGTGAGCAGGAATGATACCAATCTTTGTCCACCCTCTTCATTTCAGTCTGGTAGCAGCAGACCCAGCTTTCAACTCCAGTCACTATGTGCTTCAGGAAGCCATTACCTTCTGTTTCATGCCTCAGAAAAAGTTTCTGGCAGACATTCATATGTCTTTCCTTTAGTTCAGGAGTCACTTGTCAAGGCACCCACCCCGCAGACACTTTGTGGAACTGAAACATGTCATGATATTATATTGAGCTGAACCATGATAGAGGTCTATCACAGAGGCAACCTCAATCACCTTAAGACAACAGTTTTCCTTAATGACATGTTCATCCTCCACAGTTACATGTGGCATTACGACTGTGGGCTTGGCTTGGTCGAGTGGCATCCATGACACTAGACACTCAATTTTTAAACTTCTTTCTTACTCCATTTGTATACCTTCTGCAGAGATAAGTACCTCTTACCATACTGCAAAATTACGCAACAGTGGATTTTGGGGGGTTTCTTACCTTCACTAACCAAGAAATGGATTACAGAGAGTTGCTCATCCTTCATGCAGGCTTCAAATACTGCAGCCACCTCTGCACACTCCATTCATATCATGAAGCACACACTGTCAGATCTGCCATACATATAACATGCTTCTAACCTATGCTGATGACGTGCTGTGCCTACAGCAGCACACAGCAGGATCTCACTGCGTTCACACCTTTAAGGTTTCACTGACTCATCCTCATATGTTTACACCAACCTTCTGCTTCTTTGTGATCACTCCATGTCCCTGGTGAAGACAGATGACACAGTGCGAGCATACAAATTCATTGCAATCTTTGCAGAAAAATTCTATTTTTTGTAATGGATGATCCTCACAAACTGGTTGCTCAAATGTATGCTGCTCACATGCTTCATCTAATGAAGATTTCTGGTGTTTCGACAATGCCTTAGCAGTTTTATGAACCTAAAAACAAACAGTTAGGTTAGTGTTCAATTTAACACCAATCACTTTTCTCAAAGGAAAATAATGTAAGGTGCAGCTGTGCAAGGAAGAAGTATTTAGTAACCACAGAACACTAGTCAAGAAAATATAATGCATACTTTGTAAAATGTTTCTAAATTCAGGTCTGTTGTGACTATTTAACATAAATTTAGATGCCATTTCAGGTGGCAGAAATAGTAGTGTTCCATGTCAAAGACCATCATAAATTGCATTTAAATGCTTGTTCTTACTCTGATCAAGGACATGAACAGCCTGTCATCTCTTCCACAGTCAAAAAATGATGCCGCCTTTAACCTTTTGTGGTCCTATGTCAGACTGAGTCCACCACTTTTAATTCCATGTTCTGGTCCTAAGTAGGACTCAGTCCACCACATGTTTTATGAATATTATAGATGATCTGGAGTCACTCTGAGAAAGGCAAACAGTGGCAGTGTGTCATTCAAGCCTTCCTCTTTGCAGTGGCATTATCAAACCATTTGTTTTAATACTTCTGTGAATTTTGATACACTTTTCTCTGTAGTTATATTTCAATGGCATCTTATAGTGGGTATGCACTGGACAGCAAACAGATCCATGGACAACTATATGATGACTCAGATTCTTTCGGTGAATTTAGTCACCATTCAGATACTGATAAGCCTGATCATACTGACCCTGACTGGAGTGACAGTTACAGTAATTTTGATGATGGTCAGGCAAGTAGAAATGTAAGTGGTGACAACAGTGGTAATGGTGGTGGTTACAATGATAATGAAGACTGGGCTCTCTAGGATGAAAATAACCATGATTTCTAAATAATACCATCTTGTGCCTTATCTGGTTATAAACCACCTCAAGCAGACAAAATGTCTGTTTCTCCAGACAAATATTTTAAGCTATATTTCAGGGAAAATGTGTTGGAAGAAATAGCTGCTGAAAATAGCAGATATATTTAATAAAACCTGTACATTATAAAAGTGCAGTCAGCAAAACTTCCAACTATGTCTCACCTGGAGTTCATACTGAAAAATGATTTAAGGATTGGTAGGAAATGTTCAAAACAAAACGACCCAAAAGAAAGCAGATCAAGTTCAACAGATGCAGAAGACTGAAAGGCAAACTGCACCTAATTCAAGCACATGGTGGGAAGGTAAAAATGGATTGTGCAGTTTTCTCCAAAAGAGAAGTCAAAGGAGGCAGAAGAGAACTGTCGTTCTGTTGCAGCACCTGTCTAAGGTGGCAAGGACTCCACCCCAACAAATGTTCAGCCATATATCATACAGCGAAGAAGTACCACTTGGTATGTAGATAATAGAAATATTTTATATCCAATAAAGTTAGAGAAAAGAATATCCCATCTTTCCAGTAGAAAATTTGGTTCTTTTTTTAATATTTTTATGCATACAGCATTCCACCACTGACATGTTCAATGTCTTTATCCACATTCTTAATATGCAGTGACATCGCCACTGAAATGTTCAATTGCTTTTATCATGTGTTCTTTATATGCAGTGAATTCATCCTTTACTCTTCCCTTACATCCGTGTTGACCTCAGTCTTGAACTTACAAATACCAACAGCTGGAATGAAAACATAGCTTGGAGATAATTACATCAAATGCTTGCACCTCATGTGTCAGCATATAATATGAGACCTTTAGACTTCACAAACTCTTCCACAAATTCTTATTCAGAGAGATGAGGTTTGGTGTGTTCTCCCCCCATCCCCAGCAACCATAAAAAGAATGGCACCATTCACTGCATGTGTCACTAGCTGACACCTTACAGTCCCTGTCAATATTCAAACAGTAGACTCTTTGACCCTTGAAGACCATATTTTAAGCACACTTTGCAACATTTCTTTATCTTACAGAAATTTTAAAGAAAAACAAACCATTTCATAATAGTAGCTGAAAGTAAATAGTTCAGTAGTATTTAAGAGCAGCAGAAACCTGTAGTGGTATTTAAATTGGACCACAAAGGGTTAAAACAGGTAACTGTATTCACAATGGTGGTGCCTACTTAATAAACATTTTCAAAAGATGATGAAACAACATAATTACTGAGGGATATTATGAAGCTGTAATCACAATAAAGGTATTTTTAAATTTGTAAAGTAATAACCTTTTTAAAATGAGTAATCATTTTTGCCTGTCCCTGTATAATACTATTCTCTTATCAAAACACTAAAAGATTTGCGGTTTTCAAGGGCAGTGAAGATTTATTTTGTGAGCTTCTGGGTTATCGCACTGTGTAGACTCATGAGTGTTACTAATATTTCAGAGGAACATGACCCAACTCCTTCAAGGGAGAAGTGAAGATGGAGACTGCAGATTCCTCAGAAAAATTGGTAACCACCCAACAAACTACATGCTGTCATACCACAGAAGTTAACAATGCTGAATACAATATAAAATCCCATTATTTCAGAATTTAATTTTGTCATAAATTTTGTTATGAAATACACTATTACTGTTGTTTTTGTTGCTGTTATTACGTAATGAACTGTGAGGCTTTCAAATATTTACGCAGGAGTCAACAAAAGCAGAATTAAAATTGCACCATCTGTTTTTGCAGCTCAGTAATTTGATTATCTGTAAAGTTTTGTTTTTAAGAGAGCTGCTGTCTATACCTTTACACCCTGCCCTATCAATGGTAAAATATCTGACATTTCTTCAGCGCCATATAACGTTCGGATAAAACTGAATGAGAAGTATTCATACCACCACTCCATAACGAGCCAAGTGGTAATTAGGATACTTCCATTTTACCTTCCACTTTAGACCTAGTGACATTTAAAGAAGTTATTCCTGATATGATCTCTATATGATCATATTCTGATTTACTAACATGAAACAATAATGTTACAGCCTGACTTTTCAAAGTTTAAAATTTTTCTTACTGGTTTAATGATTTGGTTTCAGACATTTTAAAGTTCCTTTTCACCATATTTTTTTAAAGTTCCTTCTATCAGATATCTACACGGTGAGGCAAGAAAGTAACGAGACTGAAATAAATTTAAAATATGCAGCAAGAGTACCATTCCATGAGAGGCTGCTATACAGGCACTGAAATTGGACCTTGGCAGTCCCATGAGCCATGCCTTGGCTCAATATACTATTCCAGAAACTTCCTGTTGCTTTCCTACACACCATGTATTTTTACCCCTTCCTTTCCTTCGGGTCAACTTCCGATTATAGCCCCACTCCCTTATCCACCAAGGCCTTGCTCACTGGCAGGCATGCTGCAGATTATTCAGGATTAAGCAGCTGATTTGCGTTAAGAGCTCTGGTTTGGGCCACATACCTTGAGGTGGTTAAGATGAGGGTTCCAGAACAGAAGACTAGGAGGTGATCATCTTGTTTCCAAACTTATATTTGACTTGTGTTTTCTTAAATTCCCTTTGGGTGCACCAACCTCTGCCAGTTCTGCCACATATTGGCTGTTTCATTGCTTAACCCTATCTCATGGGTTAGTGCCAGTGCCGTGATTGTAAAGTACATTGTTTTTTACATTTATCTGCTGTCTTCCAGCCTTGATCTGGGCATTCCATATCCAATATCCACACCAAGAGGAGTGAAATACTGTCAAATACATTTGGGCCTACTGTGTGTGTGTGTGTATCATGGCCTCATCTGATTGTATTCTTTTGAGTTATTTATTACACACCCATTGGGCCCCCATTTCACTGGACTGCCTTTTACTGTGATCTTACCTTTCACTGGCCTTGGGATCGTTCTAAGTGGCGATTTTTGCAGACTGGCATATTGTATCTGGACCAAACCCCCATATCCTTATGTACTATATGCTAACTGTAACCAGTTGAGCCTGAGCTGTTGTTTTATGTGGACATGCTTTGTGCATCATGCATTATGCACTTTCAGAAACTGCACAATGGAATGAATCAACATAAAGTTTTGTGTACTGAAAAAGCCCTGTTGAAACACATGAAATGCTGTGAACAGTTCATGGGGATGAGGCTCTGCCTTGAGTACAAAAATTTCAATGGTTAAGCATTTTCAAGAGGGCAGAGAGATGTGGAAGATGACCCCCACAGTGGATGACTGAAAACGGCCTTCAATCCGGAACAAGTGAGCAAGGTGTGTAATTTACTTGGAAGAGACTGCTGATTGGCACTCAAAATGACACAAAGTGAATTAAATGTGAATAAGGAATTGATAAGATCCACAATTACCTCAGACTTGAGTAAGAGAAAAAACTGTGAAGTATGTGTCACACAATCTGAATGAGGAGGAAAACTGATGACTGGAAGCCTCCAAAGATTTCATGCAAGCAGCTGATGGTGAACCTGGTTTTCCAAACACCATTACTAGAAATGAGTCATGGTGTTTTCAGTAGGATCTTGAGACCACAACACAAAAGTGCAGAATGGTGATCACTAAGCTCACCAAAACCAACAAAAAAGGTTTGTTTCCAAAAATCATGCATCAAAATTGTGCCCATCAAATGGATGATTCATATGGAATCTGCACCAGAAAAAAGGGACTGTCAAAATGAGTACCACCGGGAAGTACTGCAATGTTTGTTGGCAAGAATGAAGCATATGAGGCTAGATATGGAACTTCCTGATTGCTGGCTTTTGCATGAAGAACATGCCCGCTCATGCAATAACCAATAAGAGGATATTTCTGGCCCAAAAAGTGATTGCAATGCTCAATAATCCTCCTCACTCCATCACCCTGGCACCAGAAGACTTTCCTGCATCCAAAGTTGAAACTGAGATTGAAAAAGTTCGCCAACTTGAGATGATCAATAACATTAAGAGCATGACAGCAGAACTGAATACCATCACTGCAGATGAGTTTTCAGTCTTTTCAAAGTTTATATGATTGCTATATGTAATAAGTACATTCAGTCTCTCAGCAACTATTTTGAGGAAAACTGGTAATAAATGTGCTGCCCTATGCATTGTTCTTTTTTTTTTATTTCAGTCTCATTTTTTTTTTTTGCATTATGTATCCATCATGCTGTAACATAAACTATTTACAACCAATAATGGGGCGCGCCATAGCTCAAGCGGTTAGTCACTGGCTTCCTACTGTGGCGGCCCAGGTTCGATCCCAGGTCTGGTCAAGTGAGATTTGTGGTGGACAAAGTGGCACTGGGGAAGGTTTTCTCCGAGTACTTCGGTTTCCCCTGTCAATCATCATTCCACCAACTGCTCCACAATCACCTTCACCTATCATCTGAGGCTGGTATAATAGGCCAGAAGTGGTCGCAGTACAAGGGACTTAGTCCCACCCTACTAGCAGCAATACAACAAATAATTATATCACATAATACACTTATGAATATCATTTCAGAGTATATGAAAATTTTGCCTCTGCTGGTACATGAACCTACCACCGCTAGTTCTATAATGCTGGAGCAGCAGCACAGACAGCAGGTTTAAAACATCAGGAATAGAGAAAGTCCTTTCACATTTGTAATTTCAACAAACAATTGCTTTTAGGGTGGCTTACTTACTTACTTACTCATGGAGCTGAGCCCTTCTGGAGGAGCTGCCAATTCTGCAGCTACTCAAGAATTTCCCAGCATTTTATGGAACCACAAGGTTCATTACCATGTTCACAAGAGCCCTCCACTGGTCCCTATCCTGAGCCAGATCAATCCAATACATCCCATCCCTCTAAGATCCATTTTAATATTGTCCATCCACCTATGCCTTGATCTTCCCAGTGGACTACTTCCTTCTGGCTTTTCCACCAATATCCTATACGCATTTCTCGTCTCCCCCATTTGTGCTACATTCCCTGCCCACCTCATTCTCCTTGTCTTGATCAGCTTTTAGGGTGGCACTCATAAAAAACAAATGCATCAGACAAAGTTTACTATAGAATTCCTGGGAACTGTTTAGCGAGCCCTAGCATCTGTAAATCATGAATCTAATTTGTTTAGACACAAAACAAAACGTTTACTTCTTACCATTGTGAAACAATGGTCACAGTATAGAACCTCACACTGATGACACTTCCATTCTGCAGTTGGTTCCGAACATTCCACACATTTGTCTGAAAGAAAGATAAAATAATAATTTATGCACTGACTGACTGACCAACCAACAAACTCCACAGATGTAAGTCCTTTAGAAGCCAACAGCTGCTCCACCACTCAAGAAGTTCCCAGTATTTTATGGAATTAAGTTCATTACCATGTCAAAAGTAACTCACTAGAGGTACCTATCCTAAGCCAGACGAACCTAGTCAATACTCCCATCCTATTCTTCTGAGTTCCATTTTATACTATTCTCCCATCTGCATCTAGGTCTTCCTAGTGGTCTCTTTCCTTCAGGTTTTCCTACCAAACCCCTGCATGCACGCCTCTCCTTTCCCATGCATGCTACATGCTGTGCCCATCTCACACTCCTTGACATGAATGATCTGTGCACACGTTTCTCACTGTACAAGCAGATTATTCTATCAAAATTTTCCTGTAGAAACCCCCACTGCTTATAAAAATTAAATTTTATAGTGAAAAATTAGCAAGAATTGTGTAAACACTACCCCAAACATGAACATAACACAGCTTCTTAGCCCATTTTTGTTAGGCTCAAAATTCAGTGTCTATGAATTCTGAAATAGTCCAATGTTATACTCACTAACATGACCGCCTCTAATGTTACATTTTATTACAAAATGTATGGATTTAGTCTTTACTATATGGAATTTCTTATGCTCTTGAGTGAACATTTTTCCTTCAAATATCGCCATATCATGTACATAGTGGTGCGACGCCTAAAATCCAGAACATCTGAGACACAGCAGGCATCCATTTTTAGGCAACGGCTCGGTATCCATGGTTCTTATCATTGTCGGGGTGACGATGGAAGAGGTTCATGCAACAACGCATGAGTACATAAGAGACGTTAGCACTCAAGTGAAAGACCAGAACTAGTGAAGTGCCTGCGGCAATGAAAACAGCTACCAGTGCACAGAACATGTGAAACGGGACCCTTGAACAAGGTATCTTCCAGGCTGTCTGACTGTCAGTTACAACAGACCAAGAGAGGTCAGTAGTGAGAACAGGTCAGAGGAGACTTGAGAACAGGTCATAACTCAGATCAGGGGCAAACAGAGCACAGCTGAGAGCAGAAGAAACCAGCTCAGCCAAGAACCAGGAGATGAAACATGAGAGACGATGGACTAGTCAGGTTGCAGAGTCTGGAAGACATTATTTCAGAGTGACTGTAATTGTAATTGTAATTGTAATTGTAACTGTAATCGAGTTATACAATAAACAGCTTCACCTAATTCGGAACCCATTAATTTCTTGTCGCGTTACCTAGGAAACATGACAATATGATGGCCCAATGTTGACCACTATTCCTTCATGGCAGTCAAGCCTGCCTCTTTGCAACAGCAGGTACCTTTTCTTTTACCCCCAATGATATACAGTCTCATGGCAGATGGACACAACCAGAGATAATATGCTCATGGCGAGCCACACATTCCTACATGAAAGTCAAACATCCCTGTCAATATTAATCACATGTTAAAAATCTATAACTTACATTACTTACACACACAATGAAAATGAACTATGAAACTCTTAACATAAAATACTGGACTCACGTTAAAACAAAGAATATATAAATTCAATACATAACTGCCCTTTTGAGCTAATGGTATTCACCAGTGTACTTCTAATGCATGACAAACCTCTTTTGTGATTTTGCTGCACTGTCTTTGATGTTGAAGCTTTGTGGGTAGATGAGGTAGCACCTGAAGGAACAAATGTAACTTTAGAATCTTCTGGTTCTTGGCCCCAGTGTCGAGCAGCAAATACACCCAGAAGATATATGTTTAAGGGGAAGTCCGACCTTACATCAACGTGTTGGTATCCTGTAGTGGATGTGTGTTTACAAATTCCACATACTACTTGATCTGAGTTACGAAGAGATGAGCGTATGCAGTTTTCACATACTGAATGCCCACAATGCAGAATAAGAGGGCAACGCAAACCACGAGGATGTAGTGGATCTGAAAAGACAATGTCAAATGTAATTTTACAGACATTTTAACACAGCCAAAGAAACACTAATATGCAGGTCATACTGAAAGTCATGAGCAACTTCTTTTGCATGCAACCTGGGAACAGCAGACGAAAGAGAGTATGGTGGTAGGTGGAACCAGCTGTTGTGTTAACCTTGAGCCTAAAGATAAAGGAAATCTCATTCAATTCACTGCAGATAGGATTTGATGTAAACCAGATGCTGGTAACATTTCTGTGATCACTAGTGCAAGACCTATACATTTCATAATTTAGAGCTGTGTGCACAACTCAATACATAAAATGATATTCAAATGATCATAAACAAAGCAATCCTAAATTTAGAACATAGTAATATCAATCTTCTGTTGTTCCATCAAAAATTCAATGGACTTCCAGACATAACTGCTAACGATGCATGATCACTGTATATTCCATGTTTTACTACATTAAAATTACCAGAAATATTAATGGTTAATCTTATGGATTACTCTCTCATCACTACTTCTGCAAATAAAATGGGAAGAAAAGGGATTGAGTGTTCTGTTAAAAAGTGTTGAATTTAATAATGCTTTACGGAACAGGATAGAATGCAGAAATGCAGAACTCCTAATTTTGTCCAACATATATCTTCTGGCTACATACATGTACAGACAGCATCCATATGGGATTCTGAAAACTTATTAAATAAGACAGATAACATTACAGATCACCTTTACAAACTCATAGCAGAATTTGCACTGGTAGTAAAATAAATGCTGATTACATAATTGAACATTATCACGAACAATGCCTAAATTCTAATGACAGACAATGACAGACACTGTTCTCGGCCATTGCACTCAATAGCATATAAGTAAAATTAGGACTGAATTCCATCAAGTGCAACAATTTTTCTTAATAATAAAATAGAGCCTTTACACATTTCAGCCAATGATAAGAAATAAGAACAAACACAGAACTGGGCAATTTATTATATCTGCAGATGGCTTACTGTGAAGGGACATAAACATCGCTGGGACTCGCAGCAAGATCTAATCAATCAAAAAATCTTTTTAACAAAACATACTCAGATACTAGCTTTTTTCCCCTTACAAGACAACACATGCACGTAATACATGTGAAGTATTTCCTTTAAAGTGTTGGTCACATTTCGATGATGGCCATCATCAGCCAAAACATGTGAAGGCTCTATTTTATTATTAAAAACACTGTTACACTTTATGGAACTCAATCCTAATTTTACATAAATGCCTAAATTCCCTACCAACATCATTTAACCTCATGTAAACTGTTAACTTCTCAGCAGACTGCCAGTGATAATTTCTTTATACATGTTTCCAGAAAAGATCATTAATTTGTTATACTAGTGATAAATTGACTACCTCATCATGATAATCTACAAGCAATAAAAACATAAAATCAATTGCCAATGATCACAAATACTGGAAACAAACTAAGCTAATAGATGTGTGGCATTTGAGGTGCTCATAGCAATGACTATGAAGGGTACTATAAAGAGTTCTATCTTGTGAGATAGAATGTGTAGTCTGTTGAATGTCAACAAAAGTTTCAGCGGAACATGTCACCTCATCTTCACAGTAAAAAAATAAGGCAAGCAAGAAACCAGCAAGAAGCTTAAATGTTGGTTAACTTTAAACAGACTTCACAGCATTATATCCCAGAAGATTGAACTCTTTATAACCACTGCTGTGAGAACCTCAAATCCCACAAGAGTACTACAGCCTGGGATGTGTTGCCATGTAGCCTGGTAGGATGATAAATAATGACACTATCAATGAATTTACAGCACATCTAATACATGAAAACTGGGGATCAGTATTGAACAGTCATGATGTCAATTTGAAGTTCAACATATTTCTAGATATTTTTTAAACATATCAGAGCAAGCTTTCATATTAAAACAGAAGTGTCTGACAAAAATAAATGACTAAAGTTATCATAGCATACTGCAAACATAAGATATATTCTTAACTAAGTAACCAAACTAGTAACAACCTAGTACTGAAAATTTACTAAATTTTTTTTAACTCAGATCATTATTGGGGCCAAATGCATACATCTGGCACAATTCAATACTTTAATTAAATGTATGCACTGTAACAAATATTATTATCAGATAATGAGGTATAAACAGTCTGGAAGATTTTGGAAATGGACACAGAAATATTCTCAAATATGAGAAGACCATTAATATGGATAAATGATGAAATTATAAATATACTTCAAGTTATAGCAAACTCTTTCATAACAATATGAACAACAATAACATCAAGAACTCAACAATGAAAGATGCAGTAAGTCACATGACTGAAGCAATTCCAGCAACCTTCTCTAACACAAATCTTATGCCTGAATTAGCAAATCAAATTCATTAAACAATTCATTCTCTCAAACAACACACATTCATTTGGTTATGATAATATATGACTTTTTGTCACAAAAGTTTAATCTGTACTGAACCAATGGTCACAAGAACTTTTACAAAATGACTTAAACATTGTAAAGGCAACAGTTATATATAAAATGGCCGAAAAATCTTGCATATTCAACAATAGATCCATCTGAACCCTTATGGCAATCCCTAAAATATTTATCTATATATGACCACATCTTCACCCCACCCACTTCAACAATGAAGATGGAGGTTGCATGTTCCTTTGAAATGTGTTCTCCACCTATAAGACAGTACGGGCTCACAACGCAGAAGACCACAATTTGTAGGTTGGTACTTCAGCGCCAAACATTCTCATTTTCTGGCAACTGTCACCATTCATGATGTGTATTTGTACCAGCCGTCTTACAGTGCACACAATTTCACTTTTCCCTTCACTACATGTTTCGGCACTAATGTGCCATCATCAGGTGTGGTTTTATTTACATCAAACCAGTGCACTGTATGCCATCATGTCTCCTTTATAAAATGATTAAAATGTATATATGTCATGTATAATAATCAAGTTTATATATTAAAACTTTTCAAGATTTATCATCTATACGTCGCACTTCTAATTCACGAGTTACGTCACTCCTCTCCTATGGGAGTACTATTCCTATATTCTTGTGTATATTGTGTTCTGTGTTGTGTCCTTCCCTTGTGACTGCGTGTACAGGGTGAGCCAGACTCAATTAGGCAGTTTTTGATCATTAATAACTAACCAATCCAACAACACACAGGATAATGGGAGAGTACCTTTTATTGTCGATAGATGGTAGCATCATACGGTATGATGTGAACGAGGTCAATACTCTGCCTACTTAGTGCCCATCGAGGAAACGTCATGGCCGGTAGACGGTTGTCTATTGAGCAGCATGTAAAATGTGTGCGCTTTTTCTCAGTTACTAACAATGTATCAGAAGCCGAGCGCAGGATGCTGGAAGAGTTTGGACCACCAGCAGTCCACAGGGACACAATTGTCCGAATAAACAAGCAGTTTGATGAAACTGCTAGTGCTTTGAATCCCAAGCATCCTGGTCAGCCGAGAACTGTCTAAACTGCTGACACACAAGAACGTGTTGCTGCGGAACTGGCATCATCTCCTCAGAAATCGAAGTCTACCCACTGTTTGTCGGCCCTACTGGACATTTCGAGGACAAGTTTGTGGAGAGTTTTGATTGACATGAAGCTGACGCCATACCATCCACAGCTTATTCGTGTTCTTAACGAGGACGACTTTGACAGGCGACTTGAGTTCGCCGAGTTGATGCTGACAAGTTTCAGGAGAACCCTGACCTTATCCGGAATATTGTCTGGACTGATGAGGCCAAATTTCACACATCAGGATCGGTCAGCAGACACAACTGCGTGTTTTGGCGGCCAGAGAACCCCAGTGCCACCATTGAATATGATTTCCAGTCCCCGGGAGTGATGGTGTGGGGCAGTGTGATGTACAAAGGACTGAGTGGCCCGTTCTTCCTTGAAGGTTGCGTCATGGGGGAAACCTACCTAAAGTTGCTGACGGAAAGTGTCATCCCAGAACTTCAGAGGAGAGAGAACTTTGATGAACTGTGGTGGCAGCAAGATGGGGCCCCACCACACTTTGCCAATATTGTTCGGGCATTCTTGCATCAAGTTTTTCCTCAACGCTGAATTGACCGTCGAGGGCCTGTGGAGTGGCCAGCCCGATCACCTGACATCACCCGACCAGACTTTTTCCTTTGGGGTTACCTCAAAGACAAGGTGTACGCTAACCCCATTGACAGTGTGAAACATCTGCATGAGGTAATTGTTCAGGAGTTCAATAAAGTTCCGGTGAATATGTGTAGAAAGGCGTGTGAAAATGTTGCTTTGCGTCTGCAAGCCTGTGTTGACTTAGGTGGTGCCCAGGTTGACCAGCATCTTGAAAATCGATGACTTATGTGTGTGCGATTCCATTTTTGTAACCATTGCAATTGTTAACATTTATCAATAAAAATAACATCTAATCAAAAACTGCCTAATTGAGTCTGGCCCACCCTGTAGAATATACACAAGAATATAGGAAGGGTACTCCCACAGAAGATTGACATAACTCACGAATTTGAAGTGCGACATATAGATGATAAATCTTGAAAAGTTTTAACATATAAACTTTATTATTATACATGACATACATAAATTTTAATCATTTTATAAAGGAGACATGATGGCATATAGCGCAATGGTTTGACGTAAATAAAACCACACCTGATGATGGCACATTAGTGCCGAAACATGTAGTGAAGACAAAAGTGAAATTGTGTGCACTATTAAGACGGTTGGTACAAATACACATAATGAACGTGAATCAGTGCAACAGGACGCTAAAATATAACTGTAACCATATTTATTACTGTACATTTAATTCACTAATTACGTGTAAATAAAGTTAACCATAAGGTTAAACTACGCTGAGACTACCACGGGCCAAGTGGCTCATTAAACCCAATAATTACAACACCTTGCTACAAACACGCTGCTTTTAAGCAGTCCGGGCGTTGCACAAAACCTTACCTCTGATTGAAAATATTTGTGAGCAGTTTGAGCACGACACATTCCTTGTTGGTTTACTTTCCATGTTCCTTCTCAATGGTAAAACACTTGTTTCTTAACGCCCAAAACGACTTAACTGTCTCAATCAAACTTATGCTCCCAAACTTCGTTACAACAAACTATTACATGTGGACCAATCCACTTAAACACACATCGTACCGATCGTACCTAACCCATTCCTTGTAACGCTACATGGGCTAGCAATTAGCTCCAGTCGTTTCAACCTTATGCACTTCGATGCTAATCGATAAAGATCGATATCAACTCACATTCTACGCTTGTACCACTAAAAGTGGCCGGTTCATGACATGTTTCTTGAGACGGTCTCATCGATCAGAAGCAGAAAACTTCCCTTATAGACGAATCCAGATAGCCAGCGGCGTGCTCTCCGGGATTTATGTCCAGCATATTATTGTATTTAAAAAAAAAAATTATGTATATATACAAAAATGGCATAGGCAATGCACATCCGGCCCTCTATAGCACATTCTTCTAAACATCTTATTCTATCATAGCGGTCACCCCGCGATTTTTTAACATCTCCCTTAACCCGAAAAATATACTATTTTGTATACATATATTTCTTTCTCTTTTTTAAATAAATCTAGGTATTTTGTTTAAGTAGCAGCCGCCTTGCACGAATCTTTTTTTTTCTCTTTCTCTAACCTTAGGAGCTCTGTGACTGACTTCTGGTATTCTTTTTTTTTTTCAGACAAAATGTCCATCATTGTTCTAGTATAGTTTAGAATCCCAGATGATATGTACCTCCATTTGCAGTCCATCACCACATTCACATTCAGATGTGGACACAATGTTAGATCTACTTAAGCTTGCTTTATTGACATAAAGGCATGAGGGTTCACTTTTATCTTATGTAACCACAGAGATGAACCATTCCAATAGTAATATTTCAAAGTAGCTTTCTCCTCTGCCTGTTTTGGTATTTTGACAGAAGCTGTGAAGCTCCTCTTTGCCATTTCTTTTTCCACTGGCCTAAGATCTGCCATTGGTAATACACAGTTGACTATCTCTGCCTGCTTTGATTGACCATTCTGCCTGAGTCAGCTCATTCAACAACTTCCAATTCACAGTGCCCCAGGATCCAGTAAAATTGGGATTTTTTCCTTTGTGATTCCAGTCTATTTTGTCTTTAAGAATTTGAGCAATGTACGACACATTACTAATTCCTTTTAGCACACTTTCGAAGCCCGAGAAAATCATGGAATTTTGCTCAAAGTTCATTTTTTGATGATTTCTAGTGTTTCACCAATTGCTAGTGCTTCTACTGTGAAAGTGGACCTATCCTGAATTTCCAGCTAATACCATCACTTACATCTATTACTGTAAATCATATGAAGTGTTTGTCCTCCATTACTCCTTCTTACCTCGCCTCCATCTGCGAGCCGACTGCCTTGAAAATGTGGGGGCCTTGATGACTCACAACTCTATGGGCCTCCATGGGCTGTTACAGGGATAGCTTTACCTCCTCCTCCTTCTTCTTCTTATTCATCATCATCATCATAATCATCCAGCTGGGTTCACAATGTGCCATAACCCACCACACATCCAATAATAACAACAGTCCAATGCTCCAATAACAAGTCTGTATTGTTTTATTCTATACCTTTTACACTAAATAATGTGGCACTTACCTCAAGTTCATTTTCATTTTTCCTTGGCTCTCAGGAGAAACAGCAACTTTTTCCTAAATACTAATCAATTGATCTTTATAACATATACAAATTGTTTCCTTGGAGGTAGGAAATGAACGTTCAAATATCAATTAGACAAAGCTTAGACCCATAACAGATTAATATAATATGGATAAGAAAATAAGGGTAAATAAACAGTAAGCACAAATGTTTTAACAAGGTATAGGGTGAACAATATTTCTTCACAGATATGAGATGTGTGTAATTTATGTTTCTGTATTCAAGGCATTCAATCTGAAATTCCACTTAAATTTGAAACATAAAGGCTATTATGTTAATTTATTTTTGTGTGCAAGACTATCTCTAGTTTAAAAAAAAACTGTGTACTTTAAAAATGTTATCATCTTATTTTACTGCTCTTAAATCACTTGTTTGATCAAAGGGCTCAAGCAAGTTCAATAGAATACAGGTATTTAAAAGCATTTTTTATATCACAAATTATTAGTTTATTGCTTTACCTTTTGCTTATGATACAAAAACAAAATACCTGTCATTAGAGGGTGACAATATTAACTAAATGCCTGACAAATTCTCAATTTGGTAGCAAGATATAAAACATGTATATAACAAAGTGAAGATTTCTAGAAGTTTTTACATTCTTTTCAGTGATCATCCCAAACATCTAGTATCATCCATACCTACAGCTTTTACAATCCAACACAAACACAAATTAACAATTCATGTATTACAATATATGGAGTACATACAGAAATCCAAATTGCAGAAGTATCCAAATAAATCCCCCTTATTTGCTGTTTGTTTAAACACAGCTGTAGTAAATAATGAACAGAAAATAAAATATCACCTACCACCTGAAAAAAAAAACAATATTTCTGTGAAATGAAATGTGAAACAATCCAAGTTTCACACCAGAATTATGAAATAGCTCTGGAACTTAATATATACAGCGTCTAAGGAGGAAAGATCAATATTCTGGGAGACCATAGTTTGATCATTCTAAGCAACAAAGTGTATATGTACAGGTGTCTTATTCCAAATGGTTTCTGAGACAGAGCTCTTACACTGTAGAGACAAGCAACATTTCATGTCTTCACGCAAGTTGCAAAGTTCATTGTTACTGATGGTGGAATTTTTGAAAATGTATGCAAACTGTACCAACTGTCACTTGAACAATAGATATCAGTATTAGAAGCAGTAGGTAGTATCTTTTTCTTATCACCAAGTTTTGAACTATACAGTGAAATAGCTCCATCTCGGAAAACACTCGGAAAAGGATACATGCATGTTAGACAAGTTATTGCTTAGAATGGCCAATACTATGACCACCCAGAATACTGACCTTTCCTTCTGGGCCACTCTGGATATACATGATGGACATACTATTACTTCTATTGTCAATATCAATTTGAATGCAAGGGACATGCCCCTCACAAGACACAAAATCAAATTAATTTGTGAACCATGACACTGGTTTAAACAATCAGAACTAAGTACATTTATGCAACAATGATTCATGTAACTGACTGACTTAATGAAATAATAGATTTATATGAAATGCTTAAAATCATTTGCCAAGTGTAGTTAGAATGGTAAATGTATGCACTTTTAAATTCAAAATTAACAAATATGCATTAAAACTGAATGCCCATCTGACATGGAAATTTCATTCATATGAAATGCTGACAATTACTGTATATGGAATAGTTAAAATATGGAATGCATGCATTGCTTATTTCAGATTTAACAAAGAGGTAACAAAACTGAATGCACAACTCAAAAATGTACCAAACACTTTGCCTTTAAGCAATGACCACTCAGATTTCCCTCAGCAATCTAATTTCTGTAGCAAACATGCCCTCAGTATAAAGGAATCTAATCTGCAAACCACAATGCCTTAAAATATTCTAGAATAACTGCACATTTCAACAACATGAAAGCATAGAATTGGCGTAAAAGGTAAATGTTGTGTATATTTAAATTTTGGTATTATTATTATTATTATTATAATTCAAATTCAACTTTCAACTTATAACTAAACATTCAAAGTATTCCCACTTTTTATCTGGTGCAAATGGATACATAAGAACATTCCACTGTCAGAGTTTGCTGTGTGGTACATTATGACTCTGCAGCCTTAATGAATTATGATGGCACTGCAATGTGACAAGAAACAACTTAATCTGTATGCTCCTATAATTCATCTGGCTCCCTCATTTATAATGTAGAGCACAGAAGAAGAATGAAGACAACACAAATGGGAGAGTCCTAAGGAGAGCCTTGAGTGTAATAGAATGATGGAGTTGTAAGAAATGAGCCCATCTTGCAAAAGACATGTTTTTAATTATAACATATTGTTACTGGAAGGCATAAGATATATTTACATTGTGCACAGCAATTTTACACGTCAAACTTCTTAATCATTAGAAAAGTCAATAAATATGGAACACACTCCCTTGCATAACAATATATACGGCATATAAAGCACTGCAATAATCAGCAAAAGACTGTTAGGCTATCTCATTTGGACCACAAATAATGGAAATATGTTTCCTTAAGATTTTTATATGCAGAGACAAATTCAATACAGCACTTAAAAATGTGTCATTAAAAAAATAGTTCAGGAATGTTACAAAGATTTATGAATTAGGCTTTAAAAAATTATGCCAAATACATTCCATTTTTCAAACACATTTATACTATCAACTGTGTGGATGGCATCCATTTTTTATACCACTCACCTACTTCCTAAGGCTACTGTCAATATGAGGCTACTTCTTTCACAGGATGGTCATCAAGTGTAGGGTGTGAAGAAGACTGAACTTCAATAACACTATTTGTTGGGGCACTGCTTGATGTTTTTGCTGGTGTAATGGAAGGTTTTGCTTTCCTTGTTAGGTATGCAGAACGTGGGTAGGGTTTCAGTACGACACTAAACTTTCCACTGCGAGGACGAGCAGCTCGGTAGAGAGCTACTGAAGACAAACACTGAACCTTTCTGCTGGAAAAGAGGGTACAAAGTAACACATATGTACTATTCAAAATGTCATGTATTTGACTTTAAACATCAATCTTGCCCTGTAACTACTACAAGACATACACTACTCCAGGAAAAATTTAGCTAATTTCAATTTCAATACAGAAATAAGAATGTGAACATAGTGCCTTCAAATAAGCCACGATTTCATATTACCAGTTCAAAGTTCATAATAATAAGTCAATTTTCTGAACATGTACAGACGTGCAGAGGAATCACTGACACATAATTCATTAAAAATACAAAATATTATGCTCTAAACTAAAGTCTGAAACAAGTTCCATTTTCTTCAGGGTTGGATACCCTTTCCTTCGTTCCTTCACAGTAACAGCAACAACAATAAAGTGGCAAGATTAAGAAAAACGTTGCACATCAAGGGATATCAAAATATAAGTTACATGCACAGCATCACTGTTTGGAAGCAATTATATCTGTCAAACTGGAATCTTTCTGCTTTTCAGAAAGGTACTATGTTTACCACTATTAAACTATTCAACAGATTGTCCATAACCATTCAAAGCCTTAAAGATGATAGAATTAGTTTTAAAAATAAGCTGTCTTTATATCTTATGAATAATTTCTTTTATACAGTTTCTGAATATGTGGAGCATAACATAAACAATTAGTTTTAATTATTCTGTTACCTGTGTGTTTGTTTAAATTTTTTGTATTTGTTTTTTTTATATGACGACCTTCATGTCCATTTGTTTTGGACTTATGAAATGAAATGTATGTATGTATGTATGTATGCAAAGGTCCCACCATGCTTAAGCACCATACTATGCACATATATTGGGGACAATGAATTAATGTCCCATGCATTATAGACATTGACACTAGCTGGAGATGAGTGGCAAGCTTTCTGTCCCTGATGCCAACTCCTTGAGGAAAAACACATGCTACCTATCAAACAGGGGGCCAAGCAGATATGCCAGTGTTTTTTCGATGTGATGATAAAGAGCAGAAATCAAACCACACTTATCCAGCCCAATAGCTTTACTGAGCAGAGGTCACACAAAAATCCTATATGCAACATACTATTTACCTTCAGACTGAATTAACAACAATGAGTCCAGCTAATAATGACTCTACTTTCCATGTAACGTACTATTTACCTTCAGACTGAATTAACAACAATGAGTCCAGCTAATAATGACTCTACTTTCCATGTGAGGGCATCACAGATGACTCTACACTCTTCTTGTGCTCAAATGGAGAAATCATACATTCTTTCACTTTTTGGTATAATGATCCAGGCTGCATTGCTAATGATCCGTTGAATGTTAGTGGTTAATGCTACCGATTATGTATACAATATTAATAACAACATAAAGATGAAACATAATATTAAATTACCAAATCAGGATATCTTCTCTCTGGACAAAACAATGTTCTGAACATAAACAAGCAATAGGGCACAATGCATGTATGCCGCCCATGCACACGCGTGCGTGCGCACACACACACAAATCAACCATTTACCTTTCAACAACAGGTTGTGTTTCATATTTTTCTTCATGTGCTGGTGGAGGGCTTGGGCTTGTTGGGAAGGTCTTCGACTGGCTGGCAGAGGACTGAAAAATATACACGTAAGTCAGGGGTTGCCAAATTTTCTTCAGTAATGGATAACTAGGAGAAGAATACAATTTATAGCAGGCACCACATGAATCTACCAAAAATAAGGATGTAAACTGAAATAGACTACGAATAGTGATATAACCCATGTTATCACAGTTCCCAAAACATCGTTTTGCATGCAGGCACAACTAATTTTCTTATAAAATGTCACTATGATTTAGATGTAAACAACTCAATTGATGTGATGCTACAAAACAATTTAAAAAGACGGAACTCCTAGGCACTGAACAGGAATTTGGTTCACAGACAGGAAATCATCATGTACTTTGCACATATCAGCTAACATGGAAACTGTAAATATTTCAGAATCCTCTTGGGTACCCAAACTCTTCGAAGGATATAAAGCTGCCTGTGGTCATAAAGTTGGTGATACCCAAAGTTAGGGACTCAACTTAATTTGTAATGTAACAAATTTTGAAGGTTTCCTGACTACTAAAATTAATAATTTCATTACATGGTGGCCCCAAATTTCCTACAAATTAAGCAGCTGATAAATATGTAACACACAAGGATGTCAACTGGCATGACTTTGTGTACAATAGACTGCATCACTGTCCTAGTCATCAAAAAAACTGGTATACAGAGATCCTGCTTTCATGTTTTGTGGTTTAAAATACAGAATGTAAGGCATAGACACAAAAAGTAATGATTCAATTTTATGATTCATGTGACCAACTTTCTTTTACAAATCTGCCAACATGTTAAAAATTACATTCTGAGTAGGAATTTCAGATATTGGACACAACTTCTAGTATCATATTTGTTTCTTTTCCACAAGTGAACATTATATGTGGAACCAAGAGACATGAGAGCTTGATAGTCCAGTTTATAACCATTCTTCCATGACTCATGGACTTCATTATATACACCAAAGAAATTTTACGTCTAGAAAACTAAATATTTTGTCTATGCAACTGAATATACCAATACAACAGATCCTTATGACTAAGTAAATCACCTAACTATACAACTTACAGACTAATCCTATGAAATAGTTCATTAAGGACACAAATTTTGTACCACTACTTACATAACACTACATACTAAGCAAACCTATTACAATATGATCAATCATTCACTTTTTACGAAGATGAAATATCCTCAAAACACTAAATTTGTTCTGCAAATGTCTTGATGCAAATCATGCAGGCAATATATAAAACAGTAAATGATATGTATGTACCTAACAGAAATCTCAAACTATAACATAACATCTAAGTCTGTGATGATGGTATATAAATATAATTACTGTGTTTCTGGACATTATCCATCATCCTGTTTTTATTTAAAACACAATGTTTCTTTAAAAACTTCAAGCTGGTAGGTAGGACTTAGCTTCGTTTGTAAAGAGAAGAAAGTGGAAGGAGCTAAGATTATTCTGCACAATTTGGACTCAGATTACAAACATTTTTGTCATTAATGTGAAAATTCCCAATAGTTATTTTGAACTCACAGAATATATATGTAATGCACACCAAAAGAGTTTAGAAATTAGTGGCACAATATGTCTATTCCACTATTTTACAGATCATTAATTAGTTCCACTCTCCTCTGTTATCGTTTAATATTACATTGTGTCCTGAATGTACAAGGGTTGTAAAATTAAATCTGCTATCAATATTGGTATTGAATTTGGCAGGTTACAGGTGAATACGGGGCTTGTGCATGACACACTAGTAGTCTACCATGAGCTGTGACACAGAATGGGTACATTAGAGCAAATGGGAAGAGTGCCCAGGTGAAATGCAAGTAATCTGTTCAGACAGGATCAACAAGAACCACTGATTCTGGTATTCAAGGAACCTTATATCAAGACACAGCACTATGGAACACTCTGGGACTTTTATACTGCAATTAAGAGAAAGCAACCCAGACTGCTCACAAAGGATGTCAATATTCTAAAGAATGCCCATCCTCATAAACAAAGTCCTACATTTATTGTAGTGGGGAATAAATTTCTGTATGCCTGTGTCAAATAATTCTGCTGCCTGTGAGCTCCACCACGTTTTGACACCTTCCAATAACTCCTTATTATTGTTGAAGTGCCGTGATTCAAACCAGTTCTTGAGGTAGGTAAACAGGTGGTTGTCAATCACAGTGACATCAGGGCTGTAAGGATGGTGGTCAGACAACTCCCAGCTGAAATGTTCCAGCAGTGCTTGAGTGAGAGCAGCTGTATGTGGACACGCATTGTTATGAAGGAGCACTACACCAGATGTCAGCATTCCACACATTTGTTCTGAATGGCCCTACACAGTTTTTAGTGTTTCACAATACACTTCTGATGCAATTGTGGTCCCTTGTTGCAGGAATTCCACCATCAGCACTCCTTTCCTGCCCCAGAAAAAACTGCCATCAGCTTTCTGGCATGCAGACACCATTTAAGTTTTTTCGGCTTGCATGGTGAATGTGTGTGCATCCACTGCTTTGACCGCGCTTTGGTTTCAACATTCACAAATGAAACCCACGTTTCATTACCTGTTACTTGTACAATGTGACTGAGAAATTCATCACCATCTTTGTGGTATCACTAAAAAAGTTAAAGCCAAAGACATTCTCTGCGTTTTTGTGTGCACCTTCTAGCATTTTCAGAACTCATCTTGTGCAAAATTTGTGATAGCCCAGACTGTGATAATCTAGTAGAGGACAGTGTGTGAAATTTGTGGAAATTCACACAAAAGTTCTGAAATTGTCTTTCACAATTTTTTGCTCAACATTTTGAACAAGATCATCACTCACTATAGATGGCCAACTGCTTCTCTCTTCAACGTGAACATATGTTCACCCACCCATCTTTCAACATTCTACACCAGTGTCTTAGAGTTCCTTCAGTCATTACATTTTGGCCATACATTGCTGTGCATAACTGACGATGGATTTCCACAGCACTTGTTTTTAGCATGAAGAAAGTGGATAACAGCGCGCATTTCGCAGCAGACAGGATTATCAATCACAGGACACATCACAAGTCACTCTATGGGTACAAAAACAAACACTAGGTGACCAGTTATGTGGTGGTGTACAAGGCAATGAGCCATGTGCTGCTACCTCGCATGCACGAGTTCTCCCCTGCTCCTACATTAGTTGCCTAAAATAAATGGAGGTTACTCTACAAGTACCCTTGTACACACTTTTACATCCTTAATTGTGTTTGTGTATGTGAGAGAGATTGGGGGGTGGGGGTGCATGTTACACTTCCTTGCATTTGGATAGCAGAGGCCTCAGGGAAAACATTGAAACAACACAGCATTTAGCAAGATACTGTTTTAATGTAAAGGATAAGGATGAAGGAGGGGGAGAGGAATGGCAATAGGTAAGACAAATAAAAGAGATGATAAAGGAATGCAACAGAAAGAAGAATGGAGATAAAGGTATGAAAGGAACAAAGGGAACATTGGGCGAAGATTTAAAGAAACTGTTTTCCCTAGTGATTAAACCTGTGCGTGGACTAAAAAGTTATGACCAGATGATAAAATTTTAGTTATTAAATGTTACTTTATATAACACACAAAGGGTTGAAATTTCAAAGGGCATTAGGCCAGTAAATATATAAACAGTACTCTATTTTTTCTAGTATTTGTCTCAGGTCTGCAATTACCTTTCTATCTCTATCACGCACTGCAACTGCCACATCTGTCTTTTTCATAACCACTACTCTAAAATATTACTGTGTCTGATGGAAGACTGCAATATACTGCATGCATTCATAGATCTGCTATTGACACTTCAGCAAGAATACCCAAATAATGTTACTGTAACAGAAAATGAAACTACACTCACAAACAACTGCTAACATAAGTAAAATGCAGTATGAATTGATACAATTCCCAATTTCTTATGAAAAAATATAAGTAATGTGGTTTCAAATGTAGACAGGTTTACATGTGTACAGGAATGTCAAGAAGTTGCCTTATGTATCAAGTTTTTTATTTTATCACATGTAATAGCTCTCTGAAACTACATGCAAATAAATGTTTACATAGCTTGAATCTGAAGAAGTAATTTCTGCAGAGGGACTAACAATATAATACAGGTATCCCTGTTATCTGTGAGTAATAGTATGCTGGAAATAGCCTCATAAAGCAAAATCATAGAGAGCAAGTCAACTGTAACATGGTATTCCAAAATCATGAGCCAAAAATTTAACAATTCCTTACCTCAAAATTTTTTTAATATTAGTAGTATTCATTCTACAATTTTCAAAAAATTAATCACACAATCAAGAGGTTCCTGCTGAGGGTGAAGACATAAGAGCAAAATTAGGCTCTGTAAGCCCCTTTTACAAGTTGATGACTCTTGAGTCAGTGGGCTGGCAGTGCTCAACCCTGTTGAAGAACTGATGCAAAGTGAGGTACCATGCACCTTTCACCTTCTCGTGGTGCAGTTCCTTGTAACAAGCCAAAAAATTCTCAATCCCTCTGACAGCTTAGTTCAGCCAAATGCTTTGTCTCTGGGTGTGTAAGGGGCTCTGCCCCATGACATTATTCATTTTCACTGCTCATGTCTTCTCCTTTTGCTGTTCTCTGTGGAACTGAAGAGACTCTTCTACACTGGTCTCACCACCTCCTCAGCGCCAACAGACTGGCTATGTCCATGACAACATGCCTAGCAATGTTATGGTCAATTTGCAAATTCCCATGGCATTGACTATACCAACTGTGTTATAATCACCCTCTTACTCACATCTAATTTCTTCTCAATAGTAACAAATTTCCTTTGCCTCTTGCAATCAGCAGTGCTCCTGTCACTGCTCCCATGTTTGATCATGATGATCAGCTTCATGTTATGAACAGGACAAAATTAACCCCTTAGAGCCCAGTGGCTTTATAAGTACCACCTGCTTTATCATGATTACAACTCTGCATTCTGTCCCTGCAGAGTGTACTTACATGCTCTGAAAGGTTCTCATAACAGAGATTTTTTTCCTTAGACAGCATTATTGGGTGATTTTTCTAGTGTAGTGGAGCTGCAATGTATTTCCTGTTATGTAATAACTAAATTTATATATATTATGTGGACCAAATTCAGTCTTTATGAGGTCAAGGAGATAAAATACAATGTTAATTGAGTTGCAGAGAGACCAAGTGCTGCTGATATCAGCTATTAACCTTTAAACACCAGGCTTTTCAATGTTACTTGAGTTGCAGCATGGCTTGCAACTGCAGAGAGACTAAGTGCTGCTGATATCATCTATATTAACCTTTAAACACCAGACTTTTGAAATGGTGCTAGCTTGAGCTGACTGGAGTTTATTTAAATGCCCATTGTTGTTCTGTGTTTAAATGTCTCTTCATGTTAGGGTGCTTGCACTGTATTTGAAAAAGCTGTATCTAATACAATTTTTATGATAAATGAATGGAATTAACTTTGTTTTTATCAACAAAGAACACAGTGTCACATATTATAACGTAAGATTTGAAAATATGTAGATGAAATGTTATAAAATACTTTAAACTTTTTTTATGTGTATTGTAGAAATAGTTTCCCACTTCTTCACACAGTAGTTCTGCATTATAAAACCACTCCTGCTTGTAACATTTGAAATATTTTCACATTCTCTGGTGCCATAAAACACCTGGAAGCAACAGAGTCATTTGGTTCTCTGCTGGCAAGTTTCACGTCTTTGTTACACCCTTCAGATATCCCAGTCTTTTGACTAAAGGACATAAAAGTGAAAACATGTCCTTTCAAGTAAGGTTGGAGGGAATATCTATTGTTTCCTAAGTCAGTACCAAGCCCTGCCATTGCAGCTGCACGGGAATATTGCCCTTTCTATGGTTGCAACCAAATGCTTGCATCACAGCTGAGATACAGCGTGCATTCAGTTTCTGTGAGTTCACAGTGAATTTAAATATCGTAGTTTCCTTTTATCATACAATGGTAATGAAACGTTGTTTGGAAGATGATGAAATTGAAAGGTAGTTGAAATGCAAGATATGTGGCATGGGACTGTCTTTTCTATGGTGCTTCAAGGAATATTACACAAAGGAGAGATTCAGTTACATGACACGGAGGTTGAAGCTTGTATATAAGTCTAGCAGATAACAACAACAAAAAATGTATGTATACTAAATTTTACTATATTTAAAAATAAATATTTAGGACCGTGCATATGCTTCTACTAGTGGAGTGTGTGCACACTTCTGTTAGAATAGTTTAAATGTCTGGCTGAACAAATTGGTATACTTCAGCCACTTCAACCATACTCATCACTGTACCGATCGATGCACTTTGGACATTAAAGGTTAATGACAAGCTGCAAGGAACTGATCTTTTTTTGATATATATGGGCATCATGTCTTTGGAATTACTACATGCATCATGGACCTGATTTTTTGTAAATGAAACTGTACTGCAGTGAACCCACATAAAGTAAGATCACAGATAACAAGGAATTCGAGTATCAAACAATACATTTAAAATTAAGTAACTAAGTTTCATTAGAAAACTTGGATTTTAGAAGATTATCATTCTATTATTTCTACCTACCAGACCATCTATAAATAAGGAATTGGTAGTTATCTTCTCTGTGACTATCACATTTACACATCTCACTACAGGAACATAAATAAATGTTTATTCTATTATCTGACTAATATTAATTCTCTTGCTAATTAAAACAACACATTGTTTTTAATTTTCCAGCACCCTATGAAATGGACAACAATCTACAGTACACTTTACTGCAACAGAGGTATTGTACCTAGACTATAATAGCCTACTATATCATTTATTACTGCCTACTATAACATTCAAAACTTACTCTTTTCTGCTTTCTTATACTGGCAGTAAATTTTCCGCAACAGACCAAATACTTTGTCCTTAAGTAAAGCAAATGACAGAGAGAGACTATGTAGCATTTTCGCATTTCAGAAATTGAGCAAAAGTTCAGGAAAGCTCCATGATGCAAAATACTTACCTATACAATAATAATCTTTTTTACTTAATGGCTTAAAAACTATTTACACTGTGAGCACCAGTTTCTGTCCTAATTAGGTGGTCCTTTCTATGATATCATAATAGCGCATGTTTCGCCTGTATATATGCAATCAGAAGAACAAGGAAATCTGAGGATTTAGAAGGGCAGTGGTTCTACTATACAGTCACAGAAAACAGGAAAAACATACATGGGTTAAGATGTATAGTATCTGACGAGAAAAACAAATACAAAATTCTGTAGAGTAAAATCTTAGAAATTTTGGTTATACAGGGAAAGGGGTTCGATATAATGGACAGAACATATTATTTTATAGTTGTGATCCAAAAATATATAACATTGTAAGGTAAAAATACCTTATGTTTCAAGTAATTAGGATGTTCCTGCCATATTATTAATTAAAACATAATTCTTTTTCACAGAAAAAATATGCACTTAGAACAACAGTCTGTGATTATTTACAAATTCACAAATTGGTGACCATCAAAGAAAACTCCTAAACTGTATTCAGGACACTTAACAAGTTTAACTGTTATTTGTAAGTGTAAATGCCTTCTCACACACAATATTTCATACTCTGATCTTATCTGAAAAACCATCATGTTCACAAAATAAGTTTGTGTTCCTATAAACACATAACAGCTGAATTAACTAATATACGTGGTTTCTAAATATTTCTGGGTAAAAGAAAATATGAAGTGAACACACCATACAGTAATAATGGAGTACTGTCAAAAACAACATACCTTGGTTAGACCTCCTGGAACAGGAATGACCAAGTGTGCCTTCTGTAGGCACAAAGATTCCAAGAGTTCAATGCCTGGAAGACAAGGCAGAGAGTAAGAATGTACTCTTTTCATTCATCATTCCTGATGTCACTGACAATACATTATTTTAAACCCCTGACAGCAAAAGTTCAAATCTGCACATGGTACAATTTATAGAATGTTTAAAGATAAAACAAGAAAAGACACAAAATTAACTTTTATATAATTCTGATTGCACTTTTTTTGTGGCTGTGAAGACTGGTTCACAACACAAAAGAAATAAAAGGGACAAAGGCTACCAAAGTGTATTTTCTATTCAAAGGGAAAGGCTGTACAAACTGATTCTAAAGGGTTCTTACAATGGTGCAGACATTCACTGCACAGAGGTACTGCTGCAAGGAAAAATGCTACATAGATATTTTATGTCTGGTCTGCATAAATATATTTCTGCATCACGTAAATATTTCCAAGCCTCAGGTTATGTCCTCAACTGACTTTCATTTTTACTGCAAATCATCTCAATGCGACAAATACTCATAACTGTCATCTACAACAAATGGTACATGAAACTGCAATGCTGAATTCATGTAAGACACATAAAACATGAAATGAGTCATACCTTCTTGCCTATTTCCACTGTATTTATTTTCCCAAGCATCAAACATCATATTGTAGTATCGTGGAGCCTCAAAGAACTCGTGATACATGTGTGTGGCGGTTGTCGGAAAGATCTTCAAGAATCTAAACATACAAAATTACACAAATGCAAACTGTACATGAAATATTATGTGCTACATCGAATGCAACATTAAAGCAATCTTATAACCATATCAGCTCATTAACTATAAATCTTAGGACACACAACAGCATTCTAAGTCTTCTGCTAAGTGCAGAGCCAATCCTTACTCTAAGATGTGGTGTGAAATTGGTACTCTGTCAGCATTTCTGTAGTCCCTTGCTCCAAAAAGTATTCTATCATCTCTTCCATTTTTTGATTTGTAAACACCACACTCATATGGAACCTCTAAAGTGAGAGGTTGGTGTTCTAACAGACAGATTACTGGTCAATCAATAATTAAATCTGTCAATAAATGGTGAATATCAATTAGGAAGTTAAAAAACAGGGTGACAGATGGTGGTGGGTGATTGGGGCAATGGTGAAAATATAAGAAAGCTTAACTCTACTATGTAACAGAACACATTAAAAGCAGCAACTTTTAATGTACCATGCGAAGAAAACTGCTTACAAACAAACAAACAAACATAAAACTGTGTGAAAACATAGTCCAAAGTGACTGTATCCCATAGAAAGATGAGTCAAAACTAATAAAAAGGCAGCAGTTTATCTGCGCTGAAACTGTCATCCACAATTTATTTGCAGAAATTTCAAATTATTTCATTCATGAGTTCTAAGAGATGAGATAGGAAACATGTGAATCCAACAACCGGATCAATTTAAATACCAGACATGCTGAGGACAAAAAGGTGAATAAATAATAATAATTACACTCTTTATGGGTAAATAATATTCTGTAATATGTATGGCACTTCACGAATTAAAAAGAAAGACATTTTGAAAACTGACACTTCCACATTGTCTTCACTGGACTACATGCCTCTCTTAACACTTGCATTTTATTTCAAAGTCTGTAACTCTCTCCTGACCCTATTCAGATCAGAACCAAATATTACATGTGTGCATGCTCAGGATAGTAACAAATCTTTTATATACATGGTTTCAGTAAGAACAAATAGACTGTATTACTGCCTCACAATGACACACTGGTGAACTCCAATACTAAACAAGACACAACTTTGAAACACTTTCCTTCTCAACAGAGGAAGAATTTGTCAAAATCTCACAACTAGTACAACTTCAAGTGCACATAAACCATAATGTACAGACCCAACACAAGCCACCCATATGCATTAGTCCATGAAAATGAGTCAGCCAAAATGCAGGCATAGAGTTGCAGTACAAATTCCAGAGTGTTAAGATGTATACTGTTGATTTCTGTGACAGAACATACTCGACTGCAACAAATCTTTTTCCAGACGTTTACTGAATAATAAGAAATCAATCACCACAGCATCATATCCTGGCTGCCTTCCATAATAAGCCCAGTACCGATGGACATCAACTCACATGTACCTCTTCAAAACTCTGCTTTGTCGACTATCATATGTTTAACTGGCCACAGCAGTTCTCAACACTGCAGTTAACCACAGCTGTATGACACTCCACTGACTGAGAATCATAAGTCTTAATGGGAAACTATGTTGAAAAGATGTATTAGGGGTAGCAAGAATAGAGAATTATGAAAGTGATTAGATGACCAACTAAAATTAATTTGCCAATCAAAGAAAACAAAAACCAAGAAACTGAAGAAAATGTTAAAGAGATAAATATGCTTAATACTATAAAACATGCAACAGGCTGGATACTGAAACAGTAAATAAATTCTTAACAGCCAAATAATTATGTACATATGTCCATGAACACAAAAAGAGAAGTCTTAAAAGGAAAAATTTGGTAAGGTAAAATATATGTGAAACAGGTGAGATACAAACCAGTGTTCTCTCAATTTGTGGCCATCTCCTCACCAAGGATATTCACTGCGAACAAAATATTGGATTTCATCTTTCATCTACGTCTGTAGGCTAAGTACTTAATACACCACCACAGCTCAGCACTGAAATTATTATTATGCACTATATGGTATGTGTGTGTATGTTACTCCTTGCCTGAAGTAACTTAGTCTTTCACATTCATGTTTAATAAGAAGTTTAAAAAGAACCCTGGGAAGTCTCGTTTCGGATTTATGAAAGCCAGTCATGGTAGAGTGTTCAGTTTGTTACCCTGTGGGATTTAATGGTTTAGAAATGCTCCAAACTGCAAAAATTCCTTTGGGGGTGGGGAAGGAATATATGCATTAACATGTTTCTTGCTTCCACAGCATTTCTACTCTTTCAGTGGGTATGATAGAATGTTTCACCACGGTCCAATAACATGATCGGCATGATATTCTGACATTAGTCACATATAGTTCTGGGATATGGATAAGCTAGAGGTGCTGAACTGTTACTGCTGTCCAGATGGCAGCAGTATGCAACACACACAGCACAATACTTGCCATGTGTCCAACTTTTCTCCACTGCATGTGCTTCAAAGGAAATGGTGCTGAGTAGTTTCAGGCATGTAAACAAGGATGTTCTCTTTTTTTCTTATTTTAATAGATCAAGAATCTTGGTAATATCATGCACATACAATATAATGTTAGTTTACAACAGAATTACAAAAATATCTTAAATAATGAAGATTTTGCATTGTGAAGTATTTAAGAGTTACTCAACTGGGGGGACTACCCAGGGTAGGTTAAACCATGGCCGATAGAACTCCCCAGGCAAGTGGTTAATGCTGCACAATCTACACATTATGTGTTAAGACACCATCAATATCTTAACTTCATGACAACTTCCAGCATAACAAGAACTTATGTCATCTGTAATAACTATTTCTGACTTAAGTAAGAGTTGAGTACACATATTTTACAAAATTTCAATAGCCTCTGTGTTCATTTATTGCACATTTATAAATGTACTGTCGCAAAAATTTTGTTCCTAGTATATCAGTCAGATTAAATTTCCAGGCTGGCTCTAATATGACAGTATTGTAGTTATGACAAAAATGGTGAGTCATTTACCATTAATTTCAAAGTAGTAGCTCATATTACTCAGAAATAACACTCTGTGAAGTGAAGTTGCTCTTCATTAGAAAAAGGCAAATTCTAAAGAACAGTGGTTTGCTTCAAACTATGCAAAGCTGCTACAAAATTATTCTGCTCAGCTTCCTTTATATGAATTTCTGGCAAAAACTGTCATGGCTGGTAGTCCATCTTCCATATTTCCCAGATTTAGCACGCGATTTTTCTTTTTCCACATCTCAAGTTTGCACTGGAGGGAAGTATATGACATTAAGATTCAAGAACAATCACATGGTAACTTGCCCAAGATGAAAACACAGGGCTTCCAACAAAGGTGGATTCACTCGACTAGCTGCATCATGCTGTTAGGAATTATACTGGAGGGGACAGCAAGGAATACAGGGTAAATATCATGGAGAAATACAACCTAGCAGTTCTTTGATGAAACCACATATGAGTGAAGTTGCTTGTATATCATGCCTAATACTAGCAGCCACCTTTTCCTTGGAACAACTTGTCAATGCGCCATTATCCCTTCTGATATCCCTTTGCTGTGACTTGGACCATCAGGTTCTAGAGAGGCTAGCAACAGGCTCTTGTAAATAGTGTAAGAAGTTGCTCAGTCCATAAAAAGGAAAGGAATTTCCTGATCAGCTGAGTGATTATAAACTTTTCAAGAAGGCCTCTGTTCCATGCAGTGCTTTATATATAGAACAGAACATTTACCTTCCAGCCTGAGTTAACTCATCTTCTGACTGAATGAGATGCCGCACATCGTCTGGAGTCAAATGCTTCAGAATATCCTCGAGATACTGAGGAGAGAGACAGAGGGAAAAAAAACACAATGAAACCAAATAATCAAAATGCATGCCATCACTGCATATACCATTTGATGAAACAATATATGTGCTTCTATCACAGTAGTAAGTCATGCAAACTTGTAAGCTGTTATCAAATTTATATACTGTTTTAGCCTACTTTCCCCATTTTGATAAAATAAAAATGCTTTTCATTGACATTTTGCTGAAATTTTAAGTAACCAACTTTAAGGTTTAGTTGTCTTCATACACACAGGTAAACTAAAGGAATTCTGTGGCTATGAGAGAAAATCCCGGATCTACGTATGAAGACTTTTACAAGGTAATTTTGAAAGATATGGCCTAATCACAACAGAATAACAGAAAAGATTATAACATACACACAGGTAAAAGGAAAGTTTAGGTGGACCATTGAAGAGATGGCAGTGATAACATGAAAATTACACAGTTATTACTAGTTTTGTAGCCAATGTTATTTGGCATGTCTTCATTTAAATTTCCAGTTGTAACTTCCCCTGCACCAGGTTAGAGGCTGGGATTTAAATCCCCCCTGCAGAGAGCTTAAGGAGAAAAGATGCAGTAATAATGAAATTTTCTGCTATATGTTAGCTCAAGGTTCACTAGTTTCCTCTTACTCATAAAGTTACAAGAGAGCAAAAATTATTAAAAGCAACGCAAGCTACTTCTTACACTTTGAATTTGAATTATTCGGATGTTACTTGGAGGGCTCAATTCACTAAATTTTGAATTATGTGTATTAAGGTGCATAAAAAATTATATGTTTGCAGACTCTGACTTGATCTTTATGGCATTTTGAATTATCTAATGATAAATTAGTGAGGATTTACTGTCTAAGGAACAACAAGAAGAATGAGACACATGTTGCGGTACAGCTCAAAGTTTCAGTGTTTCAGTATTTCAGTGTTCAGGGCATAAACCTTCACTGCATACCACTTGTACAAAAACTTGAAACATGATGAAAGGAGGGAAATATGAATTAAAATGCCAGTACACAGTGATATAATGTGCAATAATACCTCTTCTCTGGAGCAATTCTGCTGGTAAAAGGAATGTTTGTTTCGCTCTTCTTTGGATAAAGCAGTGATGTAGAGGCGTTTGTCAAAACACAGTGGAATCGTCTTGTCCTTCACACCAAATGAGCTCAGAATTTCTTCCTGTTGAGCAATAAGCAACTTGTTGGGTACCTGATAGCCAGCCATGTTCAGCAGATCTCTTACCATCGGACCCTTCACAGCCAAATCTAATGGTGAAGACGAGTGTAAGGAGGGAGATATGTTCACCTGTAACATGTGAAAGTGCCAGCTGTAAATATATTTTTTGGCTTATAAATATTCAGCACAATTTGTAAAGCATTCAAGGTGACAATGATGTAGCCAAGACCTGCTTATTCATATTTTTTTCATTTTGTGGTAAAAGTATTCCATTTTAATTTCCTTCACACATCAGATGTGAGGTTCTGACCATGATCCTTTGAGATGTGGTGCTGTGGGGTCTGGTAGTTCACCAGTGTTCCTTTGAAACTTTAGCAACCTTCTACCTGACAACATGGCATCACACCCCACAAGATAGTAATTTTCTTCACATAATTATGCATAATTGTGAAAGGAAGCTAAAAAATGACACTGCAGTCATATAGTCACATTATTAACACTGCACAGTGACTTTACATATGTTTTATGGAATTCAATAAACTTCAGGTTTTTACTGTCACGTATGGAAACACTGTATCTGTCATAATATTAATCTTAATATCAATTTCATATGTAATTTTAATCATTGTGAAAAATCTCTCACTCCTGAAAAAAAATAAGCTATATCAAACAAACATACAAATTGCTTAAGTAAATGTGGTCTATTATCATTTGAAATCAATACAGGAATCAGGCTTAAGGAAACATTAAAAATTTTAAAACTGCGTATGTGGTCTGGGTCTGAGTCATGGATATGCATCTGATTGTGATCACCAAGACAACCAATACTTTCTGTTCTGTGATCCAGATGCAGTGGGTTATTATGTCCACATCTGAAATTGATAAAGTTTTTCAGTGTCTGAACATACCTCAAGGAGCCAGGGCTTCAGGGTTTCATCCAACAGCACATCAATGCCAAACAACTCATATGAACAGTAACGAGAAACAAGGTTGGCTCGTGTTAGCTGGTTAATGGATGACTCTCCACTGATGATTGTCTTGATAACGAGATCAACCAGACTATTCCACAGAGCTGTTACATCCACACCTTCTTTTTCTAGGTATGTCCACAGCGTCTTCACTGTCCTGTTGTAATCCATCAAAGTGGAAGATGGGGAAATAATGCTCAACAATGTTATGTATAATATGCAACCATTTCTGAAGTTATAGTTCTAGACTTAAAAATACTGGATGCTGAAAACCATAATAACATGGCCTACAGCAATTCTGATCTTGACTTCTTCACTAATTTCATCCTTCCCTGTTATCTAAGTACAAATATTTCAACAACAGAACTTCTCCAAAAAAAAAAAAAACCCATTAACACTGATATCCCATTTAAGGTTGGGAAGTTCCTTATAACCCTATGTACTTGGTTTTGTTACAGAACTGTCTACTGAATGTAAATCAATATCAGTAATTTAGTAATATGTAATACCTGCAAAAGAAATTAAACAAAAATATGTATTTTCATTTTTAACTCAAACAGAAGAACCAGAGACTGCCTGACATTTACAAGTCACTTTAACACAATTTTCAACATTCTTTAATTTAGTTATGCAATTTGTTCAAATAATTTAATGATGATGTAAAAAACTCTTCATTTCTTCTACGTTGGGTTTTACTGGCAACTCAGACCTTGAAAACTGGAACTGCATTACTCCACATGTATGTCAGAGTTCACAGCAGCTTGAGAAAACTGGATTTGAAGAAAATTAATTGTTAATAGGAAATGCAATGTTTTGGTGCCATTTACTGGTAGACTAGCACAAATACATATTTACAGACTGGTAGTACAGTGGGTGGGACGGGCAGGCAAGTAGGTAGGTAGCTGGCACAGTAGTTACATGTACTCACACATCACCAGGCTATGGATCAAAAAAGAACATGAATTTAAAAGGTTTGTTTGAAAAACACAACTTGACTGTAATAATTTATGGAAGGATTAGGTGTCCCACACCTTTCTACAACACATTACTCAGTGGTGAACACGATTATTGCCAGGCAGGACAACACAACAGACATCACATGCAGTAATGTGCCAATAACTGCCTCTGACACAGTACATGTGTTCCCCAATGCACACACACTGCTTGAACACTGCATCATAAGTGCAAACCACACCAGGAAGTGTGTTTCATGTTTCACATCTTTCACCTTATACTTAGAAAAGAGGAACACCTGAGAAAAGTAGATCCCATACATGTTGAACAATGACTATTGATGTCTGCTGCTCATTAATGCAGGCAAAGAGCAAACCTCACATAACCACACAGATTAAACCTCTTGCGTTATCACACACTCATCATCATGGAAGAAATACTGCATTATGCAGATAGGGTGCCATGAACATGAGGCATGTCACATTCTTTACCTATCATAAACCCATGCTTGACCATCCTATATCACCTCATTCCACAGTTAATGACATGTATTATGCACTTGACCATCCTATGTCACCTCACTCCACAGTTAATGACGTGTACTATGCGCTTGACCATCCTATGTCACCTCATTCCACAGTTAATGACATGTATTATGCGCTTGACCATCCTATGTCACCTCATTCCACAGTTAATGACGTGTACTATGCGCTTGACCATCCTATGTCACCTCATTCCACAGTAATGACATGAACTATGCGCTTGACCATCCTATGTCACCTCATTCCACAGTTAATGACGTGTACTATGCACTTGACCATCCTATGTCACCTCATTCCACAGTTAATGACATGAACTACGCACCATCACATGATAAAGAGATGTGACCTGCTTATGCCTGAAACAATCAGAACTGTTGGAATGTGAGGTAATTTTTCTCCACAACAACGCAGCACTACACTGATACTGTGATATGGACAACCCGATGCAGATGTGGGACTGGGCAACCCTGATGTACCCTTCTCAATTCCCAAGACCCACCCACAGATGTCATCAATAAGGCTGTCACAGCATCATTACACTGAGTGCAGGTAATTATGGTATTGAAATGGGAGAAATGAGTTGATCTGGTGGAGACCAAAACTGAGTAGGGGAGAGATGCAAGTATGTTGTGATTTGCTGTGTCTGTAGTGTAAGCTCATCATCACATACATAAACCTCACATAAACCTCCTGAAATTCCTTGCATATCTTGATTCAGCCAAAGTAACAGCAGTGAGATGTGAGGCTTACCACTTGTGTCCCTGGCAAGCCGTAGCATCCTCATTTTGGGTATACTGACTACTCATCTTGTTAATACTGTAGTTGGTGAGATGCATGTAGCGATCACCCAGGCTTGCCATGTCACTGGAGTATTTCACTAAAGTAAAAAATGAAACAGAATATTAAAAAAGTGGGTGAGGAGGAAACAATTCTGACTTTTGCAAACAGACATTATGGTTATCATTTTTAAATATCACAGACATTATGGTTATCATTTAAAATATCACATCCATATTTTCTTCACACAGTTGCCTGTTACATAACATACAATAGATCTGCTGGACATGCTTTTCTATACCAAAAATGCCAGGCAACAAAACATCCACACATATGTGAACAGAAGAAGGTTCTACAACTGAATTAAAATAATAAGTCAAATCTTACAACAACTACATAAGAAAGCCCGAGTGTTTCACTGCTTCCATTGCATTTACTTAACTTATAAGGTACTAAGCCTTACGTGGCCAATAACTTTCAGTGGCCCAGAGTTAAATTTCAGGATCACTATTAAAAGTGAATGGTTTTTCTTAAAAAATGGTTTCTAAGTATACAACAATGAAATAAATGTCTACTTCTAAAGAAATGTTTGATCTGTATTTCTGCATGTTCCCAACCTTAAACCTAGATAATATTGTTTAGGAATCATTCAATGCATTACAGATGCTTGTTCTTACACCTGTGTCACAAGTAAACCAATTTAATGGCTAAAATTATTTTGCTTTTCCATTTGCTTACAAGAAGGATGTACTGTACAACATGCACAAATATGTTTTGCAGTTGATGGCTTCCCAGCAGACATAAATTGAAAATATTTTTTCTCGCAGCAATACATTGGAAATGCAAATACACCACGACTGTACTCTGCACAAATCCTTACTTTGTTGTAGCAGACAAGAAGGTTCAAGTATCTGCTTAAAAGGCTGGAAATTTCTCCACAAACTGAGAGACATCAGCTTTTCAAAAATTCTACTTCATGAAGTCAGTACGAGAATAAAAGAATGCATCTGTAAGAATAACTTTTCAGTTCAACAATGAGACAAAAATTTGGAAAAATTTCAAGACCCAAGGCAAAAACAAGAATTTTATTGATGAGCCCAATTCTTTTGCTGAATCACAATCAGTAATACTAGCCACTTTTTCAGAATACTGAAGTGTACTACTTCTTCTTATTGATAACAAACACCTTTTCACTGGAAATTTTTAATAAATAATTGTTATTAAAAAATAAGTTTCACAGCCATGCCATTCTTCACTGTGAGCATATGGGGGGGGNTCTGATGTGTCAGGTAGTCTGCATGGTACTAAACATACCAAAACTAGTTATCTGAGAATTTAAAATAAATAATTAAGACTATCTCTGAATTCAGTCTTGAAAATCTGACTCACACATGCCTAAATATAAGTTCAACTACTTGCATTAATGCAAGTTCACACTCTAACTTGCAATAATACGTGGCTTCTGCTCTTGTGCCCCAAATTTATTTCATTTACATGCTGTTTACCAAATTAAACTGAGGTATATTAAATATTCATACCTGACGCAAACCGAACCAATCCATCATCATATATGTAGATGCGGAGAGGATTGATATTGGTGACAAGTACATAGAGGCGTAGGTCAAACTTGCTACCGTTGATGAGGTAAGGCTGTGATATGTACTTCTGCACCACCAATGGTCGCTTTTTGGGGATCTGAGCCCAGCGGTGAACAACCTTAATGCCAGTACCTCTTGCAGATGCAGGCTGAAAAATCATATCCAATTAATTTTGCTATTTTGTATCTATTGCATATTCACTTATATACATGCTGAAAGGTATGCTTCATACTGGCTTAATAATCCATTTCTCCTTGCCACAACTCTTCTCCCAAGCCTGGCGAAGCAACTTGCTGTCTTGAGGTAGTACATATGTGCGAGGGATAAACCCAAATCTGAAAATCAGACAAGAGATGGTTATATATATATAGACAATATATATGTATATGTTATGTCATTCTCATGCAGTAGCAGTTATCACAGGTGGTACCTCTATGTTTGAAACACTGCCATCTGAAGATAAAGCTTTAACTTAATTCAGTTTCAATGGAGGGGGAGAGAACCAGATAAACGTATACAAGATGTGGGATGAGGGGGAAGAAAGGGGGTGAAGAATGAAGATATGAATGCAACCAGTTTTCAATATCATCCTAGTTCTAGACATTAATACGTCGTTCCTTAATAACTTATGTTATAATTGTGCACAAGGTACAAAGTTATCATAACAGAACCAAAGTGGTGATCTTCAGAAGCATAAAAGTCCACCACTAAATCCTGTAAGAGGCATTTTAAACCAGGATTAATTTTCATATTATACTCTCATTTATAGTACAGATATTATGTTCATCTCCAAAGCAATCTCTCCTAACATTTTCCACCCCAAGATTCTGCATGTACTTCTTGTCAATACCATACATGCCACATCTACTTTCACCCAAGAATTCTAAACATAACACTAGATAACATGGTTATGCTAACATACAAATTGACTTTTTTAACATAATGTTGCTCCCTAATCTCAACACAAAAATTTTTTAACTAGTCTCAGTACTGTGTAGAGAATCTGGAGCCAAAACAATACCTTTCTTCAGTTTGTGTGTTCTTACAAGTTTCATCAACCATAATGACTGAATATGTTCTACTGGTGAATAAAAGATCATTCTCTTTGAACATCATCATATAAAAGTGCATAATAAGTGGTACATATGTTAATATGCTTTGCATAAAAAAGGATACAAACACCATGCATGTTACAACTTCTTGTCGTTTCTGTGATCAGTATAACCAATTCAGAAAAAAAAATGCTTATTTTGTATACTTTATCAGAAATAGTAAACATTTGCTGTGCTGTGTAAGCAAATAAAATTAAAATTCTCCATGTTCCCTGGCGAATACTGTATTTGGCTGCTTAAGAAACAAAACATATACTCACAGATACATACCCCACAATATAATTAACAAGCAATGAGCTAGCTGAACCAAGAGGTTTACCAATACCAGTAACAGCAGAACCCTATGCACAACAGTTTTGTTGCTACATCTTTTCTTTTTGTGTAATATTATGAATCTGGTACAGCCAATAATATCAAAGTTTACCATTGGAGAGAATCTTGAGCCAGTACCACCCAATTCTGACCTTGATAACCTAATTCCCTAAGGCTCAATTTAATGCTACCCTCCCCTCACCTAACCAGTCTTCATAGTGAATATTTTCCAAGAAGGTTCTCAACCAAAATGGTGTGCAAAAATTGTCTCTTGAAAGGACTAGGGTAAATAGGGACTAAGAGAAGGCAAAGGGAAACAGTAGTATGGTAGGAGTAACACTCAATGGTCAGGCATTACAATTTCTGTATGTGAAAGTGTAGTACAGTTCTTATAAGACAATTTGCTCTACAAGTCTGGCAGCAAAATGATTCATGTCATGCTTCTATGCATCATCCAACCAAATGGAATTAACCATTTGCTGCTCTCCACAAAAAAATAATGCAATATCACTTTTAAACCTAGCGGGGAATGGAACACAACAGGCTAACCCTACAGGACAGCAAATGATGCGTTCACATTAGGCCATTCATTTCCATGTAGAAAACATTAAAGAATTTTCTTTGACATTTCCTGTAATGTATTGAAATACACTGCCTCTCTGCCCATCCACACTCCTAATGGGTTAAGAAGTGGAAATGCTGTGATGCCAGTAGTTCTACTCATTTGACCCAAAGAAGAGAAATCAGCAGCTAAGCCATGTTGTCAGACTAGACATGGGGTTTGGACCAGTAATCAGATTTTTTGGATTCTTACAGATCATAACTCAATTAATTACAGTTCTACTGCTAATTAACACATTCTACAATTCACTAGGGCATGCACCAAGTCTTCTCAGTCTTCTGTGTCTTCACCAGTCATAGCTTGGTAACAGCTTCCAACGTCATATATTTCTTAGCTTCCATGTTCCATAGGTTCCATCCTTGCTGGCTGGCACCATCTCACACTAACTGTTCATGGCCAATGACTCTAGCTGTGTCTGGCATTAGCATTGGCTACCGCTGGCTAGCACTCGCTTCCACCTCGTCTGTGGACTGCTAACCTCTCCCTACTTGTCTTGAATTTTGTTTGCTGTGTTTCGATTCTCCTGACATAGTCTTTGCACAGATCCAACAGTAAACACCGCTTCCCACAATACCCTTATTGTTGTGTGCATAACTGTTACTGTGCTGACTTGGTGTTAACTGTGCTGTAACCGAGTAATGGAAGTCTCCCCTGATTAAACTATTCCAGTTTATAGTGGACATGCTACAAAATATTTATATAATCTACAGAGGACTGAGGAACATCTGTTATAGCAGAAGTCCTGAAATAGTACTCCTGGTGAAACTAAAAAATACTGCTACGTTTAATGTGACTAAATTGATGATGCTTAAAAAATGTCCATTAAAAGAGATTTCTCAATATAAGCCACACTTGTTACATTAGACATGAACTGTACTTACATTATAAAACATTCTCAGATATGGTATATAACCATATTATTTAACTATGTGTTGATTTTGGTTTCACGTCACATTATACAGTTTAATTTCATCCAGACTGATCTATTTATTGGGCTGTAGAGACATTTCTGTGTTACTCCTTTCAGTACATATATCCTCCCCACCAATATGTCATAAGCAAAAACAAGTGCCTTAGTATGATATAAAAGTGTACAATTTTATACATACTCTTTCTTCCCAAACTTTGTCATAAGGCGGTACAAATTCTTCCATAGCCGATCTTTACGGCCAATCTGAAATGTCCCTGGAAAATGATTGATCTTCTGGAACTCTTTTAAGGTTTTGAAACACAATGATTTCATATGTTTTCCCCATGTACCACACCAGTCATTTGACTCTGAAAAGGAAAAAGGATTATGAGACCAATAAACAAGTGCAACTATTGCTAAAAGCTTGGAAACTGAATATGATCAGAGCTAAGCAAACACAGTAGGCACAGTACTCTTTGTGGGGCTAAACTGTGATTCCCCTTTTTGCACGAAAATGTACTTCTGTGAATGATATCATCCTACATGCATATGAATGACCCACAGTTTGGTATCATTCATTATATGGTGGTCTAGCTCGCTCCTTCAAATGAAGGAAGTGAATAATCTGCTGCTGAAATGGTCTTACAAGCATGAATAAAAACAATACAAAAACAAAATTTCCATTTCAATATATTATCTTACCTTAAAAGATTAAAGAAAAGAAGGAAATCTGTAACATACAACACGCACAAGGCTGGCACAATTATTAATTCATCACAACTGCATGAAGCTACAATACATATACATCACTGTGTGAGGCTTTGGTTCACATGGCTGACCTGTGTTTTTGATGGTTTAAGTAAATTTACTGCTTTATATTGAATTGTTGGGAGTTTTCATCCATGGTTGGTAAGCTATAGCCTGGGGATATTAACCCTTTGACGTGGTCATTTAAATTCCGCGGCCACGGCTCCTGCGGTAATATATTCAGCCGGCCATTTAAATTTTGTTCGAAAATTATTTATTCATCATTGTTCTTAAATTCTATGAGATAGGAACATGAAACTTTCACTAAAATGATCTTAAATGGTGGTTTTATAACCTTACCTTATAATATGGGCGCCCTGTATCTCGGCCATGGAAGCAGGTTGTTTAGTATTTCAGCTGTGAATGGTACGCCTTGAAGGATGAAACTTTCACTAAAATGATCTTAAAAGATGGTTTTATAACCTTGCCTTATAATATGAGCACCCGGTATCTCGGCAATGCAAGCAGGTGACGCCTTGAAGCATTAGTCTAAACACAGCGCTGGCTCTCATTCACCAAACAAATACTGCGTATCTTTTCTTTTGCTCTTTTTTTTAACCACACAGCTTCTGTGCAGCCTAGCCCTCTTCCCCGTGAGGGGTCTAGTTCAAGGAAATGTCCTTCCGTGAGCAGTAAAGCTAGTCAGGTCAGCTGCAGTAAATTCAACGTTACGAGTTATCATAACAAGGGGTTGTTGCTATGCCTTTGATATTCCATCCATTTTGGCGGCTGTAGATGTCGTAGGGGTGACCACAGAATTCATGAAGTTATTCTAAGTACTGGCTGGTATGTAGTGCACGAAAGCAGAGCCTAGCTGGCTCAAAAAAATATTTATGGTCATCCCTCGAAACGACCACCAAGGTCAGTACGATAAAATGGCGTCAGCTGGAGCGATAATACATGAAGGAATGAGTTCTTTTCCCTCCCCCACACACATCCGTATCGTCTCAGGGGGTGACCACAGTGTTCTGCCTTAATTCGTGACGTTTTTCTAAGAACTGGGTGCTATATACTGTGCGAAATCAATGGATCATGCGAGAATAAATTACTGGACACCCCTCTTCTAAGAATTCCAATTGAGTGTGTTTGTGTGGCCAGCTCAGGGCAATATTATATTATAAACATCACGTCTCTGCTGTTTATATCTTCAAAGCAAAGAAAACACGCCTTTCATAACAGCTTGAACGAGGAACCTCTACCAGAAGCAACAGGAACTTTGCTGCAAGACAGGTATATGTAACGATGACTTGGCGCAGATAAAGTCGTGTCTTATTTATACTCTGTTCTACTGACAACAGGCCAGCGAAAAATCTAACAATCTACAGCAAAACCATCAATTATTATGGGCGTTATAACATAGGTGTGCAGCTGGACGAAACATACACGTCGAACCCCCCCAGACAATTTAAATCCCTGACGAAACATACACGTCGAACCACGGGAACGGGTTAATCAAAAAGGGACTGTATTGTACACTGTCTTGTATACTGTGGTGTACACTTTTTAAGAATTGTTAACATGTAGTGTTTGGTTGTATTCAACTGATTTGTTCAATTGTGCCTGTGTAAGAGTTATGAATGTTAAATAAATTATCAATTATCAATACATATCTTACAATTCTGACTGCAGAATGGCCATGTAACATACTGGAGAGAACTGTGACACATGGGAGTAACAGTTTACACACAAAATAGCATAAACTGACATCGTTTTACACTATATTTAAAATTTTTCAATAACAGCCACCAAACTTTGTTCAATGCTTTAATTCTTCAATGAGTACATTTACGTGTAAATGAGAGTGTCGACTCTACCTTGGGTAACAGATGGAACAGCCAGTACATAATCTAAAAATAACACACAGTTTTCTTTAGAATTTTTGTTGGTATTTAAGCTGTAAATATGTGAGAGTGCAATACAAATGTGACACGTTACAGCATGAAACCGCCCATTAGGTAACTTAAGTACTGCAGCCTGTGTAGCACAAAACTTTGATGTGACCAGATATTAAGTCATATGCAGAAAACTGGCAGGCCTAGCCACTGGCAAAGGCTTTGCAGTGAGTTGTTCTGCATATATTCATAATATATCTTCTGCTCTTAATTCTAGACAAAACAAATTGATTACAGAAACCAGAGCAGCTACTAGGGAGGACAATGATAAAACAGAAATTGAGTAAATAAGTTGTGACTTGAATTCCACTTGACTAGCTCACTACAGACCAGTGGCAGGCTTTTGTCTGAAGGGTGATGAAACCTCAGGTGGTAATTCCAGAGAATCTGTCAGTCCCATATTGAAGCAAATATATCAGAGATGGGTTCTATAAAATGTTAACAAGGAATCAAACAAAATGCATGTAAACCTCTGCTGAACTCACTTCTAACAAGCCTGAAACCTGAATTTACAAGTGTACGGCGAATGACAAGTGGAGTGATGGTACTCAGCTTCCACTTCATGTGACGCTGAATTTCAGCTGGAAGACCTTCACCTGGCAAAGAAAGAAAAGGCAGACCTGCATTACACAGTCTAAAGAGTCAAACCATTTGGATGCTATGAGCGAAAACTTCCATTTTGCTTCAGAGAAGCTGAAGCTGATCCCGGCAGAAATTAATGAACATGAGAACTGCTGATATAGATAACTACTGGAAAAAAAGACAAAAATTATGTGAACTTACCCTTGACATCATGCATGGTAAAGTGAATATATGGAGGAACATATGAAAACAAGCTCATCCTCAGACATCCAGGCAAGCCCTTTGTTTCAATCATGGATGTCACTGGGATAACTGCAAATAATGGGGGGAAAAACTCTATATGAACGAAAATGTGCAGCTCACAACTTGTTCAATAATTATTACTAACTTCTCGTATCATTTACCTTTCCTATGAGCATGGTCACTGAGAGATATTGATCCAAGAGTCTCCCCCACTACTGATGGGGTATTAGAATCATTTGATATGGTGGTTAAGCTGCTGAGCACAGACTGGTCATCTGCTAAAAATACATTCAAATAATAAATTATTAGCAAAATTAATAAATCACTAAAAATGAATAACTGTTCACTGAGTGATGACATTTTTAACTTACTTTGCTAGGAAATTCTCTGCAAGATTGAGTTAAAAACTGTACAAGGAAACAATCCATACTGCTGTTTGCAGCAATTTCCAGTGTATAAGACTAATTTTCATTGGAAAATGCTGTTTAAGATCTATGTACATCTTACAGTTCAAACATATACCACGCATGCCTTTCTCTCACAACTTTTCGAAATTATGGGTGTCCTATTGTCTGGAAAATACAATAGAGTTATACTGCAATAGAGCAAGTATGACTTATAACAAGGGCTTCATTACAGCAACAAAAACATTGGACCTGTCAATATCTTGCTGTTATATGTATGGGAAACCACTGCATAAAATGAGGGTACTTTCCTGTACTTTCATCAAAATGAGTAATTTGTAATTAGATGCCAATGTTTTCTCACAACATTTTGCAGAAACTGTAATTATAATGTTGCTTCCCAAAGTTATTGATGGCTAGCAGTTTGTAAAGGCCTTGTCAATCCAACCTCTCCGTCCTACCAATCTGGCAGAAAATTCTCATTCCACAACCTGAGAGCACCTCCCCTCCTACAAGTTTTAACCACTGAGAAGTGTATATAATTTGATATCCCTTTAAGTTATTCATCAGTCTAGTGGCTTGTTTCATTGTGTGTTGTGATGCCTCGTATGTTTACAGAGGTAGGGTGCAATATCTTCCCATCCTTGTCATATAGGTTTACCCCTCCCCTGAGCTTCCACTGACCTCAAACCTATGTCACAGGATATGATCTGTGTTTATGTTTAAGGTTCTTCTCCTCAACAAACATCTGATGTTTTGGTCTGTGCTGACTGTAAGATTTTGAGAAATCCTAATTATGGCAAAAAAGCAGAAGAGCTTTGACTTGAATATGAAGCTTGAAATAATGTCTGTGTGAAACTGGCATCTCATCAAAAAGCGAAAAAGGATGACAAAATGGATTAAATTCTTTGACACTGTTTATAATACTGAAAAAGAGAAAATATGGTATACACTAAACTCAAGCAAACTATGGTCTTGTTTTCACATGACATGAAGTCACAACATTTGTCATGACACTGTATGCCACGGCATAAATCACTGTGAAAAATCAGCGTCATGACATCTAGACTGTGGTTTTCTTAAACATCAAAGAATCAGAGCAAGTTTGCTTTCTGCTGATACCTGTCATGATTTTGCTGCTTACAAAACATTTCACTCTACCAGACCAAAAACAGTCACATCTTCAAATATGAAGTTATCTTTCCATAAGTATATATATGTGATATTTGTTTCAGAATTCTGGTTTGTGACTGTGTGATGTGCATAACAAGACCTGTGCTAACAGTGTATCATCATAAATTGAGAATGACTGAATTATTTTTGTTATAGGTGTGGTAATTTGAACGTTACTTAAACTTAATTTTATTAGGCTATAAAATTAAATAACTATTTCTTCATCTACAATTTACATGAAATAAACACACATTCTTTACCTTCCTCACTATCCTCCCCTGGTTCTCCTTTGCTGTCTCCATCTTCACCGCTGCCACATGTCCGTTCACTGAAATAACATCAAAGTGAAATAAAATATTCAAAAGTAGGTTTAAAAGCAGTTGCAAAATAAAAAGAGGACACAATACACTGTAAACCAACCAAGAAACCGCAATACATTAACTATAAATGAAAATTTTGGTTACAAACAAAAATTAATATTTACAATGAAGTACCCATGAAGCAGGATATTTCTTGCAAAGCTAACAGTTAGGTACTTAAGAAATTACCGGCCTTTTATGAACCACAAAGGTTAATTATGTTGTTCATAGCAGTTCACTACTGGGCCAAATGAATGAAGTCCATATCCACAAATCCCATTCCTTTAACATCCATTATAACGGCACAGTGCCCCTCAACTATACCTAAGTCTCAAAAAGTGGTCCCTCACCTCCACACATTCTCATAAAATCTGACACTAACATCACAGCTCATGTAAAGTTATAGGTTTAACCTCGTACTGAATCAGGTCCTTTTCTATAGCAGGCACAACAGTGGGGAAAATTGAGTATCTCACTATAACAAACCCCAATTAATTAACTGTTTCACATGTCTTACTGATCACCTGACCACAACTGTTTAACACTACTCATACCAAGATGGCTTCATTGCCTAAAAAACATTGTAACCCTAAGAGAACAAGTATCACTTATAACAAGAATGAAAATTATCTCAGCAGCTGAAGAACATATAAACCCATTACTACATCATTACAGTGACTAAGGTGATCAGATCCATTTAATGCTGTGCATATGGTATATTCTCACATGCAAGAAAGGACTTTTGACAACACTCTCACCATACTGAGATTTTCCTACCCAGCCACTAGTCTTTTCCCTACTTTTCTGCATCAACTGTATTTGTCACTTCATTTTTCAAGCTATTTACTGCAGATGGTCTGTAAAGACACTGTTAAATGCCCTTCTGGGATCTTTTTGTCTAGCAGAAGGAAGTCCATATTCCAAAATAATTTTACACGACCTTGAACTGTTTCATTCAAAAGGTCAGTCATTCTAATATGCAACTGAAAAGCATCTGCTGGCTTTGAAAATGTTACATTGTCACAGCAGAGGACAAAGATCATGGAACATGATCACTTCAAGGTCAAGTACCCTCAAGATTTTAGTCAAACAGAAATGCCCTTCACATGATGTCATCTGAACTTCTCTTCAGTCCAATGGCTTGTTTAGTTGTACACTGAGTCACATCACAAATGAACAGCAGCTGAAAACGTTTCTGTAATTTTTCTGCATATTATTTACATTAAAAATTGTTTGAACCTAACTATGGGAACAAAATGAAAATGCTGAGGTTTGAACATAAACCTTGAAGAAATAAGTTTCTGTGAAGTTTCATCAGAGAGTGAAGTAGGAAGGACTGATTTGACATTGCTCATGATTCTGCAGAACAATTTTCAAATACAATCAACTGTTCTATGTGTGGCAGACCTCTGACACAGACATAAATATGCAATGCAAAGAAAGGAAACTTGGAACCTATGTTCTATAAGCGATATTGTCAGGAAAGATTGGCTTCCATACCAGTTGACGGATCAATGGTCTAGGCAGAAGCCAACCATTTTATGACTCACTCAAAGATTGAGAACTTTCAGTTTTCTATAGGCAAACTTTCATATTTTGAAGATAATAAGAAAAAACGCACAATGTGACAAATAACTGTACTGTGCACAACTGGCCAGGAATATAGTAAGCACATTTAAATTTCAGTCCAACTTTATCTTCATGCATTGTGAACATGTAGCAAATAGTGTGACGGATTCTTTCTTGTAAGGAATTTTTCCAAATATGCAGCTGATTGTGTACAAGAAGTTATAAGTATGAGAAAATACTTAACTTCTAGACTAAGATATTGCTAAGATGTCAAGAAAGTTGGATTATTCTTTGTTACTTTCATAACTCTCACAGCCATTTCAAAAGAAAAAAGAAAACATAAGTATTGCCATACACACATTAATAATTTTAAAACTTAGTTCTGTATTGTGATATAATTACACATTAGGAAACAGACACAAGTACCCATTACAACAGGCACTCTCTCAAAATTTATAAATTCCCATTATGTTGGGACTGCACTATATTTTCAAGTGGCAGTTCTGAGATACAAGGTGTGTCCCAAAAGTCATGAAATATATTTCTTTCCCGCGCTCCTACTGGTCGGAGCGCGCTGGAACCGGTTGGGTTAGGGGGAGGAGGCCTTTAGCTTCACAGCGCGCCCAAGGTCAGTCTGCTCGAGCATCGGAGGCGTCAGTATCGCTGATTTAGTGCACCTGTGTTTTGTGACTACGTCACGGCGCGCGATGGCGGATACTTTCGAACAACGTTGGGCGATCAAGTTCTGCACAAAGCTCAACAAAAAAGCCGCCGAAACTCACGAACTGCTTAAGCAAGACTATGGGGAGTCTGTGTGCTGAATGACACACTTCGGCTTCCCCTAAACCGAAGAAGGCGATGATGACCAAATCCAAAGTGAAAACAATGCTCATCATCTTTTTCGATGCCAAGGGTCCACAAAGAGTTTTTACCCCAAGGACAGACCGTCAACGCTCTCTACTATGTGGATGTTCTAGAAAGATTAAGGAAAAGGGTCATCTGCATGCGAAAAGACATCGCCGCTAACTGGCGGCTGCATCATGACAATGCGCCCAGCCACACGTCTCTGCTCGTACGTAAGTTCCTGGCGAAGCACCACGTGGCAACGCTGCCGCAGCCACCCTACAGCCCCGACCTAGCTCCGGCCGACTTCTTTTTGTTCCCGAGGATCAAGACTGCACTCAAAGGACGCCGTTTTGAAAGCATTCAGGCTATCCAAGGGCCGTGACAACAGCTTTAAATGAGGTTCCCGTCGAGGCCTTTGAGGGGGGCGTACCGGGCATGGGAGAGTCGGTGGGAAAAATGTGTAGATGCTCATGGACAGTACTTTGGAGAATATTAATACTTTGTACCGATATCATCAACAAATTTAAAAAATATATATATATATATTTCATGACATTTTTGGGACACACCTTGTACTATGGAGAAATGAAGTGGACAGTGATCATAAGTTTAACACTTTTATTGCTTATCCTGCTTCATCTGAAATTTATGCTACTTATGTGAACAAGGTTTACACTCTGATTTTGAAGGAAGTTTGTGAAATCACTGACTTCTTGCCTTCTGGGATGCAACACCATGTAGCCTGGTGGATCATTGCCAATGTCACTTTATACAATAAAAAAATATAGTTTCTTATTATGTATAAATGCATAACAGCTCTGCATCTGTAAAAAAATATTCCAGCTGTTATCTAGCAGCTTGAGGCAACGTTGAATTTCAAGGGGAGGTCTGACCTCATTCTTTCACTTCCATAATGATCCTATTTTCTTCTTTGTGGATGACTTCTACTTTATTCCAGTGTCTTTTACAGCCCTTATCCCTGGACTGTTCTGCTAGTTTAAACTCGGATATTTCTCCCACTTTTACACTGCTTGTATGTTCACTGATTCCAGTTTGAAGTGGTCTTCCTGTTAGCATTCATCAGAATAACATAACAGGTCATCAAGGTAATCATGCCTACATGTCAACTCCATATAGGTCCCTCTACTATGAGACAATGAGTTTCCAATTATGTAACATAACTACAACCACCATCATTCAGGCCTGCCATGTTCTTTTTTTTTATATTTTAAATTGCGTCAGATATACCTGTCAGCAAAGTCTGAGTCAGAAGATAGGCTTGCATCATCATCATCATGAAGATCTGAAGAATGTTTTCCAATTACAGTCTTTGAAGATACTGGAAAATGTAGAATCTATAGAAAAAGATACAAAAATGAAGTCATACCCTTTCTCATATGAGCAAAAAGTTTCTAAAGCCAGGTGAGCTTGGAGTTTTAATTTTACTTAATGACAAATGACACCAACTTTAACAAAAGAAATGCTTTATAACCATCAACAGTTATGACAGGAAACATACTCACACACGCATAAAGCATACTATAAAGCTATTCCTTTCAGGTAACAGATTAAATATAAACAGATTAATACCAAGCTACAAAAATTAAAATTTACATCACATTAAAAGTGCACAATCACTGGTTAACGATTGCTGGCTCATGAATCAGTTCACCACTCAGATAAAAACTCTTGTGGGAACTGCCCACATTCAAGCAAGTGTGACATGAGCTTCATTGCTTAGCAACGAGTAAAAAGCGGCTGCTAGGCAAAGCCTACAACAATACGGACAGTGACATGTTTTCTATATGTCCGACTCTAGGTTACATAAGAAGATACATTGAGTGGAAGTTACAGTTACAGTTCTACATTTCTACAGTTCTACAATTCTAGTTCAGCATTCAAGGAGTTCGCTATTCTTCAATTCTTCAAACTCAAGTTCGTCCATGTATACTGTGCAACTGTAATAAATACTATAGGACAGTTCAACCAGTGGTTGTCTCTTCATATAACGACATCCCACACTCTACTCACCCAACATTTCTCCAAAGGTGAAATTACAACTAACCATGTCACTGTAATTGCTATGCACCAGCCTACCTATCATCACATAACATACAAGTCTTCATAGTATCATGCTTAATTACTTATAAACAGGGAAGACTTTATATAGTCAATGTGTATGGAGTGACAATAGACGGGGTTTGGGGTGGTGACTACATTTATTGATCACTTTAACACACAACTTGAGACTACACTTCATAGTTCACTGTTACAGATACGCTAGTGCCCTCAGTCTGTTAGTAGCAAATAGTCGTCGCCTTTTAATGGATCCTACTGATGGAGATTCTTCATTTTCTATACTCATGTTATTACTGTTCGGCAGCGGTCACGTGACATGTGTTTTCTGTAGGTCCGTGCTGAGCCTGTTGATAGGCAGCAGCCAGCAGGCCAATCGACTGGCTGGGCAGCAGTATCACGTGATGTGTCGTATGTGATGTGTGTTCTTGTTGTGTCTATATAAGTGAGCAGAATTCCTAAGCTGCAATAATAAGCGGCTGGAGCATAGCAGTAAGCTGAAGGAATACAGCAGCAAGTGGTAAGCTGGAGGGCACAGTAAGCGGCCTCCGTAGTCTAGAGGTAACGTTCCCACCTCATGACTCGTAGTACACGGGTTCAAAAACCCAGCGGAGGTCGTGGAATTTTTAAGGGCGGAAAAATTCAGGGAACAAGTCCTCCGGGAGGGACTTTAAGCCGTGGGTCCCGTGTCGTAGATTTACGGCACGTAAAAGAACCTCACGTCTCTAGACCTCTGAGCAAAATTAGGCAACATTTCCCGCCCAAGTAGTTTCCAATTCCTCCGGTAGATGGGGGAAGTATTAGGTACCACTGCCAGAGGAGGGGGGACTTCTCTGACAGAAAGGGACTATTAGATACCACTGCCAGAGGAGGTTGGAACCTTGCTGGCAGGAAGGGGCTGATAGTAAGCACCAGTACCAGCAGGGTATGGAGACAGTAGAAATTAAAGGGGGACGCACAATGGACCACTAACCGGTCTAAGTGCATGGGGAAACCCACCCCCTCAATACGGAATACGGAGGGGCACAGAAGAAAAGCTGGAGAAGTATGGAAGAGTACAAGATGTCAGCCTGTGAAGACTTAACAGGTGTTCTGAAGACTTTATGTGTACTGTAGTATAGTGATATTGGGAATGTGTAATTAAGTGAAACTTTTACAGTTCCTGTTGTATAGATCTGCTGCCATGAAATGGATTGTGAAGACTAGACTGAGAAGATTAGCATGCAGTGATCTGTACTATGAAAATCAGTAACAGTGTTATTTACTTGTAGTTACAACCTGTAAGTGGTCAATAAATCCAATTATCAATTAAAACCCAGTCTACAGTCACTAATACACATGACAATATTTTAATTACTAAATAATGATTTTATGTGCAATCTTGAATGCAAACCTATAGCTCAAGAGATACAGGTATATGGAATATAACCAAGGCAGATGAACAAGAAATATACAAACATATATCCCATTGACGAACACATGACTGCACTATACTACTCTCAGGAACTCACCTTGGTGTTATGTCCTCTGTGAACAGATGGCTTATGAACATGCATCACTTCCAAGCGGCTGCTATGAGAAACCGAGGGCTCTGACTGGTGTTGAGCATAAGATGAGCATTTAGTATCTTCTATGTAACAACAATTCAAGTTCTCTGTTAGGCCTGGAGAACCATCTCGAGCTCGTTTGGGTTCCCACGAACTATCCTGACAACTACCACCAAAACCTGCTCCAGGTTCTGATTCACTTCGCTGACGTAGCCGTTTCCCATCTACACCACCCCGCAATTCTCGTAATTTGCTACGAAGAACTTCCACCTCATGAAGATAGCGGTCCTGCATTGAGGCAGTATCCACTACAAATGGATGTCTTGATGGGGCAGCCCCACCTTCTTCATTCAGACGATGTGAGTGACAACAATGGTTATTTTCACCCGATGTACCACAAAAATGAGCATCTTGTCTTATAGTAAAACCATACAATGAGCGAAAGTGATTACCAACATTATTTGCTTTAGGTTTTTGTGAGAAATGCCATTTACCACACTCACCTCCTTCAGTCCAAGTTTGGTTACAGAGTGCACCATTTCTTTTAACAGTATCACAAGATTTTTTGGTAAGTTTCCTTGGAAATGAATCACTCAAACTGTGTCCTCTATCTGGACATACATCACTACATGCATCATATGAATTAATGAAATGTTTTGGATTCTCATTTGCTTCAGGAAGCAACATGCTTTGGGTTACAGGGAAACTGTTATCAGTATTCTTATGTTGGTAATGAGGATGGCCCTTCAGAAAACAATCTTTATACTTCTTTAGAGGAACTATGGTTCTGTGCTGTTCTGCAGTTCCATCTACATCCATGGGCTGAGGTAATGTCTGATATAAGATCTCTCTGGGCGAATGAGATTGCCGGCTATCTGCCTGCCTCACAAACTCATGAGAGTTCGGTTGATAACTGCATAAGTCATATTCTGTTACCACTTTCTTTCTCCAGTGCTCATTATCATACCTTGAGTCATGCAGCCTATTACACTCCCGAAGAGGATCAGCTTCCAAACCTTCACTTTTGCTACGTCTCCGTCCACACTGGAGACTTCTACGCACTTCACAAACATGACACCAACTGGCATGTGCAAAATGACACTGGTAATAATTTGGGTTCCTGTGTGTAGTCTCACCACAACTGAATTCACCCTGTGATTCTGGATGGTGATACCCAGAGTTAGAATGATTTAAGGTCACTTTCTGAACCACATACGGAGTTGCCATGCTCTTCAGGTTATTTAATGACAGAATATTGCCATTTATAGCTAATCTCTTGTGTTTCTCTCCACCAGCAATCTGAAATCATTACATATGACAAAGTAATAGAACCACAAACAAAAAATTAGCTGATGTTTCCAAACAGGCAATTCCTTACTAAAAATTAACATGAACATTAACAAGCAATGACAGACTACATCAGTTGCCACTGCCATAATGTAAGAAAACAGAACATACATATGAAATTCCAGATAGAACTCAGAGTCTACTCTCCCACTTCAGACTTCCAGTCCTAAATGTTTCGTGCCCTCAATAACTTTTTTAGATAAAGTAAACTTATAATCCAACACCAGAATCTAATATAAGGACTGAGGTTCTCACAGCAGTGACTATGAAGTATACTGTTGTCTGGGATCTGACGCCATGTAGTCTGGTAGATCATTACTGGCCTACAAAGTATCACACCTCAGAATATATAAATCTTCAGTAAAACTTAACTTGGCTCATGGACTAGCATGTGGGGATTCTGGCATATGGTCATAAAATCAAATTCCACTTAAGTCAAATCTTTATTCCTTGCAATTGTATTATTGTTACTGCTGCTGCTGTGGTTTGGGACCCTTGCTGTTTAATGCACTTACTATAGACATACGTGATGTTATAACCTACTCTGTGTATCTACTTTTGCTGACAGTATCATAATATAATTTTCCATGAAATCTCCTGCAGACTACTGCTACAGTCTCACATTAACTCCATTCTAGGTCGGTGGACTGCTAATTATATTAAACTCAACATAGGCAAAACTAAAGCTACAGCCTTCTCGAGGAAAATCAACATACTGCCACATGCATCAGTGACTTATAAGACGAGGTTTGGGTTTGTAATTGGATTTATTGATCACTCCTTCTACAATCACTCATACGAGTAATCACAATAAATTACAATTATTTACAATAAATCTTCAGTCAAACCCTTCTTCCATGACTGCCTAGGACTCACTCTAGCCTACTGAAAGCCTGAAGCCAGAGTCAGTCACTGTTATACAGTCTCAGGGCGGACTCCACAGACAGCATGTCCATTGCCTAGCAATGGGCATCAACTGCTGTCACGTATTGTTGCAGGGTTTACCTAGCAACGGGCTGTTTGCCCAGAATCAGTCTCAGCGGAAGTGTCTATCGAACCAGTGCCTAGCAATGGGTCTATGCTTCACAGTACTGATCTATAAGTATAAACTCCGTCAATCCTGTACAGCTCAGGCTCACTCTGTTAGAATTCTGGGAGTATTTATTGATTCTTAACTTCATTTCCATTATCATGTCATATATATTTCCTGTATTAAGTTCTTAGGTCTAGTTTGCAGCATACCTTCACATTCTCATCTCTTGAATATATGTACTTTTTATATTTTATATTAGATCTAAGCTTGACTATGCTTCCCTCTTTGGGATTCAATTAAGCCTACTGATGCCAACAAACTAGAATGCATTCAGCAGAAGATTCCAGCCCTCTGTTTTAATCACTTCTTTCCTCAAGTCCATTACAGTTATTCTCTTGCTTTGAAACAGAATTGCACACCTTACAAAAAAAGAAAGCATCACTTTAATGCACTGTTCCTTATTCAAGTTTACCTTGGTTCTAAATTCTGTTCTTCTGTTTTGGAAAGTGTTGTCTTCCAAGTTCCTGCCTGGTACATCAGAGATTTTGCTTTGTTCAATGTTGGCTACTCAAGTAAAAACTGTCCTTCTGCTAGATGCTAGATGTTGATTGCAGGGACATTAACACATCTAGAGCCAGAAGTGCTTTTCTTAATCATATGTTATAATGTTTCTTTCTTCATATTAAAATATTGCCACATATTAGTGACTAGATAGGGGGTTTGGATTGATAATGGGATTTACTGAATGCTTATGATTCACAAGTATACTACCACTAATCTGCACACTGCAAATCATTATAGCACATACTAAGTCTTCTCACTCTGTTATATCTTCACTAGTCATTGTTAAGTATTGGCTTCTAACAACAGAGTTCCTACAGCTCCATGCTCACATTCTTGCTAGCTGGCAACTGACTCACAAGTAACCTGCATAACATAGCACAGCATAGCATGACATTAAATGGCTGCTGGTCCTCACCCGCACAATTATACTTGGCTTTGGGACTCATGACCAAATTTTTGTTTGTTCCAAGATATTTTGTGTTTGAAATGGGGCCTCTCATACCAGCCGCAGCCTATGCGATCACATAAGAAACATGACTTCCAATGGTACTTCTACTGTCCTGTATCTATTTGTTTCCATGGGAATGTTTACCACACCACTGTCCAGCAATGGCCATCTGTTCTGGTCCTGTTATTCTGCCTTTCAGGTGTCATATCACAGAATTAACTGCAAACAATATGAATGCATGTATATTTTTTTTTTTGCTGCATACTGGCTGGAGCAATTTAACTCACTGAATGTTTATTATTGTCCAAGCTGCCATGGTTTGGTTTGTCTTTGTTTGTGTGTACATGCTTGTTTTATTCCATCTGTGTTCATGCTTCTTTTAGGATCAATATTTTGGCTGCTGTGTAGGCACATATATAAATAAAGAAATTGATTGAACTGATATTATTATATACCAATACATTTAAAACTTGTTTCTCGCTATCATATTTTATGCCAGCCATGATTCTTCCAACCATTAAAATACTAATGGTATTCACTATAAATGTATACATTTTACTTTTCTCACCTCTCAATGATAACGTTGATTTGTGCTGATGGAATATCATCAATATTATTCAAATTACATAAATTGCCTTGTGTTTGTATTTGTTTCTTTTATTTACTTTAGCTAACTTTGTGGTTGGACTCTGGACTGTTAAGTCAACATGTAAATAAATAAGAACTGAATTGAATTATTATTCTTTTATTATCATCATGGTGGCAGCAGTAGTGGAATCATATCATGATCATCATCATAATCATGTCACTGTCTAGGACTCCTAGTGGTGTCTTTCTTTCTAGCTTAAGCCCAAAATCTTATATGCATGACTCTTCTCCCCAGTGCATGCCACGTCCCCTGGCCATCTCATCCTCCTTGACTTGATCTCTCTGATTACAGCTGGCTGGGGCTAGAAGTCATGAAGCTCCTTCCAATCTCCCACCATTTCATTCATTTTCAGTCTAAATATTCTCCTCAGCACCCTGTTCTCAAATACCTTCAGTCAATGTTCTTCCCTTAATGTCAGGGACCAAGTTTCACTCCCATACAGAACTACTCATATTTTTAAAATGCCTAACTAGTTTCATGCGTACCCCAAACTCCTAGAATACTTAAAAGTCTATGCATAGCTGACGTACTGCTTCTCAACAGCATCCACATCAACTTATAATTTATACACTAGTGTGACTACACTGAAGGCTGTATGGCCAAGGAACTGTGTTTCACATCGTAACAGGCATTAGACATGTTCCGCTTCTCCACAGCATCCACATCGACTCTGAAGCTCACCCAGCCTCCTATCCAGTGGGTACCGTGAACTCTTTCCATTGGGATTAAGTGGCCACAGTGAGAAGCTGACGACTCATAGCCATCTAGCTTCAAGGTTAAGAATGTGGATACCTATACCTCCATTCCACCATACATCTTTATGGTATGATAATTAAGCACAGGGACACCTTTACCTTACGTTTATGTCAAACTACATGCAAATTTCACTATTAACTACTTTCTCCAAAGTACCTGAGAAAGTTAAGCACAAGAGGTTAATCAATACTTGCAGACTAATAATATACTAGTCCCAGAACAGGTTGGCTTCAGGAAAGGAATATCCACTGAAAATGCAGCCTTTAAGGTAAGAGTGTATTAAAATCTATTAACCAAAAAATGCATGTTGATGGAATACTCTGTGATTTGGCAAAAGCTTTTGACTGTGTAAATAATGAATTTTCATTAACTAAATTACACTTTTTTGGCATTCAAGGAGCATCACCAAGTTGGTTCAGATCCTAATGGAGAGAAAACAATACTAAAATAAAATAATCAAATTAAACCTAAAATACCTACTCAAACTGGGGAACAATAAAGCATGGAGTTCCCCAGGGGTCAATTTTAGGGCCTTTGATTTGTATAAAAGATTATTAGCTCCGTCCAGTGTGATTGATAAATGTTTTTTTTTCCTTTTTAATCTTTCATCCTTGACATGTTTCGGTTGGAGCGACCATCTTCAGAAGGACATATCAATACATGTGGAAAGTATTACAATGTAAGTGGTCACAAACAATGCATACATATAATCAAATCTTTTGAAGCAAATCAAGCCTTTGCTTTTCCTAATCTATATAAATGACCTGCCTCCTACACTAAACACCTCATCAGTACCCATAATATTTGCTGATGTCACTAGTGTCACAATTTCTATTAAAAATCTAGATGATTTCCGCATACTATCAAAGTTTTCTCTCAAATGAGTAAATGGTTTTCTGCAAAAAAGCTGTCCCTAAATCTAGATAAAACGAATATAATAACATTATAACAACAAAGAAATCGCCCCATAATCCATTAAATATTGTATAGAATGATAAATAAATGATAAATATACATAGAAGAGCCAGCAAACATAAAATTCCTTGGCTTACAAATTGGTAATCATTTAAACTGGAAAAACCATATCATTCAGTTGGTTCCAAAGCTAAGTGAACCATGTTATGCGGTTACATCTATGTTGCATATCAGCAACAGTGACACTGTCAAATCAACTTATTTTCCTTATGTTCACTCCTAAATGAAGCATGCAATAATTTTCTGGGGTAATTCATCTGATAGCAAAAAGGCATTTATATTGCAAAAGACAACTGTTAGACTCCTAATGGGTGTCAAATCCTATAATTCTTGTACAGATCTATTTAGGAGACTACAGACCTTAACTCTTCCATGTGAATATGTTATCATCAGAGCCCAGATTTTGATGACATGTCATCTTTTTTCCTTGTATCCTATTCGATACCCATAAACATATAAATCCCGGAGATGAGCTGCTGGTTACAGAAATTTAACTTTTATGTGTCATTTTTTCAGTTTTGGAGTAATTTTTCAGTAAATTTTTGGATTTTAAGGGTATTTTTTGTCATTTTAGCCATTTTAGGTAATTTTTCTTCATATGTTTTCAGAAACATGTATAATATGCAAGTGTTCTTTCTCCTGCCTCTACAAATGCAGCCTGCAGCTGGACCCCAAGTACCTGCTATCACAGTATGCAATAATAAGTTGTAATCTTCTCCCGTACTTTCTGTTCGTTTTGCGGAAAGTGATCACATTACATATCATAAAACATTTTAAGCTGGCAGCAGGATACAACAGCAGTCACTCACAATGCGGCCCTTTCCAAGTTCTGTGCAAAGGAATTTGCTTAGTTACAAATATTTCTAGTCAGAATCCCTCGCTTTTTATAACATATTGTTGCTCAGCAAAACTCCATCTGTCTTCAGTTCCTCGCCCTTTTCCGTACATACAAAGATACTGTTGACGAAAGGTTCTCAGTATGAAAAGTTCACATCTGTGTTGCATTAGAGTGATTCATTTTATCACAATGCCTAAAGCAAAGCTATCTATATCGTGTAATTTAAATCAGATTGTAACTGAATTTGGAGGTGATATATTTTCAACTGATGGTAAAATTTTATGCTGTAAGATGTGTGACACAAAATTAGTGGCAGCAGAAAGTTTCATGGTACAACATATCGGCCGCAACAAGCATATATAGCAGTGCAAATTTTGAACAAAAAGAAATCTGTGAAAATGTTACTGTAACAGTGTTCTTTGGATGACGGAAATAAATCATCAGATTTTTTCACAGACCTGTGTGATGCTCTGGTGTTCACAAATGATGTATTCACTACCTTTCCAACTGCTACAACAATATCTGGGAAATGATTAGGAATAAAGTTCACGGGAAGAAGATTTTCATTTCCACTGATGAGACCCGCAATACAGAGGCTCGCTATGTGGCAAACATACCTTGGAAATTGATGGACCAGTTGAAGTGTTTCTGCTTACAAGTGAGGTGATAGAATCCGTTAATCATTCCACAATTTGTAAACTCTCTGACAGGTCATGTTTCTACTGTAGCAAGAGGTTATATGTCGACTTGCTTTTTTGTGACCGATGCGGCCCCACATATTGCAAAAGCATTGTCCCTGTGCTTAATTAAGTACCACACCATGAAGATGTATAGGAGAATGGAGGTATAGTTCTACCATTCCTGACCTTGGCACTAGATGGAGATGGGTGGCCAGGTTCACACCCTGGCCATTTTATCCATGCAGAAAAAGCCCCTGGTACCCATTGAACAGGAGGTTGGGTGAACCACAGAGCAAGTCTGGATGCTGTAGAGTACCAAAAATCACTTTTCCTTGCTATGAATCAAACCCCGGCTGTCCAGCCAACAGCCCATAGCCCATCAATATACTGATTGAGCTATCCCAGCTCTACAACTGAATTGTAGAATAATTACTGAATAATGAATTGATGGGATATGGAAGAGAGCAGTCCTGTCACAACTTGAGGTACTATCCCAGCATCTGCATCGAGATTGAAAAAAAAAACCATGAATAATCCAAAGTCAGGATAATCAGTGTGACACCAAAAATTCAAACCAGACACTTTCCAAATACATAGGCCTATTTGTCAAGCAAGATGATGAAATATGAAACCAACTATTTCTTTAGCTCGGTATTTAACGACGCTGTCTGTATCGAGACTCTAAAGCATCATGTGACGAGCTTAGACGAGATTAAAAAAAAAAAGGCAATAGATGACTGACTGATGTATTATATCGAAATTTGCGCGTAGGTGCTGGGGAAACCACGACAAATTCGGTCAGGATATACGGTATCCTGGCCGAGATTCCAATCGAGCACCCTCCCTTATACAAATGCTGAAAGTTGCCGCTACACCAACGCCTTCCACGAAACCGGCTATTATGGTTTTGGGCATGATTACACAATACAGGGACCGACATTTTAGTAGATGTTTTTCAACAACTCATGAACTACGAATACATCACGTCTTACTAGATAATAAACAGCCAATTTTTGCCCAATTCATGCTATACTTAATTTCTCAAGTAACTGTAAGGGAAATACATGCTGCCGCTAATTCTTAACCTTACTAACTACGCATTATTGTATTCTTTTTCAATATATATGTTAAGAAAACGACCTTATACCCTGAGACCGAACAACAAGGCAATAAATATCATATTATTTGGTTACAGATCGAGAATATAAACACGTTAGAATTCCACGGTCTGCCATGATATGCATTACCACTGACCCTTTCTAACCAAAGTTCCTGCTATAATTTCTGTGAAAATATACATTGTACATCACTAAATCATAACGCCACATATTACTTACATTCAATTCCATGTTCATCGTTCCCAAACTACACCAAATGAAAAAAAAAAACTTACCACAATAACAACAACCGCACACAATACTTCAACTCCCTCATCACCCGCTCATCACGTCCTGTGCGTGAATGTAGACAACATTTGGAACTCGATTCAATTGTATCTGACAGTGTCGCCAACATCTATATACGAATTGTTTTAGTCCATTTTCCGTGCACGTCCTTTGAATCGATTTATTGGTCTCATACGACATCACAATTAATACTTTTATTTGCGCAAAATTATCGAAATATTTTGATTGTAGAAGTATATAAATATGCACACATTATGTACAAATATATGAATTGTGAAGAAATAAGTTGGTGAAAAATTGGAAAGACTCTTTAAACTGAACAGGAATGACCAGAAATATTTTTTTACGAGATTTCAGTTGTGACACACACGATGCACGCACGTGCACACATTGGCTGCAGGAGGGACATGAGTGGGAATCACCGGAGTGCTCTGCAGTTGTTAGCGTTGTTTGTCTGTAGTGGATGGAAGGAGGTGGAGAAGATAATTTGAATATAACGTGGCTTGCAGTAGATTTGGAAAAGAAATTTCCATAAAGGGTAATTTTGTCATCTAGAGAACAGTTCGGTTATAAATCAGTGACATTTTTAGATTTATTTCTTCTTTGGTTACAGTATCCATTGCTACCGTTGTAATAATATGGGCAGTATTTTATTTCATCCATTTTGCTACATAGTAACATTTGGACACGTCATTGGGTAATACAAGTTAACAAAGAAATCTACAAAATTACAAGCATACTACCAACATTTGTTACAATCATAAACAATATATAAATACAACATTCCAAAAATATACAAACTGCTATATACAGCATGGCTATGTCATCCAAACATAAGTACTTGCACCTTCCACTTTTTTATTAAAACTAACATTCATTTATCGTATAAAAAGAATGTTTCAATAAAAATGATTTTAAGTCTTTTTTAAAAGCTGAAAAACCCACCAAGTTTTTTATTTTGTTTGGAGCCTTACTATACAATTCTATCCTCATATTTACCACACTTTTTTAAGTAATGTAGTTTTGCAGAATTGAACATGAAAATCCTTGTTTATTCTAGTATTATAACTATGAATATTTATAGTTTGGATCAAATCTGCTTTGTGCTTTTTTATGTAACTTAACACCTCTAAAATATACAAAGATGTGACTGTGAGGATGCCACAATGTTTAAAAATTTGCCTGCATGACTCTTGTTTACCAAGTAAGTTTTGAACATAATAACTGGATGTGGGTATTCCATTTAAGGTTTTCTATAATATCTATACCTAAAAATCTCAGTTCCGATGTTTAAGGAATTTCCAAGTTGTTATAGAGTATTTGCGGTCTAACTACAAACCTATTTTTACTAAGATGGAATGACATAGCAGCTGTTTTCTTTAATATTTATTAAAAGGATATTTACCTGAAACAATGTTTCAAGCTGTTTCATAATCTTATTTATTTTCTGTTGAGCTACATCTTTATCTTTATCAATAACCAGTACATTAATATCGTCTGCAAACAATACAATTTCCACACCTTGTACGTTTAGTGGATGATCATTTATATACAGAAGAAACAGTAGTGGTCCCAGAATTGACCCTTGTGGTACCCCATGTATTGTTTCTCTCAAGGGTGATATATATGTATTTTGGATATTTTTATTCAGGTGATTTATTTCAACAAATTGTACTCAGTAAGATAAATAAGATTTAAACCATAAATTAATAACCCCTCTGATCCCATAGTAATTTAATTTATCTAGTAATACATTGTGGTCTATCATATCATATGCCTTTGTCAAGTAAAAAAATATTCCTATAACGTGTAACCGTCTATCCATTGCCTCCTGTATACTCTCAGTGAAGGTCTGGGAAGCTGTTTCTCTTGATTTGTTTTTCATAAATTCATTTTGCACTTCTGTTAATATGGGATATTTTGTTACAAAGGATATCAACCTGTTATACACCAATTTTTCTAGCATTTTGGAGAAAACCGCAAAACTGATATTGGCCTGTAATTACAAACTTCCTGTCTTTCCCCTTTTTTATACAGTGGTCTTACTTTAGCTATTTTCATCTTATCTGGAAAGACCCATGATTTTAAAGAGGCATTGAAAATATGTACTAAAGGTTTCTTTATGTAATGTGAACATCTCTTGGCTAAATATTCTGGAATTTCATCAAAGCCTGCAGGTGGTTTACCTCTTAGACATTGTAATAAATTATTGTGAAACATTTTTGTACCTGCCAGATTTTATTGAATCATCAATTTTGTTTGAAATATGTGTTTCCTAAATTGTTCCAAGTTATACCGCCTGGAAGCTTCGATGGAACTGTGAAAGATTTCATCCTCACCAAATTACGTTTTTTCAGAATTTTGTTAAGAAGTGAACAAACTAAGGGTATGTGAAAACCAAGTGTAACATATTAAAAACTTTTATGTAGTGGTTACAACTGCTAGCATATGTTCAGGTTTTATGTTTGAATGGCAAGCAATTAAATTATATGGAACACTCATTAAAATCAGTTCGAAGAGCGTGTGATTGTTTCTGTCAGTTAAGAAGTGCAAAACTGTGCTACTCTAGGAAATGATGTTATGGAAGAAATGTTTACATAATTTGTAATTTCTCTAAAGAAATGGATAAAATGCTAATATGTAAAAGACAAGTCCATCATATTGAAAGATCTTCAGTTATCATCATTGATTGTGCATATTCAGGTGTTCATTTGAATGATAAGGGACACTGAAAGACTTGTCCTATATCATTGTATCATTATCTACAGGATCAGTAATGGAATGAATGAATGAAAAGTGATTAAATGATAAGGAACGCAGCAGTGGATCCCAAATAAAAAGTGAAAAATTATGCAGATATAGGATATGATGTTACAGAAGAAACTGTTGCCCTTACTTTTAATAGAAGTAAGAACCGATTTTTTGTAATACTGAAATCATTATGGTTTGTATCATACTGTATGTTTGATAATCATGTAAATTTGGCTGTCAACACAACATAAAAGTATCTTCAAGATGAAGACATAATAGGTACTACTGTGCTGCTATGTGAACAATACTACAACAGCGGGGGAAAATTTATACACACAAAATAAATACTAAGCACCAAAACTCTACACTGATGATCCCCAATAATTTCATATATGTAGGGCCTTAACATATGCCAAAGTAAGGAGGCTAAGACATTGTCAAACCAATGATTGGGAATGAGAGTTTGCATGAAATTAATAATGATAATGTAGTTAGCGTAGTAAACTTTGCCACATCAAAAAATCTTACTGTCAGAAGTACAATGTTCTTACATTGTAACATCAATAAATTTACTTGGACATCTCCTGATGGGAAGATACACAATCAAATAGACCATATTTTGATAGATAGGAGACGGCATGCAAGTATACATTGAAGTCCGATCATTCCGGGCAGCAGATTGTGATACTGACCACTACCTGATGGAGGAAAAGGTTAGGGAAAGACTGGCAGTGAGCAAACAAACAACACAGAATTCATATGGAGAGGTTCAATCTCAAAAATTAAATGAGGTAGGAGGTAAAGAGCAGTATTGTGTTGGAATCTCAAATAGGTTCACGGCTTTGGAAAACTTTGAAACTGAGGAGGATGTTAATAAAGCTTGGAAAATTATTAGAGACACAGCTGAGCTCTTAATACCTGATCCTAGCCCTTTTGAGGCTGAAAGTGCTATTGCAAAATTGATATGGTATAAATCGCCAGGTAGTGATCAAATTCCGGCAGAACTTACTCAAGCAGGAGGCAAAATATTATGTTCTAAGATCCACAATCTAATTACTTATATTTGGCATAAAGAAAGATTTCCTGATCAGTGGAAGGAGTCTATTATTTTACCAGTTTACAAGAAGGGTGATAAAACTGACTGTATTAATAATCTGGGGATATCACTGCTATCAACTTCATGCACAATTTTATCCAATATTCTTCTCTCAAAGTTAAGTCCATATATAAATGAAATTATTGGGGATCATCAGTGTTGGTTTCAATGTAACAGATCACGTACAGATCAGATCTTTTGCATTCGTCAGATATTGGAGAAAAAATGGAAGTTTGATGAGACAGTACATCAGCTACCCATAGACTTCAAGAATGCGTATGATTCAGTTAGGAGGGAAGTATTGTACAATATTGTGATAGAGTTTGGGATACCCATGAAACTAGTTAGGTTGATTAAAATATGTTTAAACGAAACGTATAGTAAAGTCCATGTAGGTGAGCATTTGTCTGATAAATTTCCTATCCAGAATGGTCTAAAACAAAGAGATGCTTTATCACCACTCCTTTTCAACTTTGCTTTAGAATATTCCATTAGGAAGGTCCAAGGAAACCAGATGGGACTGAAATTAAATGGGACACATCAGCTGTTGGCCTATGCCGATGATGTGAATCTGCTGGGTGATAATAAATAAAAACACACAAACTTTAATTGATGCAAGTAAAGAGGTTGATCTAGAAGTAAACACAGAATACTAAGTATATGTTGCTGTTTCATCACCAAAATGCAGGGCAAAATCATGACATAAAGATAGGAAACAGACGTTTTGAAAATGTGGCACAGTTCAGATATTTGGGAACAACAATAACAAATCAAAACCTGATTCTTTAATACGTGTGCTGCAGCACACGTATTAAAGATAAGCAGCGACACACACAGAGAGAGCCTACACAGAACAATACCTGAACAACGATAAACAAGAAGTGGCCGCTGCAGGACTTAGACATTGGGCATGTACCCTGAGGAAAATTTTAATTTTAAAATTTGAAAAAGGAAAAGAACAGAAATTTTATAGATATTTTAACTTGAATTAAAGTTTTAAAAAAGTGCTAATTAGAAATCAAAATTAACGTGTGTAGGTTAACAAACATTTTATACAGTTACAAAGACTGGTGATTTTAAATTTTAACAAGCAGTGTAACAGCTACGTAAGAATATACACCTGATGATGGCCATTTAGGGCCGAAACATGTAGTGTGGAGTGAGGGGAAAGAAGAAAGAACTAAATTAAAGTGTTACACTTAAGACGGTGTTTATCTTACATTTATAGTGAAACTTGGTCTCTGACATTAAAGGAGGAACATAGACTCAGGGTGTTTGAGAACAGGGTGTTGAGGAGAATATTTGGACCAAAGAGAGATGAAGTCACAGGGGGTTGGAGAAAACTGCATAATGAGGAGCTTCATAACTTGTACTCTTCTCCAAGTATAATTAGAATGATCAAGTCAAGGAGGATGAGGTGGGCAGGTCATGTAGCACGAATGGGGGATACGAGGAGTGCCTCTAGGATATTGGTGGGAAAGCCAGAAGGAAAGAGACGACAGGGAAGACCAAGGCGTAGGTGGGTGGACATTATTAAAGTGGATCTTAAAAGATGGAATGGGATGGTATGGATGGGATTGATTTGGCTCAGGATAGGCACCAGTGGAGGGCTCTTGTGAACATGGTAATGAACATTCGGGTTCCATAAAATGCTGGGAAATTCTTGAGTAGCTGCAGAATTAGTGGCTCCTCCAGAAGGGCTCAGCTCCATAAGTAAGTAAGTAAGTAAGGGTGTTAACGTTTGAGAGAACAATATTTGGATAAATTCTGTATGAAGTTGATAGCAGTGATATCCCACGATAATTACTGCAGTCAGTTTTATTACCCTTCTTGTGAAGTGTACAGTAATAGACTCCCTCCACTGATCAGGCAATTTTTCCATATTCCGAATAGAATTAGTTAGCTTATGGATCCATAGAATATAATATTTCACCTCCTGCTTGAATCAATTCTGCCAGAATTTGATTACTACCTGCCAATTTATACCTTTTCAACTTTGCATTAACAGTTTCAACCTCAGAAGGGCTAGGATCAGGTACTAATAGCTCAGCTGTATGTATTTCTATCTGCCTAACATCACTGGACCCTATGTAGGTTCAATAACTGAGAGTAGTAGTCCTTCCACATATGTATTCAATATGTGGGAATCTGCAGGCAGATCACCATTCTCATGTTTCACTAAATTACTTCTAGGTTGGTGAAAAGTCGTTTATTTTCATATACAGGTCTCTAATCCTGTTCTTACTGATCATTGCAAGCTAATCTTCTTTTAGTTTTAGCTTAATTTTCAAGACTGTTTTAATAATAAACTTAGAATTAAACATATAATTTGATGAGTCATTTAGCCTAAAGATTTGTTTAAAAATAACTTTTGAACCAATTTTAAGACACGTTATATTAATAAGTTTATTAATACTAAATAATAAAATTCCCAACATATTAGTTTTAATTGTTTTTAATTTTTGACAACAGCAGTGCATCACTAGGATTTTGCATATAACATTAATTTACATTCTCCATAAGATGTATCTGCTATAACAACAGAGTGTGAAGTATGGGTCCATGTTAAGACAATTCAATTCAAGAACTTAGTTATTTCATACATACATACATACATACATATACATTTGCGTTTCAGATTATTCACAAATGTGCACAGGCACAGAATATAAAACATGTCAACAAGCCAACAAGACATTGGAAACTTGTACATTCACAAACAAAATCACTAGCATATATAATCCATACTTGTCAAAAAACACATAAAAAATGTTAAAAGAAAATACAGATTGCAGCAAATACACATACAATAGTTAAAAAGCAATACAAATTGCAACAAGTACACATACAATAGTTAAAAAGCAATACAAATTGCAGCAAGAATATATAAGCACAGCCAAGGACATAGAGTTAAATGAAGTGTACACTGTCAGACACCTCTTGACAGGTCTTGACAGAAAAGCAAGAATTCCTCAACAGTATAAGAAGGGTTTTGAAGCAATACATCCTTTAGTTTCTCAATAAACTGTTTTTTATCATGTACCAACTCAATTAAAAAATCAGGCAAACTATTAAAAACTTTTACACTCATACAATAGACCCCTTTTTGCCTCTTTGTTAGATGCGATTGAGGAACATGAAGGTTTCTAACTTGTCTTGTTGATTTACCATGAATTGTATGATTAAAAGTATAATGCCCCAGATTGTTTACCATTAGTATCATTAAAGATAAAATATATTGAGAAGCCAATGTCAAAATTTTTAATTTTTTAAAAACTGTTCTACATGATTCTCTGGGTTTCATTCCCATCATTATCCTGATGGCCCTTTTTTGTAAAAGAAAAATCTTCTTAGCCTCCCACGAGTTTCCCCAAAATACTATCCCATATCTCATAATTGAATGAAAGTATGCGTGGTAAATCATCCTTAGTGTTTCAATATTGCTATACAATTTCATGTTTCTTATTGCAAAGCATGCCTTGCCCAATCTGGACAGCATCGATTCAATCTGTGACTTCCAATTCAGGGTCTTATCAATTTCAATGCCCAAGAATTTAACGTGGGTTTCCTCATGCAATATCTCATCATTAAAGTTTAAATGTATAGACATATTATCTCGATTAGTTGTATCAAATTTTACCACTTTCTCTTGTAACTCGCTTGATGATGACCTAGAAAAAGTCAGAACATGTAGCATACATCTTCGCATAATAAAATAAACAGTAGTGATACAGTAGTATCTATTTTATCTTCATCTTGAAGATACCTTTATGTTGTGGTGACAGCCAAATTTGTGCGATTAATATTGACATGCATGAACTTAAGTTGCCATTTGAAATTCAGTATTATAAGATATTATGACAGTGAGACAAAAGATTTTTGCACTGATTATACACTTGGTGGTTACTTTAAAATATTGATTTAGAAACTGTGTTACTTGGAATCTCATGCAAGGGATTCAGAAGTGTTGGATTTTAGATTTCTTCAAATTGTAGACTTCAGTTTTAACACTGACCTGAGAAGACTTTTTGAAATTAAAGTTACAAATCAAAAAAACTGATTCTGACCGCAGTTAGTACTTCTTAGCTGTATTCATCTGTAAGAATGATTGCTATTACTGAAGTCATACTTCACTAAAATAAAAGTATATTTCTTTCCACCCCATAGCACTATTGAAGAGACAGAAGCAAAAACCGCAGTGCAATGAAGGGTTTATTGATACAAGATGATGATGAGCAGCTGTTCAATGTTTGTCTACACCCTGTTCTCTATCGTTACTATAAAGAAAACTTGAAAGAAATTCGCAGAATGGTGAAACAGCAGGTAAAAATCAATATTTACCATATTGTAATTGTAATTTATTTTGAGTTCCAGATGATCCAATAAAACTGGTTACAAACCATAGAATATAGAACATGTCAAATATTAATTAAAATATGTCAAGATAAGCAGAAGAACATAAAAGTACAATACAATCATAAGTACAGTTCAGGTATAAGTTGAGCTCAAGTAAATAATTAGATGTCAAAATTATAAAGCAATAAAATAAATGATTTAAAAGACAATGAGTATTATTGTAAATACAATAAAACTATTATACAGATAGACTCATATAATTCAGTATAGAGTGGCTAACGTACTATTCATATAAAACCATTAGTTTTCATCATCATTCATTAACACTGTAATACTCCTCCAAGTCATAAAAACAATGGGTAATCAAGTATCTTCTTAAAGAAATCTTAAATTGTGTGTATCCCAACAGTCTCCTTTATTTCAAGAGGCAGATTATTAAATAACTTTATACCTGTAAAGTAAACACATTTTTGGTACAGTGTTAAGGTGGAAGTTGGGAGATATAAATTACTACTCTGCCTTGTCTGGAGATTATGTGCATCATGACCAGTAGTGAAATTTTTCTATTCTTTGATACAAAGAGCAAAACTGAATAAATATATTGTGACTTCAACGGTAAAATTCCAAGCTGACTGAAAAGATTTATGCACGAATGCCTATTACAATATCCTGTCATTAAACAAACTGGTCTTTTTTTTTTTTTNTTTTTTTTGGTACCATAAAGAGTTTCTTGGTATTGGTTGCCTGCCCCCAAAATACAATTCCATAAGATAGTATAGAGTGAAACAGAGAATGATATATCTTCACCAACGATGACCCTGACATATAGTCTGACAGATCTTATCATAAGCAAACTGTAGTTAGTTTGTTAATAACTGAATCAATATGTATTTTCCAAGAGAGGACATTATCAACTTCCAAACCAAGAAATTTGAGATGAGAGACTTCCACTATATCATTAATATTACAAGAAGTGGAGGCCTTGGTAGGAACAGAGTTTCTGGTTATAAATTGCATAGTGAAAGTCTTCAAAAGATTGATTGATAACAAATTTGATTTAAACCATTTATCTGTGATTATAAGAGTTACATTAAGTTTAGTCTCCATAATGTCGGGGCTCTTATCAATGACTATGAGGCTGGTATCATCAGCGAACGAGATAGATAAAGCAGAATCAGCAGTAACTTGAGGGAGATCATTAATATACAATAAGAACAGCAGAGGACCCAATACTGAGCCCTGTGGTACCCCTTGCTGTATTTTAGACCAATTAGATGTGATATTAGAAGAAGTTATTCTATCTTTCAAGCTAACGCGCTGGTATCTATCCTTAAGATACTGTGAATATAATTTCTTGGATACTCCAGTGATTCCATATATTTCCAGTTTGTGGAGAAGGATGTTGTGATTTACACAATCAAAAGTTTTTCAACATCGCAAAATAGTCCCTTGGCTTTTAGTTTGTTATTTAGTGCAGTTAAAGCTGCATTTATTAAAGTATATATAGCATTGTCTGTCGATAGATTCTCTTGGAAGCCATATTGATTTGAACTAATAATAGTATGTTTCACGAGATGATTTATGAGTCTGTTATACCTTACTCTCTACAATTTTTGAGAAGGATGTTAGTAGCGAGATGGGTCTGTAGTTAGCTAATGTTGATTTATCTCCCTTTTTATGTATTGGCTTAACTACAGAATATTTTAATCGATCAGGGAATACCCCACATGTAAAATTTTATTACAAATATAATTTAATGGAGAGCTTATATACGGTGCACTGAGTTTAGTGATCCTCAGAGATATTTGATCGTATCCACAAGAATCTTTAGTTTTAAAAGCTTTAATTATTTTTTCAATTTCTTTAGGTGTGGATGGTTCATTATGAATTTTTGGGTAATTATTTAAAATTGCCTGATGCATATATGGTAAAAATTCTGTAGCCAAAATATTGCTATGCTTACCATTATCTGTTTTAATTAATTTGTTACCAATAGAAATGAAGTAGTCATTAATTTGTTCAGCAGCATTTTGATTCTTGCATTTCTTAATTAGATCCTGAAAGTCGTTTCGTTTAGAGATTCTGCCCGTTTCTGAATTAATTATTTTCCAAGTAGAATCAAGTTTATTATGGGATTTCCTAATATAGTTGTCATAAGCAATTTTGGGGGCTAAAACAATGAACTTGTTTAAAATTTTACATTACTTGGAATAGTAATCTTTTAGAGCTAAATTCCCTTCCTTTTTCAGTCTTTTTTTTTCTGCTCACAAGAGAGACTGATACCGGTGGTGATCCAGTTCACGTTTCCACTTTTTGTTATCTTTTGTTTATGAATCATAGGGAAAGAAGAATAGAAAATTCTCAAGTAGGTGTTCAAGAAGACATTAAATATATAATTCACTCTTACCATCCCCCTCGTGTAACCTCAAGCCACACCGGTTGCTGTTACTCTTTACCTTCTTTCCTTTCTCTTGTTGTTCTCACCACTGCCGTCGTTGGTCGTGGAGCTCGCAGCTAGGTCGGCTTTAGCTGGCTCCACCGCTTCTCCAACTCCACCACTTCTCTTCACTATGGAAAGGGTATCTGGTCCGGGACTTGGACTGGATGGTTATGGGCGCCAGCAACTGTGGGTACAGCTGCAAAGTGAAGGGAAAAGGTGGACGGGGTGGGAGCTGATGATGATCGGGCTAGCAGTGGTTGGCGTGAGACTCTGGCTCAGGTCGTTTAGGGCCTTACTCCGACGAGGAGGAGGAAAGAACACACGGGACACACAAACACTTGGCACCACTTAACTTTATTGACTTTTTTTAATCTGCGCGCCTCTGAGATACATTTCAGTGCATTACTCTACTGTAATTCCACCCGTTGCTTGAACACTAATTTTGCTTAACATACGAGTGAGACAGACAGACGCGTCCGGTCAGTTTAACCGTTCTTACGAGCCTCTCCACAGGAACTGTCTCTCCGTTTTTAAATATTCAGAGGTCCTGCCACAATTTGAGGAACGCCTCATTGCCATCTTCCAAATCTCCGGGTTGGCTGAATTTAGGAAGGGGAGGGGTTCGATAGATTTCTCATTCCTCCACTGGTCAGCTGTTTCGCGGCGAGAGTTGGGGTTCACACGCTCTCACCGTCTTTCTGACCCGGGGTGGATTGAGAGGGTTCAATCTAACGGTCTCCTAAGAGTAGGCCCGTGATGAATCAGGTGTTGTAAATTGGCCCCTTTCCTCTACTAATAAAACAATTCGCCGCTCCTTTCTAAAGACAGGTTTTAACATTTGGAGAGTTATGACCGTTAGAGGGCCACCTCTCTCTAGTGACAAAAGTTCTTTTCAATGTCTTTTGGACATATTTATCTTATTAGTACATATGGCGCTTTCTAAAAGTAAGGAGAGTGTCGGGCTGGTTTGGGTTTAGTCCGGGGATTGTGACCCATCATAAACTTTACCATCCCGGAACTGCGAAAGGGTTCAGGTCCCGTTGGTTGGAGTGGGGTGTGAGGCATTGCCTCTGCTTTGATGTAGCGACAAGTACCGACACACGTGAACAAAACACTGGAGCCCTTTGCATTGTACGGTTACATCACGTCACTACCTCCAAAAACTTCATCCCAATTTACATAGCTTAACTGATTTAAAAAATCAACAACAGTAATTGTATTAATTTTCCTGTATATATAGGACTGATGTTCTCTTATTAATGTGAAGGGAAGGACAATGGTAAGTACTTGACCTTCGTGGTCAGACAATCCATTGTGTGTAGGTGAGACAAGAAAATTATTAAATCTAGTGATGTCAAAGAACACATTATCAATGGGAGTACTAGAATGTCCGCCAATTCTGGTAGGAAAAGTTACCACATTAACTAAATTAAAAGTTTTCAAAAGGGCATTTAGTTATAGGATTTATAGGATTTACATCTTACTTTTGGGAAACTAACCTGCTTTTTGTGTACCTTGAGGTTCTGTGATAATATAGTCTTGTTCAAGTCATATTAACCTCAACCCCTTAAATTTTAATTAATAACAAATTTCAGTTTTCTGAATGAAGAACAGTGACTGCATATAATATTACAGTGAACAGTCCTAAATGAACACTAAACAGAGGCATATCCTTCAAATGTGCAGGCAGTGCAGTGTAATGGGCCCCACATCAACAGAGATTAGTTTCTTTATTGGTTCTCTCATATGTCCCAAAAGCTCTGCTTTTCTCTTTTTTTTTTTAACAGATAGAGATTGAGGTTAATGGGTGCAGAGAAATATACTGGGGCTAGGATTGTTTCTAGAAAAATCACCCAATGAGAAACTAATATGTCACCGTCACAGAGACACAGCACAGATATCAGTATAACAGAAGCGTGTTACTGAGACATTTGAAGATAAGGGGAAAACTTAACATTACTGTCTCTGAGGAAAAGCAGAGATGAGAAGATGGAAAGAGTTCCATAAGTCAGTCTTCATTCCATCCAAACATTACATGGAACTGTTCGGTAAGACCAAGCCATTGGATTAAAGCATTGGTCACTTTAATGCCATGCTTTGCCAATTATTCTGTCTTGGTTCTGCTAAAAGCAGCTGATGTGGGAGCCTAGTCTTATTGGATGTAATATCTGTTACTGTCATGTAACTGGGCTGTAAGATGAGTAAGACATACCTAAGGCAAGTATTGAACTCACTTCTGTCCCATGTCTTTGTAGTGTTGTGTTTCCTAGGACCTAAACAGTGAACTCCCATGTAGTATAGAACCCTCAGTGCTTCCAGCTAAATTAAGTGTGAAGAATGACATGAAATTCTTTCTTTCAAAAATATTATTATAATTGCAATGATAGGTTCAAGGAAGATGGCAGTGTACACAAATTATTTACTGAAGTCAATAAAATAATGTGTTTGTTGTTGAGTCATGTGTATCCCATTGATATGTGACATATGTACTGAAAATACGACTATAAGTACTGGGTGTAAGTTGATAATATTGTGACGCATTGTGCTATGGAGGACATCCCTTCCCTCGCCAGCGGTGACGTGGCGGCATCGGAGCGCTGTCGCTACTACGGTAACAGACCAGTGAACACTCCGACCACCCTCCCCCCTGGTGACGTAGCAGGGGATGCCGCGGTTGCTATGCAGCAGTAAACAACTCGACAGCGTTGCCCAGCAACACCTGTAAACACGACGACTAGGCAACAAGGAAGCAAGGCGTTTTCCCATTGGCCGGCTGAGGGTTTATCAGAACTGCACTGCCTAAGAAGACAGTTAAAATGTAGCCGTCGCTGGAGACAGATGAATGGATTCGCCGAGATGCAGTTGAACAGCAATGCAGATAGTGAATTGTATAAGATTAAGATTGTATAACTGAATTGTATAAGTGTGGAGAGCGAATGTGCAATAAATTCGCTATGTCCAATATGGCGTGAAGTTATTTGTCACGTTATACACTCAACATGTGACAATATTTTCTTGAATACTTTAATGGACTTTAAAGCAGGGTTAAATTGACTGTAGCATTATGACTGAAACTCACACTTTTGAAAAAGGCTGTATAAATGTTGCTTGTTTGCTTACTTATGTACTTACCTACCTACTTACGGTGCTGAGCTCTTCTTGAGGAGCCACCAAGACTGCAGCTACTCAAGAATTTCCCAGCATTCTATGGAACCTAATGGTTCATTACCATGTTCACAAGAGCCCTCCACTGGTCCTTATCCTGAGCCAGATCAATCCAGTCCATACCATCCCATCCTATCTCTCTAAGATCCATTCTAATACTGTTCACCTACCTACGCCTTGGTCTTCCCAGTGGTCTCTTTCCTTCTGGCTTTCCCACCAATATCCTACATCCTCTTCTCATTTGTGCTACATACCGTGTCGTCCTCATCCTTCTTGACTTGATTATTCTAACTATACTTGGAGAAGAGTACAAGTTATGAAGCTCCTCATTATGCAGTTTTCTCCAACATCCTGTCACTTCATCTCTCTTCAGTCCAAATATTCTCCTCAACACCCTGTTCTCAAACACCCTCAGTCTATGTTCCTCCCTTAATGTCAGAGACCAAGTGTGACACCCATACAGAACCACAGGCAAAATTATAGTTTTGTATATTCTGATTTTTATGTTTTTGGACAGCAGGCGAGAATACAAAAGGTTCTGGACTGAATGGCAGCAAGAATTACCCAAGTTCAGTCTCTTCTTAATTTCCTCCTGAATCAGGTTTTGATTTCTTATCATCGTTCCCAAATATCCAAACTGTCACATTTTCAAAACATCTGTTTCCTATCTTTATGTCATGATTTCGCCCTGCATTTTGGTGATGAAACAGCAACATATACTTAGTTTTCTTTGTGTTTACTTCTAGACCAACCTCCTTCCTTGCATCAGTTACAGTTTGTGTGTTTTTCTTTATGGTATCTATATTATCACCCAGTAGATTCACATCGTCAGCATAGACCAGCAGCTGTATAAATGTTGCTGCTAAATAAAAATCAAACACAAAAGAGAAGGGCTATATTATTCAGAGAATGCTGTGAATATGGCCAAAACCTGGGATGTTCCTGAAAATTTTGAAAAGCAAAGGGACATCAAGGAAGAGAGTGTATAAACTCTGTGACGGTATAGACTGATACAGTAGAACTTGGTTATAACGTCATCAAAGGGACCTAAAAATAGTGTTGTTATAAACGAATGTCGTAACCGAAATGGGCACTTCCACAGTAGCCTTATGTTAGTCACGTAAAAATCTACCAAAAACAGAGTTAAAATGTTGCATTTTTTAGTGAAATACATAGTTAAGTACAGACTAACGTAACATTAACATGGAATTGCCCAAATGTGTAATATCAAAGACATATTACAGCGCTTTTCACTGACAATACACACAATATTTCACGAATCACTTTAACTTTCTCTTCAATGCTTAAAACTTTCCTTTTCATTGCCATGTTTTCGCTACTGCACTTCTCTGGGTTTAGGCAGGAACACTATAGGGTAAGTAGATAATGTGAGGTCCTGTTAGACGAGATTCTAGGAAAGGAATGCAGTTAACAACCTGCCGCGTCCTCTTGCACTATTCACGCAGTCCCACCCCACACCCTTGTTTTCGCATAAAACCCACGCTCCTCTTGCAGCCCGCGGTCGTATTCTTCCAGGACAGTCACGTCAGCAAGTAGAGAAAGTGAGGGTGGGCAGACACATCGAACTTTCCCACGATATCAGAGAAATTCAGGAATGAAAATGACGTTACATACGAGGTTGATGCATTTGTGCATGTCGTACTAAGCAAGGTATAAAAACAGTTGCTTTATGAGGAATTAGTTCGTACCATTGAATATTTGACGCAATAGACAAGGTGTCGCAGAAACCGATGTTGCTATAACCAAGTTTTACTGTACTTGAAAACAAAAATTCAAAGTCAGTGAGCTTTTTGCTGCACTTCACACAACAAGAATGTAACTGAAACACAGTTTTAAGGGTTTCATGAAGTCTTGAATACATCTGAAACCATACGGCCCTTTGTACTAATTTCTGCAACATATGAAGACCTATGTATTAAATAAGAAAATCTGTATAGTCAGTAGAGATAAAGTTGTCCCTGTGTTTAATTAATTAAGCACCTCATAGTGGAGATGGGAGAGTAGAGATATAGCTTCAATGAGATAGCTCAGTCAATGTAGCAAAGGGCTATGGGCTGGAAGGCTGGGGTCCAATTCTAAGCAGGGTCAAGAGATATTTCTCTTCTCCACAGCATCCAGACCAGCTCTGGGGTTTGCCCAGCCTCCTATTCAATGGATACAAGGGGTAAAGTGGCTGGGACATGAATCTGACCACTCACCTCCATTTAGTGCCAAGGTCAAAAACAGTGGATCAGTAAAGTCAGTATCAATCAGATCTCTTGCCAGCACTTCCAGATCAACTGTCAGCATTTAGGTCTTGCTAGAAATATGACTTTGCTAAGAAGGCATCAGTAAAAGGAAATACTGATCTACCTTTAATTGAGAATCATGCATTTCCTTCAAAATTCCTGCATGTAATCCCCACCTGTCTGCTTGTTCTGACCATTTTAGTAACTGTTCATTCAGATTGAAACCCTTGGAGTACACTGGCACAGGAACAGCTCAGTGGCTTGGCTGTTCACTCCATCAAAAATGCTAGTATTTACACCACAAACGCTGATTATGTCTTGTTGTGTTTGTGATTTTGTGTGTGTCATAACAATGGGGAATGCTGTCATACTTTTTTGAAATGGAATTCTTATCAGGCATGCTACAGTTGGGGATCTAATACACTTAAATCACAGACATAGCACATTATCGTGTTGGTACCGCACAAGCTAATATGGTGATTTCTGAACACTGGCTTTTAAACTTGGTAGATGTATATAACAACATTATCTTCTTACTATACTGTGTTTCATACACTTGTGGAAAATTGAGGCAAAATCATTGCCCTCACAACAGAGCCCACCAATTTCAAGATATGCCACCTACACTTAAGATGGAATCCAGTTCCTCAGATTATTTTGTGCATCTTAGAAACAAAGCATGTTTCTAAGAACAGTGGATGCTTCTGGAGTAAGACATAAAAGAGAGAGACTTCACTGAACAGCTCAGATGTTACACCATGTTCACAAGAACAAAGTTTAGACAAATCTTAAAAATAAAGCAACAGTCATATCCAAGTGAAGAGTTATGCATAATGACACTGTCTTCTGTTTGAACACAGATGTGTTTGGATTTTTGGAGTCAACAATAAACAGAAAAAACTTGTCAGTGTAGAGAGAAGTCCTGTTTTTTTTTTGTGAACTTACGCAGACTGTCTTGTTATAGAATATCATCCCAGAGGGTTAAGAAAGTAGTAAACTGCCTAATTAACAGAGATCTCATATAATGTTACATTTTTGTTTTCAACAGAATATGTTTCCCTTGTAATGGCTTTGTATTTCGTGATAGTTGTAATACTATGTATTTAAGTAGGTTTATAGTGAGTGGACTTCTTTTTTCTTCAGGGTGCTGGATTTTGGATACAGTTTGTTACATCTTTCCGCTCTTTCATCTCAAATTTTGATCCGGGTATAACTAATGGATGTGAAAGTCATGAAGAAGAATTTATTGATATGCTAAAAATGCTTACAACAGAGAACAGGTGAGGAAATCGTGAACACATGTTGGCAATGTTGATCTGTTTGTTGAATGAGAATTGTTGTTTCGATGGACGTGAAGATCCACATTGAGGTGTGTTTTTTTTTTTTTTTTTTTTTTTTTTTTTTTTTTTTTTTTTTTTTTTTTTTTTTTTTTTTTTTTTTTTTTTTTTTTTTTTTTTTTTTTTTTTTTTTTTTTTTTTTTTTTTTTTTTTTTTTTTTTTTTTTTTTTTTTTTTTTTTTTTTTTTTTTTTTTTTTTTTTTTTTTTTTTTTTTTTTTTTTTTTTTTTTTTTTTTTTTTTTTTTTTTTTTTTTTTTTTTTTTTTTTTTTTTTTTTTTTTTTTTTTTTTTTTTTTTTTTTTTTTTTTTTTTTTTTTTTTTTTTTTTTTTTTTTTTTTTTTTTTTTTTTTTTTTTTTTTTTTTTTTTTTTTTTTTTTTTTTTTTTTTTTTTTTTTTTTTTTTTTTTTTTTTTTTTTTTTTTTTTTTTTTTTTTTTTTTTTTTTTTTTTTTTTTTTTTTTTTTTTTTTTTTTTTTTTTTTTTTTTTTTTTTTTTTTTTTTTTTTTTTTTTTTTTTTTTTTTTTTTTTTTTTTTTTTTTTTTTTTTTTTTTTTTTTTTTTTTTTTTTTTTTTTTTTTTTTTTTTTTTTTTTTTTTTTTTTTTTTTTTTTTTTTTTTTTTTTTTTTTTTTTTTTTTTTTTTTTTTTTTTTTTTTTTTTTTTTTTTTTTTTTTTTTGAGTTATGGCAGTATGTATGAATCACTTGTACTGTGAAGATGGAGGCAACAGGCTCCAAAACAATGGTAACACCTGCGTAACTGGAGTGTTACAACACAGAAAACCACAGTATTTATGAGTTGTGATACCACATAGTCTAGTGAAAGTTTACTGCCATTTTGGAAGAACAAGCACACCCAGAAGGTATTTCTCATTATAATTGCTGCCATGACAGCTTCGGATCTCACAGACTATTGGATTGATTCTTTGTAAGGTTCTGTCTGTATCCACCCAGTATGTACTCTTCTCTGATTTTCATATAGGAACATGTTTTATGGGCAGGTTTAATTCACTTTGCAGTTGAAAATTTTAGTAAATAACTTAAGTTACATTTATTTTACTTCGGGTGGGGTGAGACTGAGTAAATGGAATGTTGGTGGAATGATAATTGGCAGGGGAAAATGAAAGTCCTCGGAGAGAAACCTGCCCCAGTTCAACTTTCTCTGCCACAAATTCCATACGAATTACATTGGAATTGAACGTAGGCAACTGCAGTGAGAAGCTTGTGACTAACTGCTTCAGCTGTGGCACAGCCACAAGATGTATATAGTCTAAGAACTGCCTGAATGCTACTTTGTGTACCACACCCCACATGTACTGCCTTGGGATTGAACCTAGCTGATGAGTAACCACCTGAGGTATAGGTGAAAGAACATAGCCCCTGTTATGGCTGGAAGCAAATGCATAGACATCTTATCACACAGAGCTGAGCAGTTGGGTCAAACTTAAGTAGGGAAGGACAGTTTATGGTGCCCTAACCATGGGTTTGGCCAACCATTTTAGCTTTCAAGTCATGTGGTGCACAAACTTCTGAGATGGGAGCAATATTTGTACAATTAATTGAGGGTCCTGATGTTTACTTTTGTTGGGGTAAATTTTTTGTAGGACATTAAACAACAGTAAGATGCAGAGTAAAATCCGTAACTTAAGTTTTCTATGATGGTGATGGAGCTAGGCATATGAAAGTTTATGTGGACATAAATCATAACAGACTTACAAACAAGGGTTGGTTTGAGAATTTGAGGTTGTATCTGACAAATGTAACACTGTTGGATCTGTGCTAATGTAAATGCTGCACAGAAATGAATTACTAAATTGTGTAATTATTTGTTCATAGTTCTTCATAGCCTCACCATATATAAAGAAGCATTCGAAGGAAAGTAGGTGTTATAAATTCTTTTTTGAACTTGTGTTTATTTTTCTAGTTTATCAGTGTAGATAATAAATGAGAATGGTGGTAGACTGACTTTCATATAGGGGCCCTGGTGTTCGGTGTGTAGAAGTGAAATACCAAAGATGGGACCGAACAGGTGAACAGTCATGCTCAGTCACTCTCTCATATACCTAGCCAAGGTTCTTAATCTTTTAGTACACTGGTTGTATGTTAAGGGATAGTACATATTATTATGATTATAAAATATTTATCTTTGCAGCTTCACAGCATTCATTTCAGTAATTGAGTCGCTCCATAGACTGCTTGTATTGGTTGCTTCACAGCGTGGTAAGTGCCTTATTCACAGAATTGCCATTATTTGGTTGAGTTTGTAGAATATTATCTTTTTGGAGGATTAATGGAGACTGAAATTTCTTCCTGCAGGGTACTTCATGATGGCTGCACAAATTATGAGAGCACATGCAATATCAGGTTTCCATAAGGTGATGTAAATGATATACATTAATACCTAACAAAAGTAAACCTAAAAGCATTAAAATGTGTTTACATCTTATAGGTGAAGGTTTTAGTTATGGATCCAGATGGGAAATATATAATTATATATATATATAAACAATGACAGTGATGACACTGTACAGATTCAGGTTCAGGTATAAATGTACACACAAATTCACTCAATATTAATCCATCACATGTAGTTCTTTCATATTTTTTTTCATGGTAATCACAATTATCAGAACTATCTACATGCTCATTCCTTCTACTCTTTAGATGAATACTTCAATGTAAATAGAGAATGATGTAAAATTAAGTTATATTAATTTTTAAGCTAAAATTGCCTGTACATATGTATGTAACATTTTGACTTGTTCTGTATCCAAAGGTACTAACCTGCTTAGGATTTATAGAATGTAAATAAATTCAATTCAATTCAATTTATAACAGTGGCCACTTCTTCACAGTGCTCTAGTGCAGTGCTTCTCAATCACTGGGCCGCAGCCCAGTAGTGGGCCCAGGCATCAACTATACTGGGCCGCGAGAGGCTCTTCTGGAATTTGTCATTTTCATTTTCTAAGCATTTTTCATGAATAAATATTTTATAATGGAAATATTCTGAGGAGAATAATATTTGTGTCGAGAAGCTCAGACACAGAACACCTAAATCTGTGTAGCAAATGTCACTGACCAAGCCACATATTTTTAAACATGGAAGTATTCATGAATGATCAGGAATTTTCAGACATCCAGATCTTTCAACATTCGGGAAAGGCAATACCGATGTTTATGACCAGTCATAAAAATTGCCTGCAAGCTGATTACAACAATGGGTGGCATATCCTCTGTTCTCAGAACTGAGTGAAATAACATCTGTGTTGCAAATGTCAGTGACCAATCAGCAAGGAAGTATAAAGAAAATGTTTCCACTGAAATTGAAGATCAAGGCAGTCTGTATCCGGTTCTCAAATCTAGTAATACTGAATACTGTTTCTTCGTAAGTTTGCATTGCAGTGTGTAAGTGCTTGTTTTGAAACCTGAGTGATTTAAATTTTAATATGAATAAGAGACAGGGGACTTTGTTTAATTTTGGTGTTAAGAAATCTCGTATTGAAGGTGTTTGTGATGCAACAAGTAGTGATTCATCCACCTCAAGCCTACATAGCGATCTCCAGGATGTACAAAATGAAGGGAAAACCACCAGCACACAGAAGAAAAAGTCTGCATCCATTTGTAAGTACATGGACAGCTACTTAAAATTAAGTGTTTTGCCAGCAAGTTGACATCCTTCTGCTTCTTCCCCTACTCAGCTGACTTCTATGGTGAGTTACAGTGCATAAATATTTTTCTCACTGCCGTTTTTTTTTCAAACCAACATCATTAAAATCAGTTTAATAATAAAATAATCAATTTTATGCTGAATAACATAACTTTTTGGTCATCAGCATGGGATATGTCAATGAAAATTAGCACAAATTAATTTAATGATGATGGTCTGAGGAAACTACAAAATGCTACAAGGTTTCATTAGTCCAGTGATTGATAACTAATTTAAATGTAATTTTATGTTTTTCAGCATGCTACACCATATACATAAGTGTACTAATACTCTTTATGATTATGCTATAATTAATTACTAATATTATGTTAGCTTAATGCATGAACTTTAACAAAACTGGAAAGGTATGTACAAGTAAATTTGTTGGGACTGGGCCCTCATCTTATAAAAAAAAAAGAACTTACTGGGCCACGGTCTCATAAAGATTGAGAACCACTGCTCTAGTGTATTACGTATCCCTTTTGATATCAGATGCTTTTTCATTTAAAGTTTTTCATAAATAAGTGTGTTTAAAAAAACAATTTCTAACCATGCCCTTCACCGTGGACAGAGAGAGAGAGTGATTTTGTTGACAAATTGATTCGTGAAAGCACTGCGATCATCATGATTATGAATAGTCAGATCGTTTGTATGGCAGTGTACAAAGCAAATGTAGATATCTTAAAATTCTCAAAGTTTTAGATTCAATTGCATGTGCATAATAATTTTGACATTTCAGTCATGTATCAACAGTGGAGTGGAGCTTCATGGCTTGCAGTCCTCATTTAGGTACTCCATTTGAGGTTTACATATTTTCCAGATGCTGTCTTTGTGACCCTCCATGCCTTACTGTGCAAAATGTATGGGCATAAATGATGGGAGGGCTGATAATTCAAGACAAGCTCTGATTCTGTCCAGCTTTTCTTAATGTTTGTCTTTGATGTTTTGGTTTCCTGCCTGTTACCATTCCATTTGTTTTTGCTTTATTAACAAGATTCTGAATAGTGTTTGTTTTGGGGATGGGGGGACTTGAACTCCAAAAATTTTTCTTCTGAAGTTCCTATGACTCTTCCTAATGGAATTACATTTCATGCAAGATTCATATAAAGATGCTCGATGGTGTGGTGTAAACTTATACATATCCTGCAGAAACGAAATCTGTTGTAACACAAGACTGTGTTACACGTGAATACCATACCACTGAATACCACTTCCTCTTATCACTATTGCTGACTTATCATGGTAAATGGAAATTGATACAGCAATCACTCATAAGTGGAAAAATTATGGTTTGGCTCATCCAACTTGAAAATAATCTCCCTAGACTTTTAGGACTGTGAGGCATTCAAACTCCAATATCAAGAGTTTATAACTTTTTTTCATTTTCATTTCATTTATTTACATGCCACAAATCCATTACAAGGTCACAGGACCCAGGATAAAGACAATAGTCCAATATAACAGAAACATTATATGATATAAACAAGTATGATTCATTATAAATGTGTAATAAAAGATGTAATGTAAATATAAAATTTACAAGTCACTCTTCAGTGCCTGATAATTTAATCTATAGTTCCATATACAATTTTATAAGTACATGATCATTCAAATTATGTTTTGTTCACATAAGGACGGACTTTTTGGTGTATCAGAAAATAAAATATACCTTTACAATTTTTCAGTTAACACCATAACAGTATGGTAATATAGCAATATAAATATACAAATCTAAAATATTCACTTGATAATATATATATCCAGATAAAATCAATTATTGAGTTATTTTATCCATATAATTAAAGAATTCATCTATATTATAAAATGAATGTAAATGAAGAAACTGTAATAGTGCCTTCTTAAATTGATTGTTATTCCTGGACAACTGTTTTATATTGCTTGGAAGACTATTATAAACTTTAATTCCAAGATACTGCAGACCCTTCTGGAATACTGTTAGATGTGATAAGGGGAGATGTAAATTTGAACTATTTCTAGTTACTACAGTGCGTACAATCAAGTGCGCGCCGCGGCTGCAATTTGCCGTGAGTCATACCACCGCAGAACGGATGCAGTCGCGGGGAGGAGTTGCCGCGGCGCGCACTTGATTGTACGCACTGTATTTCATACATATCAGAATTTTCTGTAAACAGTTCCATATTATTAACAACAAACATCACAAGGGAATATATATATTGGGAGGGCAGTGGTAATATTTTCAGTAGGCTAAAAAATTTTCTGCATGAATCTCTGTTTCCAGCTCCCACCATTATTCAAACAGCTCTCTTCTGCAATTTAAAAACACTCATACTATGAGTTCTGTTCCCCAAAAAATCAGACCGTAAGACATTACAGAGAGGAAAAAGGCATAACACGCCATTTTGAGGGCTTAAATACATAAGTACTGTTTGGATTTCCTAATTATATAACAAGCTTTATTTACGAGTAATTTACCTATGATTTAATCTATATGTTTTTTCCAAGAATTTATGTTATCCAGTGTTATACCCAAGAATTGTACTTCATTTAACTGTAATAAAAATTTATTTTCATACTCAGTGTTTCATTTGTTAGTAAAGTTTTGTTTAGCTAAGAAATGCACACAGCAAGTCTTGTCAAAATTTAAGGAAAACATGTTTAAATTAAACCATTCATTCATTAATCTAAACACTATACTGAGTTTCCTTTCCAGAAGTATAAAATTTAATTTATTTATTATTACACTTGTATCATTGGCAAATAGCACAGTAGAAGTATTCGATGGGTCAGAATGCAGTATAAAAGATGGTAAGTCATTTATGTAGATCAGAAATAACAGTGGTCTCAAAATCGATCCTTGTGGAACACCTATATTAATTTTGCCCCAATTTTGACAACTTATTGTAAATTTTACCCTTTGGTATCTATTTTCTAAATATGACTTAATTAGAGAATACATCACCCCATTAACACCATAGTATTCCATTTTAGCTAATAAAATATCATGGTTCACGCAATCAAAAGCCTTCTCCAGGTCAAAAAATATACCATCACTTTTCCTTTTATTATTCAAGGCCATCAGTATATCATTTATTAATTTGTAAGTTGCATTTATGGTTGATAATTTTTTCTAAATCCAAATTGACTATTTGAGAAAAAGTGATCCATTAATCTCATATATAACTTTTTCGAATAGCTTAGAAAAGGATGCTAATATGGAAATTGGTCTAAAATTGGATACATTGTTTTTGTCGCCTTTCTTATGCACAGGGGTAATGATTGAATATTTCAATCTAATTCCAATTCTGTAACTGAAACCTTGTTTTTAGATCAGTCTTTGTATTAGAATTGTGCTCTTGATGAAGAGCTGGAAATAACCATAGGTCTATTGTAATCCATACTTTTCCATCCAGTGTATTGCTGTGTTCTTTGTGTGTATTTTATCTGCTACCATTTTAATCTAAATGGACAGTCTGTCAATAAATAATATGTAATGTTTTTTATTTCTTATTAGCCACTTGACACAGTTCCATTGTACATAAGATTTGTGGGTTCCGTTGTGGTACTATATCAACGTTGGAAACATGCCCCTCAAATCAGGTCACGCACTCCTCCAGCAAAATGGAGTCCCCCTGCTCACTGGAGTCAACAGAATGGCCATGGTCCAAGTTTGTATGAATGCTACCTTCATGATCGTTGGGGAGATAAATTGTACAGAATGATTTGCATGGACAAGGACTTGATGAAGTTCTTTAAATCACATGTATGTTAATTGCTTTGTCACTTAGTGGTTGCAGTGTTGAACTATATACATGATATTTGTGTTAGATTTGCTTAAACTGAGGGTAGAAATTAACAAATGTCAACCACAGTCTCATATTTATTTATGATTTATTTAAGTCAGTAATTCAGACTATATAGCATCAGATAATGTGATTAGTGAATGCAGAACTTGAGGAAGTGGTTCAGATGTAATTTGAGGTATTGACTTGGCAGGTTCTTGGAAAAACCGAACAAAATCATGAAAGCATTTGTATTGTCTTTGCCCTGATTTGGGTTCAAACTGACACTTACTTACTTATGGAGCTGAGCCCTTCTTGAGGAGAAGCCAAATCTGGAGCTACTCAAGAATTTCCCAGCATTTTATGGAACCCGAAGGTTCACTACCGTTTTCACAAGAGCACTCCACCGGTCCCTATCCTGAGCCAGATCAGTTCAATCCATACCATCCCATTCTATCTCTCTAAGATCCATTTTAATATTGCCCACCCACCTACACCTTTGTCTTCTCAGTGGTCTGCTTCCTTCTGGCTTTCCCACCAATATCCTATATGCATTCCTCATCTCCCCCATTTGTGCTACATGCCCTACCCACCTCATCCTCCTTGACTTGATCACTCTAACTATACTTGGAGAAGAGTACAAGTTATGAAGCTCCTCATTATGCAGTTTTCTCCAACCTCCTGTCGCTTCATCCATCTTCAGTTCAAATGTTCTCAAACACCCTCAGTCTATGTTCCTCCCTTAATATCAGAGACCAAGTTTCACACCCATACAGAACCACAGGCAAAATTATAGTTTTGTATATTCTAATTTTTGTGTTTTTTGACAGCAGACGTGTAGACAAAAGGTTCTGGACTGAATGGTACCAAGCATTACCCCAGTTCAGTCTCCTCTTAATTTCCTCCCAAATCAGGTTTTGATTTGTTATCATTGTTCCCAAATATCTGAACTGTGCCACATTTTCAAAACATCTGTGTCCTATTCTTATGTCATGATTTTGCATATATACTTAGTTTTCTCTGTATTTACTTCTAGACCAACCTCTTTACTTGTGTCAATTGTTTCTCTTTATGATATCTACATTATTGCCCAGTAGATGTGTCCAGTTTAATTTCAGTCCCACCTGGCCTTCCTGGACCTTCCTAATGGCATATTCTAAAGCAAAATTGGAAAGTAGTGGTGATAAAGCATCTCCTTGTCTTAGACCATTCTGGATAGGAAATTTATCAGACAACTGTTTACCTATATGGACTTTACTATAAGTTTCGTTTAAGCAGCTTAACTAGTTTAATGGGTATCCCAAACTCTATCAAAATATTGTACAATACTTCCCTCCTAACTGAATCATAGGCTCTCTTGAAGTCTACGAATATCTAATGTACTCTCTCATTATACTCCCACTTTTTCTCCAATGTCTGATGAATGCAAAAGATCTGATATGTAGTTGATCTGTTATGTCGAAACCCACACTGATGATCCCCAATAATTTCATCTATATATGGACTTAACCTTGAGAGAAGAATATTGGATAAAATTTTGTATGAAGTTGATGGCAGTGAGATTCCCCAATAATTACTAGTCAGTTTTATCACCCTTCTTCTGAACTGGTACAATAATAGATTCCTTCCACTGATCAGGCAATTTTTCCTCATGTCAAATAGAAGTAATTAAAATGGATCTTAGAACATAATATTTCACCTCCTGCTTGAATAAGTTCTGCAGGAATTTGATCACTACCTGACGATTTATACGTTTTCGATTTTGCAATAGCATTTGCAACCTCAAGAGGTGTGTTCATTTTCATAACAAAGTCATAACAAGCTGGATGACCACCCCTTGTCGTCTATCTGCAACTGCTTATTCAATATATTTGCATCTTCCCTCCATACCTGGAGGGCGTCTCCTCAATCCGCAACCTAAGGACGCACAATGCTGTGGGGACAAGGGACCCACCTAACATGGTCAAACTTGACACTTGCTCCAAGCAGCAAGGCTTCTAATTTGTATCAAACTGACACTTCTGGATACAAATTAGAAGCCTTGCCGCTTGCTACATGGAACCTTATACAGTATAACTGGCCCTCTAGGTCAGAACATTAAATCTAAAATTCCCTCTGACTGAACTTACCATTTTTCTTTCCTATCATCATAGTAGTTAGCAGCATATACTGATTTTTCTAATGTAATCGGTTTGATGGTGTAGGATGGCTTAGTAAAATTTAGATGCATTTATTAATCAGTCAAGTGGTTCTTTTCCGTCTTCTTATATCTCCCATAGTGGCACCTTAAATTCCTCTGGGCATTTAAATTTGTCACTGCACTGTTCAATTTTATAATTTTTGCGCACTTTTTAAAATGCAATATCACAGTCATGTGTCGCTACAAAATTATGGAATGAAAAGCCTCTGAAAGACCATATATTAGACTTCACATACCTATATTTTCATTTCTGTAGCCATTATATTAAAGTTTATATATATATATTCTTTAGTAAAATTCTGTACTTGGACTTATTCTCAAAAAGTCCGCCAATGTCACCACTGACTTCCATTTCTGTTCAGACCGCCTGATCTCAGGGGACGGGACAGCACAGTCAGTATAGCAACTGGCTATGGGCTGGATGACTGAGAGGTTGGAGTTCAAGTCCCAATAGGGTCATGAATTTTCACTTCTCCATTTCTTCCAGACTGGTTCAGGGGCCCACCCAACCTCCTATACAGCGGGTACCGGGGGTAAAGCGGCCGGGGTCTGAAGCTGACCACTTATCTCCAACTAGTGCCAAGGTCAAGAAAATGTGGATCTACACATCCACTCCCCCATACGCCTTTATGGCGTAGTGCTTAGTTATGCACAGGGTCAACTTTACATTTATTTACCTACTTGATCTCACATGTATGCCTGAGTCATGCACATTTTTGACTGGCACCTGGTATTTAAATATGAAACACCACAATAGTCAGCTTATAAATCTGTCTAGCAACACTGTGTATGCCTCATTGATAAACAGTTTCTTATTGCCGTCTGGCCTAAAAATTTGTACTGCCTTTGCATGCTCAAGAGTAGTATGGATGAATGAACTGAACTGTTCTTCCAAACATCACTGCAAAATCGTTATCTTTTACAAAGTATGAAATCATCATTGAAACTTTTATATAACTGGAAGCATTGCCACAATTCAACTGGCAGATACTGCGAATACTTCATAATTATGTAGTTTTCAATATCTGCCCAGTGATGGGTCCTACATTTTAGTTTTAGATTAGGTGTGTTTTCTAAATATTTTTGGGCATACTGATTTGTTTCTCTGGCTGTTACTTCCACAATGTCTGGCATACAGAACAACTCAGAATATTCCAGGGGGTTACTGGGGTCTCCTAAATCAACTTTTGTGCCAGGCTTGCCAGCAAATGGAAAATGTGGTCACTCAGCGCCTGAACTTGCCCATGCCTCAGGTTGCATGCTACTCTTGTCACTGACATTTTCTTCTTTATCAGAGCTGACACTTTGTTCACCACCTAACGAAATGTTCATATTTATTTCACTATCACTACCATATTCACTCTCTGAAGTACCACTGTATTCATTCTCTTGTAACAGTTCATAAAACACCTCTTTTATCACTTACACACATCTTGCTTGGACCTGCCATAATGTTTAGTGAAAAGAACTTGAACCCAAGACAGCTATCAAGCAATCAAAAACTTATTGTCACACCTTGAAGTAACTAAAACATCTTGCAAGCACAACATATAAGTTTCTGTTGCTGACTGGCATTATATCTACAGTGGAGTAGTTAGAAACGTGATGTCTGTAGATGTCATAACCACTAGACTGATTAAGGTATGTGTATACAGTTTCACTGCATGTGTGATCATCTCATATTGTTTTATTGACAAGTCCTTGGGTTATCAACAGCAGTCCATATCTGGACTAGTTCTATCGATTGGGCCCAACTAAGTCAGTTTTTACCTGAAGACGGAAACAGAATCCAGTCTTCAGAATGTTGTGATTTAAATCTGGACAATGGATAATGTCCAGAAACACAATCATTGTATTAATATACCATCATCATAGACTTTTAGATAGCATTTCTCATTTAGGAATCTGCTTCACATTGCAGGCTAATGTTTCTAAACTTTGACCCCTGATAGTTCTCTTTCAGTAATTCAATAATGAATATACCTACTGTCAGTATATGAGATTTGATTTTCTAATGACAGTGAAGTTTTTGATTGTGTTCTGGGTCATGACATTGTGTAGTGTGGTAGTTGGATTAATTGGTTAACTGTTTAACATTTTGGAGGAAGCTGCTGCCTCCACTTTCAAGGTAGATGGAGGCAGAAAATTCCTCAGAAATGTTGGCAGTACCTGCCACACTACACAGTTCATAAATGAGATGACTCTGTGTCTATTTTCATACAATATTTTCAGTTTTCTGCTCACACCTGTATTTATTGGATAATCAAGAGAACTTTGGAGCTAAATTATGTCCTTTGATTTCAGAGAGATAGTTTAAAGTGTGAACACATGAAGTTTGTGAAACTTGTTGCATGTATAAGATCCAGTACCTTTATACGCATCATTATATGTTTATTATTTATTTGCAGGAAGGTGATTCCACTAGTGCTTCAAGTAAAAATCAAAACAAAATGGACAGTACCTACACCACAAGACCAAGGAGAAATCGAAAAAGAGGTCATAGAAAGAGAAAGGGTGGTGCAAAACGGCCTAGTGGCATTCAGAATGAGACTGTGGTAGATAATGACAGAGAAGAGACTGATTCACCTGGTGCCAAAGACAGATTTAATGTAGAACATAGTGCCAGAGATGGAAGTAATGCTCAAACTCAAAATAAAAGTAGCAGTATCAGGCAGGAACAAGAACCTGGTCCTTCAGCAGCCACTAGTAATAAGACTGAACAAACTGACACGTTTAAGTACGGCAGGCTTTTCAATTTTGGCAGGAGGAAAACACATGAAGAATCAGATGGCAGTAATGTGAAACAGAATGCTCAAGAAAGAGATGCATCATTCTGTGAAGCTGAACGGAGTGGTACTGTGAATGTGACACAAAAAGATTCCACATTCAGGTACGATAAACTGTTTAATTTCAATAAAAAGAGACATGTAGATGGAAAAGAGACTGATTCACCTTGTGCCAAAGACAGCAGATCTAATGTAGAACATATTGCCAAAGATAAAGGTAATGTTAAAACTCAAAATAAAAGTGGCAGTATCAGTCAGAAACAGGAACAAAAGAAGGAACCTGGTCCTTCAGTAGCCACTAGTAATAAGAATGAACAAACTGACACATTTAGGTATGACAGACTTTTCAAGTTTGGCAAGAGGAAAACATATGATGAATCAGATGGCAGTAATGTGAAACAGAAAGCACAAGAGAGAGTTGCATCATTCTGTGAAGCTGAACAGAGTGGTACTGTGAATATGACACAGAAAGATCCCACATTCCGGTATGATAAACTGTTCAGTTTCGATAAAAAGAGAGAAGCAGATGGAAATTCAGGGGGTGAAAGTGCTGCAAAAAATAAACAAAAAGAAAAGGAACATATTTCTGCACAAAAAGGATTACCAATTGACATAGATGTGACAGGTAAAACTGCTAAGAGTTGCTTTTTCAGGTATGACAGACTTTTCACTTTCAGTAACAAGGAACGTACTGATCAGCCTGATAGCAAAGTGGATGCAAATGCTGCTGGAGAACATATTGAAATAAAAACTCATCAAAAGAAAGGAAATGTTCCTTCCACTACAGATAAAGAACCAGCCTCTTACCACAGTGATACTGCAGACTCATTTAGGTATGATAGGCTTTTAATTGTGTATAAAAAATGGTGGTTGAGATGGGACCAACAAATTTAATGCAAGTACTAAAGTAGGTAATTCAGAAAAGAGGGTTCTGTGCATTAACCCAAGGGCACAACAAGCAAACCTGAAGAAAATGACTTTTTCAGATTACATTAGGTTACATTCCCTGGATCCAAACCTAGATAAAATTACTGTAGGATGTGGAATATGTCATGTAAATACAAAAACATATGTACAGTAAAACTTTTTCACACAAGAAAAGACAGTGGTTACATATGAAACTGTTCAAAAATACAGCCAGATATATACTTCAATGCTGTCAGATTTACTATTTAAACAACCTTTAAATGGATGAGTCACTTTGTAGAAAATAAGTATTCATCAGTGGAGTAGAATGAATGTGTGTTTAAGTATTGTTTTAGTGCTATTTTGAATTTTGCTTTTTCATTCATAACAATTTTGAGATCAGATGACAGATTATTGAAACTTTTGATCACAGCGTAATATGTGCTTTTCTGAAAGCATGAGAGGTTAGCAATTGGTTTATGGAAGATAGTGCTTGTGTTGACACTGTGTTTATCTGCATTGGTCTGAAAGTGTTTCTCGTTATTTGTGATGAAATATATATTCTCATGGAAGCGTTAAGATTTCTAGTCTCTTAAATATATCTCTAGAAGAATTAAAGGACTTGACAACCGTCATGAGCAACAGTTTTCCTTTGGAATGTAAATACATTTTTGCAATTAGATGAGTAACCTCCGTGAATTCATGCTTCGTTAAAGAGTAAAAGAATGGAAAATGAATTGATTTGAGAGAGTCAGTGTTTCTGATATGCAACATAACTAACTGCATAACATGCTTCACTTAACTTTGGATCTGACGAATCAATATGGTTCTTCCAGTTTAACCATTAAACACCCGACTTTTGAAATGGCGGTAGCCTGTGCTGGCTGGAGTTTATTTAAATGCTCATTGTTGCTCTGCGTCTAAATGCCGGTTCCTGTTAGGGCGCTTGCACTGTATTTAAAAATGCTGTATCTAGTATAATATTTATGAAAAAAGAATGGAATTAATTTGTCTAACACCAAAAACACTGTGTCGCATATTACGGCTTTGAAACTATGTAGACAAAAAGTTATAAACTATTTTTATAATTTCTTCTTAATTTGATGAATACTATAAAAATATTTCCCACTTCACATAGTTCTGCATTATAAAATTATTCCTGCTTGTAACACTTGAAATGGTTTTGCATTCTCTGGTCTCATAAAACAGTTGGAAGCAATAAAGTTATTTGGTTCTCTGCTGGCAAGTTTTACATCTTTGTTACATTCTTGAGATATTCGAGTATTTTGACTGTAAAGGACAGAAAAGTGAAAACATGGCCTTTCAAGAAAGGCTAGAGGGAACCATACTCATCAGTGTGCCAGTTGGTGCACTTTGGACGTTAAAGGTTAAATTATTATCACTTTGTAAGCCAAGTAATTTTGTGTTTGATGGCTCTTCTGTATATTTATCATTATATCAAGCGTTTAATGGATATTATGGTGAGTTTGTTATAAATATGTTAGACTTTCAAATTTCAGCTGAAGGAAGTGGAATATTCCAGAAAATACAGATAAAGTTTATATTTCCAGGAGCAGTACTGATGACCCATATGGATGTGATTCAAAGACTGAAAGTGAAGATCCAAAGGAGGATTATATTGGCTCTGATAGATTTTACAGAGGTATGTTATTTATTCTAATTTGCTTCAGAAGTTACAGTAGCATTTGTTTGATTCAGTGCCTGAAATGGGGAAGGATGCTCACCTCTTTCAAGTTTGGTTCAAAACCATCTGCTGTTTGGAAGAATAGTGCTATAATTGCTGCCAAGGTCTGTGTTGTAAGTAACACACTTTGAAATCTGTAGCCTAGTTTGGGATTTATTATATGAATCTTGATGGTTTGACTTTGCATTCCTGCTCTGTGATACGCATTTCCACACTGAGAAGGAGAAGGAAGCATGAAGTGCATTAAGATTTATTAGTGGTTTATGTTTAATTATCTTTCTTACACTGTACTGTGTTTTTAATTTTCTAAAACATTAAATGTGATTTGTTATGGTAATAATAAATTAATGTTTTATTTTAGTAATAAATTAATGTTTTACTTTTCATACTGATTGTTTAGAACTTAACAATTCTTCATGCCAAAGGTGATCATGCTTCTGATGATGCTTGTTGCCGCAGGTGCAGAAGTGTGCATAGATTTGGATGAATTAAATGCAAGGATATAGTTAATAAACAACAGTGCTGAGTTGCAACTGGAGAATTTTTTAAGTCGATTAATTACTTTGTAATATTTCTGATGAAAGATGATTTTCATTGTGTTGCATCTTCCTTTGCAGGGCCAAGTTACCATGCACATTACAAGAACAGAGTGCCACAGCCAGTATGGAAATGTGAGTATGAAAGTGTGAAATGTATAGTATAAAATTAACATACAGTGACAGGTTAGATCTGTTCTCACGTCTATCAGTATGTTTCATCTCCAGAATAACTTGGTGGATTTCAATGGAATTTAATGTTTGGTGAAATTACTCAAAGTAATCAGGTAAATATTGATTTTACCATAATTGTTTCTTTACATGAGTCCAGTTAAGACTTCTTTATTTGTCAGAAGTGGCTCATCACACAGAAGATAAGTAAAAGGTAAATATGTCCCTGTGCTTAACTAATTAAGCACTACGCTATGAAGGCATATGGGAGAGTGGATGTATAGATTCACATTTTCTTTACTTTGGCACTAGCTGGTGGTGAGTGGTCAGCTTCATGCCCCTGCACCTTTACTCCCAGGGAAAGAAACCCTGGTACCCATTGGATAGGAGGCTGGGTGGGCCCCATAGCCAGTCTGGACAATATGGAGAAGAGGAAATTATTGACCCTACTGGGACTCGAACACAGACACCTCAGTCATCTAGCCCGTACCCAGTCACTATACCAACTACAGTATATAACAAAATATAAACTTTTTTAACCCTTAAACACCGGACTTTTAACATGGTGTTAACTTGAGCTGGCTGGAGTTTATTTAAATGCCCATTGCTACTCTATTTTTAAATGTCAGTTCCTGTTGGGACACTTACATTGTATTTAAAAATGCTGTATCTAATACAATTTTTATGATTAATGAATGGAATTAACTTTGTTTTTATCAGCAAAGAACTGTAAAAATTGTTCCCTGCTTCTTCATAAAGTACAGGGTGATTCATATAGAACCGGCCCGACGAAATGAGCTGTAATATAAAATATACCATACAGATATTAAAGTAATTTACACATATCTTATCTTGGATTGTGTGCCGTGATCAGAGCAGGTGTTGAAGTGTCCGCCGTTTTCAAGTAGGCATGCCTCCACCTGCGTCTGCATATTCGCCATGACTCGCTGCAGTGTTTCTTCACTGATTTTCCTGCAGACACGTTTCAGGATTATCCTTGACCTTGCAGCATAAGGGCTGCCACTTGCCGGATCATGCGCACACCATTTGACTCAGCATGGCCCACGGATTATTATGTCGTAATTGTGAGCGATTATATGCATCACCTGCGGAATTATTAGCAAATTCATCAGGCCAGTTCTCTACGATTCACCCTGTAGTTCTGCATTAGAAAATCACTCCTGCTTCTAGCACTTGAAATATTTTCACACTCTCTTGTGCCATAAACCAGCTGGAAGCAATAAAATTATTTGAGTCCTGATTAAAGGACAGAAAAGTGAAAGCATTGCAGTTTAAGGAAGTTTACAGGGTCTTTGTTCCCTTCTTAAGTGTCAAGCCCTTCCATTGCATTTGAGATAGAATACTGCCCTTTCTAAAGTCGTAAACAAGCACATGCATCAAAGCTGAGATACAGAGTGCATTCAGTTTTCTGTGAGTTCACAGTGAATTAGATTATTGTAGTTTCATATCATAAAATGGCAATGATACATTTGTTTGGAAGATTATGAAATTGAAAGGCAACTGATGTGCAAGATATGTGATGTGGGACTATGCATTTTCGGGTGCTTCGAGAAGTAGCATACAAAGGTGAGTTTCAGTTACATGACGTAGGGGGTGAACCCCGTATATACATCAAGCAGATAACTACAAAAATGTATGTACATTTGACTTTACTCTATTTAAAACTAAATATATAGGATTGGGCATTTGCTTCAGCTAGTGAAGTGTGCATGTGTTTCAGCTAGCAGAGTTTAAATGCCTGACTGCACAAATCAGTGTACTTTGGCCATGATGACCATACTCATCACTGTACCGATTGGTGCACTTCGGACACATTAAAGGTTAAGAATAACAGCTTTTACTTTAAACATTCTTAATATGGTTGGTCAGGTAGTAAGGAATTTTTTTTACTCTGAATGTGATACCTATGCTGTGACTAATTTTGCAATAACATACTAGGTAAAAGTTATCCCTGTAACAGGCCAAGAAGGCCCGAGGTTGAGGTTCCCTCATCTTCTAGACAGTCGGCTCACATATGGTGGTAAGGTTGTCAGCCTTGCGTGCTGGCCACCCTTTACCCCCCAGGAAGATTCCTGGTACTCATTTCTCATAGGGGCTGAGTCAACCCCAGGGCCATAGTGCGGCTGGAAGGATTAAGTAAATGCAACAACATATTTGTATGTGTAATAAATGAAGATCAGGTCCATCAAAAAATGTGAAATTTCAAAGAATGCCTTTGGAAAATATGTATACTGCTTTTTACAGTGTAATAGAGACAGATTTTTTAGTCATATTCTAAACTTTGTATTGAACACTACCAATCTTGCATAGGAAAGCTCACAGCTTAGAAAAGATGGCCAACACAACTTTTATATTATTGATTATGAAGCAGGGTTACTAATACATTCCATGCATTGCATGTACTTCTCACTGATTTGCTACTTTACGTATGTTAGAACGAAACAAAAAAAGAAACGAAATCATGGTTAGTAATGCCTTCACCCAGCAGATCTTCCTTCCACAAGGTGGTCTTCATAAATCAAATTAAGAAGAAAAGTACCATTGAAAATGGCAATAAGTATTACAGCAATGTGCCTCAGGACACAGTGGTGTGTTGGACATATTTAACCGCTCTTCCCTTTTGCATAGTAGCTACACGTTGGACGATCACAGTATAACTGCTCTTCCCTTTTGCGTAGCAGCCACACGTTGGATGACCACAGTATAATCGCTCTTCCCTTTTGCGTAGTAGCCACCCATTGGATGACTGTAGTATAACCACTCTTCCCTTTTGCATAGTAGCTACACGTTGGACGATCACAGTATAACTGCTCTTCCCTTTGCGTAGCAGCCACACGTTGGATGACCACAGTATAACCACTCTTCCCTTTTGCGTAGTAGCCACCCATTGGATGACTGTAGTATAACCACTCTTCCCTTTTGCATAGTAGCTACACGTTGGACGATCACAGTATAACTGCTCTTCCCTTTGCGTAGCAGCCACACGTTGGATGACCACAGTATAATCGCTCTTCCCTTTTGTGTAGCAGCCACACGTTGGATGACCACAGTATAACCACTCTTCCCTTTTGCGTAGTAGCCACACGGATGACCACAGTATAACCACTCTTCCCTTTTGCGTAGTAGCCACACGTTGGATGACCACTTTATAGCAGTCCTCTTCACACCTTCAATGGCGTGGCCTAGGTTGTAGTAGCTGAATGCCACGTGGTCTTAGAACCACGCTGAAGTGCCAAGAATCGCTTGAGTCAGGAAAAGGGAATGTATGAGATTCTTTTCAAAGCTTAATGGGCCTTGCTCCAATGAGAGAAGGTTTACAGAAGAAGTCCCTGGATCACACTTTGATGATGAAACTGTGAACTTGATTTATTTTTCACCACACTACAAGATTTTACAAATTAGTCACTTTATGTCTCAGATACAACTGTACTTGTACACAACACCCATTGGTTACAATGAATATACTGAATACTGTACAGGTATTCTGAATGTTACTACTATTACTGTTCCTATTGTATATCTATATCAGTGCCATTTGAAATAAGTCCTTTAAATACGCTTGGATGATGTAATATTCCAGAACCTTCCAAATCGGTATTTTTCTTGAAGCTTCCACACTGTTCTACAGATTGAGTACGTTCTGGAAGTTTCTTTAATTGGGCTGGTGGGAGGAGGTAAGTGATTCATATACCGCGCTGGCTAACAAAGATCTTTCTGGTAGTTCTTATCTAAACGTTCGTTGCCAAAAATTCTCAGAATAGTTAATGCAAAACTGAGTACAAGTCACATTTAGTACAAAAATGGTATTAAGTCCTAAGTATTAAAATTTAAGAATTGGGCTGGTAAGTAATGATTGGTTACACATAATCCTGCATTTTCTCACTGGTAAGGGAGCAGAGTGGATCTAAAATAATTAGTTTTTTCACTAAGAAAGTGCATACTCGATTTTGTTTTGAGGGTACTAATAATTCTTTCGTCAAGACCAAAGTTTATTATTTTTGTAATGTTTATTTAATGTTGTTTCACCAGATGCATGGATTATGTAGTATCTAATGATGAGATGATTGGAAGAGATGTAGAAGATTTAGGGTTAAACTGTGGCCTGTTTGTAGGGTACTGTTTTAGAATTTTCAGGACTAAGAAAAACCATGAAAAACTGTGTCAGAAGCAAAAGCATTAAAAATGTGTCCCCCTGAAACATACAGTTAATTGTTTGAAACATTTTTTCTTCCAATTCATGCAAAATATCAAGTGCACGGTCTCAAAGCAATTTGTAAGGATTCTGGAAATGTGTGAAAGAGGCTTTAAGTTATATGAAAATAATACAATTCATGTATACTTAAGATGAAAAGTGGTATTCAGAATTCCTGTAGTTGTGTTTAACTCATCTTTTTGTTTCAGTTTTAATGCAGAAATGCAGGAACTGCAATATCCTGGAGAAGTACCCTGGAATGTATCAGGCATGCATGCGGTGTATATCAGAGGAAGTGCAGGAACCAAACATATATTGTGGAGAACACTGTGGGCGTAAGTATGAATTTGACTCTTGGGCTCTTACAGTAGTTTTGATCATTTTCTTTAATACAAGTCATTTTGATGAACATAATGCCTATATCAATTGATATAAGGTTATTTCCTGTTGTAAAGGGAATCTATGTGTTACTGAGTGAGAGACTGACATACAAATACCATTGCAGCTGCTGAGTTCATTGCTAGAAGTCACTTGACTCTTGTCTGACACAGTAAATCTGTCGTAGGTACTGTCTTGTCTTAATGTCTAGCATTTCAAATGTGAAAAAAAGAAAGCATTCATCAAAACTCAACAAAAAGTTTGGTTTTCACATTTTATATTCTGTATCACAAAAAATTACTTTTGATCGTCACGTATTCAGCCATGTTACAGCCTATATTGTTTGTTAACAATAAATCTTGGATTATTTGTGATTGTGAAAGAGACCCAAAACAGTGGATAACGGAAAAAATCATGTTATCTCACACCGACTGTCATTTTTATCAATATCTGGAATTTATATATTTTTATCTGAGAATGAGACAATTTTTATCATGTCATTTTAAAATTTCTGACATATCCTAGTATCTCTATAGATGTGGTTAGTTTTGCACACAAGACACAACCTTATTATGGAAATTAAGTTATCATGCATAAGGCTGGCTTGAAAGAACCATCAGATGGTTTCACATAATGGTAACACTGCACTTTCATTCAAGAGGTGTTCACTTAGCCTTTTGCCCAAGGTACTGCCTAACAAGAGTTTTGTTGTTTCATCAGCCCATTCAGGCAAATACCTGGATAGTATCTCAAGCCATGTCACTTCCTTCCAAATCCTTTCCAGTTCATCCAACTATTTGACACTATAAAAACAGCAACTGAGTCTTGGAATAACTATCCATGGCTCCCTCCTCTACTCCATGGAAATGTATGTAGGTATACACAGCTTCAGGAGACTTGTGGTTGGTTAAATTCCAGCTGCCATCAGCAGTAACATATCACAATGACATAACCAGACGAGTAGTTACAGGACTGTATCTGTGCCATGTTTGACCATAACAGAGCGCTAAATTGGTGGTGTGGTATTTTTAATGTACAAGTATCAGTCGACACAAAGTTCTGTAAAAAATGAACCAATACTACTGTGTTTGTATTCGTTTGTGTGGAAATACTGGGTCATCATTAGGCAGTTATTACATGAATATGGCACTCATTATTGGGTTGTTTACTGATATGGATCCGGATCAGTGATTTATAAATTTTTTGTTAGGTTTTTATATAATTTCAGTTGTTAAATTTAAATTCTAAAAATGTACATTTCATTAAAAATAAAATACCAATACATAAGACTTAATATTTGCAGTTCTTCTGATTATTTTTGGGCCAAAATGGTGTATGTCCTTATAGTATGGGGCTTTCTTAGGAGTTGGCCTTGTTCTTTTTGATTTCTTAGTATATCTAGAAGCATATTATCAGCATGTTATTCCATTTAAAATTCAACTTCATATTACAATTACAATTTAAAACATGGAATTTTAAATTTAAATTCTTCTGTCTACTTTTATCATTCTATAAAATGATGTATGTTGTATAGTAGGAGGGCTTCCTGAGATTCGGAGTAGTTGTTTCTAATTTCTTAGTGTATCTACAATATTGTGTGATGATCTGTGTGGTGATTTATTCTATTACTTCTTCAGAATGGTTTGAGCAACTTTGATGGAACCATTTTATGTGTTATGTTGTATCTTATATGGGAGTGCCCCATCTTCCTGTTGTCATTCCCTCGGTATGGTTCTGTCTGCACTAGTGTGTAATAAATTCATCGTCACTGCAATACTGTTTATAACATGTTACAGTTATTCCTTATGTACAGCTAGTTCATTATTGATACCACTTTGTAATACATAACAGTTCATATAGTGTGTATAACACTTTGCAACTCTCTATTCTTTCAGGTACTCACTGGTGGAAGCAACATCACACTGATCACAAATAAACATTTAGTAATACACATGCAACATTTATAAAATGATTCTAAGTGCAGTTATCTTTCTCTTTAGATCTAATCACATATAACATCTGAAATTCATAAAAGATGTTTGAACTGTGTTTTTATTGATACAGTGTTTGAAATAAGTTTTATAAAATATGATATTTTTGTATTACTGTGTGCTAATCCATGCAGTATTGTTTTAAATATGTACACAAAATATGGGGTCTTAATGGAAAATTCAACATTTATTGTAATTTGTTATCTGATGAGAGTTTGTAATATTCTAACAAGTCACATACCCTGTGCTCAGTTACATAAACAGAGTTCATTAATTTGTTTTTAAAACACTATATTATCATTTGCATTTAAAGTATATACAAATTTATATGTATTCTATAATAATGTGATGGGCAGTACAGTGTTTCAGAATTGTTAAATGTGTTCATTCTCACAACTTTAGTTAATGATTTTGTAATATGTACTGTTTATAATCACAGCTGATTTAAAACCTCGAGTTGATGTTGATCCTGCTCGTGGGTATTTGAATCATGCCAACATTTCACAGGAACACACTGCCTCCATCTCGAGGATGAAAGTGAGTAGGATGAATGAGTATGCCACATATCTGTACTGGTTCGGACTGGGCAGTAGCTACCACACCCCACCCCTCACTTGCCCTACCTATTTTCACCCTGAAGATGGAGGCAGCATATTCCTCTGAAACGGTGTAAGTACCACAGAAGCCTAAAATTAATATCTCAAGTTTATAAGAGATTCTGCAAAACTTTGGAACTAAGTAGCATGTTGGATTTTGTATGTTTTTTAAATATAGCCTACTTAGTAATAAAGTATTTATTTTTTATTCTTAGGGTTGGGTTACACTGAGACCCTTGGTACTTAAGCTATAAATGGCCTATTGTGCTGGCCCCAGATGATGTGTAAGAGAATTGACAGGGGAAACTGAAGCACTCAGAAAAAACCTGCTGCAGTCCTTTTTGTCCACCACAAATCCCACATGAAATGACATGGGATTTAACCAAGGCTGCTGCAGTAAGAATCCAGCAACTGACTGCCTGAGCTGTGGCATGTCCCTAATAATGTCATACAGCATGACCGCTCAGTCATGCTTAGGGTGAAATCAAAAACATATTAGATTTATAGTAGGACACATCACAAATACAATAACTTTGGATTATATTCAGTACCAGATAATTTTGGAAAGTACTGCTGCAACTACTGGTTAGCAAGTACTGTAATTTAAACAAGTTAAATTTATGTAGGTCATTAAACATGTAAAGAGAAATAAAGTAATGAAATGAGCAATTTGATGTTGCCAGGATTACAGTTGAAATCCACCAATATAAATACAGACTCAATTAAAATCCTCACTGTAGTCTAAGATTGCACATCTACGCTTTAGAGGATGCACTCAGTACAAGCAATATATTTCTGTTTGGTGGAAAAATTATTTGTATGTCTTTAATCTTTTATTTTAAAAATCCTATACTATGCATTTCCCATATTTAGTAAATTTATATGTAATTCAAGTTAAGTGTTAAACTTCAGGAATATTGTTAAAGAGTCCAAAAGGAACAACAGGGTTTGTTAGCAATGTGTAATTAGTATTGTTTTGTAGGAGAAATTATATATTAATTTTATAAAAATGTACATAAGAAACTTCGAAAATTATTTGCCTGTGTAATATAGCATCATTGTGAAATATGATGGTTACTAAAGGAACACTATACCATTTTACAGAAACTTTGATATTTAGTTTCAGTTTTGTACCAGTTGTCTCTTACCATGATAAATGCATATCCTGTTCAGCTTGTTTTATATAAAATATGATTCTAGTAGAACTATGTAAAACTGTTAGCAGATGAATATCACTGATTTGAAAAATTAAGTTCATTATTTAGCATGTCTCAACACTCTGGAAGCTTATTAATATATTGTGATTTTCTAATGCAGTCACTGCTTGCAGTCAAGAGAAATTATGCAGAGCATGACCACATTTATTCACATTGTGTATTTGTTGCACTTTATATGTCCACTTAGGCTGGGGCCACACGAGCGCACAAAATGCGTCCGTTGTAGAAATAAACAGAGGTGAATGCTACGCTTGCTTCTGGCTCCACTGCAGACAAAAAACTATGCACCGCATTCTGCAACTGTGTGGTGTCCTCAGCAACGTCCGTCATAAAGTACGTTTGTTGCAACGGATGTACTTCGTGCGCTTGTGTGGCCCCAGCCTTACACTTTGAGTGCAGCAGTTATGTGGGAACTACAGTAAGTCCAACCCAACAGTTGGAAGAAACTTCTGAGTACTCCTGTTTGTGATAGCTAATGGTTTCTTGTCTGTGCCATATGATCAGTTTATAAAACTAAAGTACTTTATTAGTATAGTCATTAGGCATCCTGTGGAAGAGTGAAGATGTTTTGACACATCATCCTTACTAGTCATTCATGCCCTCCTTTGAATCTGATGTTTGGCTGTATTACCTTAATTTTAAGCTGAAATATTTTGTGAAAAATGGTGAACACAGTGTTATTTTCTCATCCCTATATTAGTATATGTATGACTACCGTTTTTCTGCCTTGAAGTGCCCACCTGTTTCAGTTCTTCCGTCTGTCGTCTTTAAGCATACATTTACGTAGGTTACTATAATCTGAAGTGTCCTAATTTTGCTGAGGATTAGTCCATGAACTCTTGCATAGGATGTTCATTTCTCTGACAGTGTCCTGAAATGAGAACATGAATACACAGTGAGTTTCTCTTTGTGAACTGCATCTATGTTATGTCTTCTTGCTGTCTTATGTTTTATATTAGGATTATACACGTAAGTTGGTTACCCAGTGGAAATTATTTGGCCAGTAAAATATTTTGTACAGAAAAATATTAATTATTATAATGTAAAAACTAACATGTCACACCAAGTCTGAAACTACTTAATCTGTTGGAACCCATCAATATAAATAAGTATGAATTATCTTGTTTGAATCATTACGAAACACACTGTCAAGCGTCATTTAGATTTTTGAAGTCTCAGTTCCTAACTATTAAAAGATGTGCCTGTCAGTTTTGCATGTGTTGCATAATGACTAGATTGTGTGCATGCATGTGCACATGACTTTCAATTTCTGAAGTGGAGCTGCCAGTTCTCCTACAGCTGAGATTATTTCACATTCACAGTTGTCAGTTTTCCAGTAGTCGAGTTGTATTGAGCCAAAGAACACGGTTATGCACAGTTACAAATCCATACTGTTGTTTTAGAGTTAAAGCCTTCAATCCTCTAAATTTTCAGTGATTAAAATTTTGTAATGTTTTTATATTGATATTATAATTATTTTTTGTCTTAAATGAAAGCACAGTAAGGTGACAGTTTAACCTCTTTCAGCAAGAGACTGTTGGCTCAGGGTAATGACAGAAGCACAATTCATAAAGTTACAAAAGTAGAATTGTGGTAGATAGCAGAAACCTGAAGCCAGTAAGAGACACTTTTAACTAAATGGTACATATAGAATAAGCTAAATTAAGGTTGAATTTCTTGAGAAACTAATGACCTATAAATAATTTATGCAGTCATTAATATGTTCAACTGATTAAATGATTAATTCTAACATCATCATTTACACATTCATTTAAATGTAAAATAAAACTTATGAGTCAATAAATGCAGACAAATCCTTCATCAGTGTGATGGCTGCGAAGTAACAGAATTTGTAATTATATCTTCACATTTCTCAACTGCAAAAATCAGGTATTCTTCCAATTGTAAGAATGATAAGTTGCCCTTTCTTGTTTTTCCACATGCAGTTGTCGTCCTCATACAATATGTTTATTCAAATTGAAGTAATCTTAATTGATTTGAGAGATTTTATTTAGGGTTTAGTTTTTGTTGTCCCTTTCATATTTAGTGTTTGATATTTTTTAATTAACGTTTACCTGTTAGATTATTGTTTCACTGTATATTCTTTTTGTTGCTTTATTGTTTTGTCACTTATATTAAATCCATGTAGGATATGCTATTATGTATGGCCAAATATTACAGTGATTAGACTTGTGCTTAATATTGAGGAGATCCTTTGTTCAAACCTTGGTGTACAGACAATCTATCCTGAGTTCTCTCTTTCTGTGCATGTCCCCCCCCTCACTTCCCCTAGGAAACAGCACCATGGTCAGTTTCTTCTACAGCCTTATCATTTATTTTTGGTGCCTTTCAGTGCTGGGTAACATGTGCAGTTGGTAGTGCCATAACATACAGTATACCAAGAAACAGCATTCTATGATCAGCTGTAACTGTCTTTCAGTAATACTGCAAGGATTTTTAGCATTGTTTACCATTTCCATAATTTATGAATCAAGTCATCATGAAATATTATAAGAAGCCACCCCTCCACCATATAATTTAATGAGATTACTTACTTACCACGCAGCCAGTGGACCACATTGCATGAGGTTACAGTCGTACAATGCATGACCAATAAAAGTTAACGTCCATATTTAATCTGTAATCATAAAATAAAAAAAAAAAAATATATTTAAATATATGGAGGTGTTTTATGCACTTGAGAAATGTATCTTTCAGAAGAGGAGCTGGTGTATTTTACTGTATTTTAAGAGTTCCTATAGCTTTATTGTCATGAGGTATGTATTGGTGCAGTTGGTTTAGTTTTGAGAATATGATAGATTTACCACCTAACATTTTACCCATCAGTAGAATTGTTTCTAAATTCATGTGAGAAACTGTTTAAGGCAACATTCTCTTGACTTCTTGTTTACGCATGTGCATATGGAATTGGCTGCTTGTGCTTTGCATACTGAATTTACACTCAGCTGGTGCAGGCTTGCTTTGTACTGTACAGTTTTCCCATGCTCCTACAGTTAGTTACCAGCAACACATTTTTAGCTGGCTGCATACAGGAAACACTTCGTTCAAACCAGTAAAATGGCCCACAAGGTGCACATCTGCCAGTGCATTGCATGTTCTGAACTTCAGGCTTAGTGTAAATACTGTATGGGCAATAATGACCTCTATCAAAATTAAATGAATGTTCTTATATCATACTTATTTTTATATTTAAGGAACTTATTGGCATCTAAAAATATATAAATTTCATGATACTTGTGCATAAAAGAGTAAAATGAACCAGTTACTTTGATCTTTAGAATTTGAAGTCTATTTGAAGTTATCTTGAACATTAGAACATACATGTGCCTTGCTATTGTAATGATGTGGTTTTATTACTTCTGTAACAGCACCTTTCATTGTAAACATTAAAACCATTCCTTGCTATTTACTATGCAGCATACTGTGATATTGTAATATGTATAACAGTATTCCATATATGTTCAAAATAAAATTATTTTCATATATTATTAATGTGTAAAGCTTTCGTTTGTTGCTGTAAAAGTAGGGAGGTTTCCCTCTGCTTAATTAAGCATCAGGCCATGAAGATCCGTCGGGGAGTGGAAGGATACGTCCATCCTTAACCTCAGCACTAGATGGGGGTGAGTCATCATTTCACACCCTCGCCACTTTACCCCTTGGGAAAAGGGCCCGAGGTCCCATGGTTTAGGATGGTGGGTGAGAACCAGAGCCAGTCTGCATGGTATGGATAAAAAAATTCTTGTCCCTGCCAGGAATCATCTTCCAGTTCCCCAATTATTAATCCTGCAGCCTAGCTGCTGTACCTGCCTTACCTTTATGTTTCTAGAGTAAATGATGAACTAAACAGTTTGTAAGATGGTTTAAGTAACAAAGTAACTAATGACATGTGTTATGTAGAAGTAAGAAATGTCACAAAAAGTTATAAATCAGTAATTCACAGAAAAATGCATTTCTGCACTTGTTCTGACAATTGTCTGATTTGTCTGCCCTAATAATGGTGAAAAGCACAAACTATGCTGTCTTTTAGGGTTCAAAATATCAGTTCCATTGTTAAACAGCCTCAGTAAATGTCCTATTCTTTGGATGAGAGACTAAGTTTCATATCTAAATAACACACAATTATATTTAAATTTTTTATATTGTAAGATTTTGTGCTGAACAATAGCAGGCATTCTCAAAAACCTGATGTATCCTAAACTTCATGAATGTAATTTTCATTTCTTAATCTTTTTCTAAAACAGTCCATGTTAGGTGGGTCCCTTGTCACCATGTGTCCTCATGTTGCGGATGGAGATGGCCTCCAGTTTTGGAGGGAAGCTATGAATATATTGAATAAGCAGTCGCGGACAGCCGACAACGGGTCATCCTGCAGCCTGGAGGTTGGGCGTGGGGCTAACAACTCCTCACCATAAAAATTACTTTGTTACGAAAATGAACACAAAGCCTCGGACCTGGATGGATTCCCTGGATTACTGACCTAAGCTAAAGAAAATGGGTATGAGATTTGGCGCTTGGAATGTTCAAAGCTTGTATAGGGAATTTTTGCTCAGGGCAATGGCAGAAGAAATCTTAAAATATACTATATATGTGGATAAATACAGTCTTAAGTGCAACAAATTTTATTGTAGTTTTTACTTCTTTTCCTCCTCCACACTACATGTTTCGGCCCTAAATGGCCATCATCAGGTGTGTATCACTCACGTAGCTGTTACACTGCTTGTTAAAATTTAAAATTACCAGTCTTTCTAATTGTATAAAATCTTTGTTAATCTACACGCGTCGATTTGATTTTTAAATTAGCACTTTTTAAAACTTAATTCAAGTTAAAATGTCTATAAAATCTCTGTTCTTTCTTTTTCAAATTTTTAGTTAAAATTTTTTTTCTCAGGGTACATGCCCTATATCTACGGTGCTGCAGCGGCCACTTCTTGTTTTTATCGTTGTTCATGTGTTGTTCAGTGTAGGCGCTCTCTGTGTGTGTCGCTGCTTATCTTTAATACGTTAAAACTACAATAA